GGTATACGAAAGTCTTGTGGCAATATACCACCTCGCACGTCAGCAGGCAACGTCATTGTAGCTGGGTTTTCTGCCATGCCATCTGACACTCGCCTCGCGCACAGAGCAAAAGTCACCAAGCCCTGATTCGAAGCCCTGATTCTAGGGCTTTGACGCGGGCGTAGGCGAGGCCTTGCGCCAATTTCCATCGCGATAAGCATCAACCCCCATGGTGGCCGGAACGGGAAATCGACGTTTGTGCGCGCCATGCTGTTGCGGCATCGCGACCAACAACTTCCTAGCAAAGCGGGGTGTGCCGTTAGTTATCGGACTAGACAATGAGACGGTCTGGTCGGCTGCGATAATGAACCGTCTAGTACGGAGCACATGGAGTCCGAGTCCACCTCCCATCTGTCACGATGTTCAAAACCATGGAGAGCCGTGGGCAGGCCCGATTGCCCGACTGGGCAAACAGAAAGCCGAACCATCTAGCTTCCCCCGCCGGCTTTAGTTTGTGGGCAGAGCCGCCGGTCTGTCTCAGCCCTCTGGCGCAAACAGGATTCTTGCCGCCGGGCCTTGTCATGTAATATACAATCACGGCTATGAGAAGCAGAGGCAGACATCCGACGTCAAAACGCGCATCCGCAGTGTGGTTTAAACGGCCACATTACTGGTTGACGCCAACGTAAGTGATGGCGCACACTGAAGAATCAAGCGTTCGGCCGGCAGCCAATCGGGGTAGTCCGACGGCGCAGCTGGTCGGACTGATGGATGCCTGCGAAGGTAATCAGGCGATCCCGATCTTGACACTATCCGCAGAAAGTAACTCTTTGACAGAATCATCATTCTGTGCATGGGCTCTGCCCGAGTGACCGGCCCAAGCGGGAGCCGTTTAGACTTCATCGGAGCCTGCGCAAGCATGCTCTGCGCAAGCCTGCTCTGCACATGTAAATGCCCGTACCTCCTCCTTCTGGGCGTACACGGATTCTCTGGGATGAATATGCACGCTCTTGCAGTAACGAGACTGTTAGTAGGGAACAAACCGACCGCACGGACAAGAAACTACACCCGCCGCCGACTGATTGCGGCCGGTGAGTCTCTACTTACTGTATACTTGGACAAAGCGATCCGCGCCTTTGCCTGAAAGTAGGTAATTGGTACTGTGCAGAACTTCCAACAGCCACTCTCTTTTTCAGCGACGTTCTGTAAACGAGAACCGTTGAACGCTGTGCAACCGTCACGTTGCTCGATAGATAAGCTGATTGGTAACGATTCATTTACCGCGCCTCCATGTGACCCCCCATTTCTCGATTTGGGTGTGTGTGTGTGAGCGTGTAAGTGGTTGTTAGTGACAAGCCAAGTGTGTTAATAGTTGCTGAGGCGTGTGAGTGTGTCAGCCACGCCGAACATGGACCGGCATTCTCGAAAACGGCTCTATTTGGCGATAAGAGTCATTTTTGTTCATCTCATCTCATCTCATCCCACTTTTTCTTCTTTGTTTGGTGCCCGAGGCAATATTATTTCGAATTTTAGCATGACGAGTGGCTTGGTTGGTTGGTGGTTTGAGGGCTGGAGCCCCGATGCCCAGACAATGAGATTTGTGGAGTTTTACCTGTAGTACTGATTTTCTTTAGTGACGTATTGATGAACAGGTACAATTCTGGTGATCGGCGGCGACGCTTATTTCTTGCACGCCCCCCTGGATGGGTCCCATGAGAACCTTGGTAGGTTTAAAGGAGGTACCCCGTAATAGCTGCAATGGGGTTTGTTATTTATAGGCTAGTATCAAGGAGCTGAATGACGCGCTCGGGTCGAATCAAGGAAATGAATAATTCATTTTGTGTGATGATGGTGACGGGGAATAGGGTTTGGTTACCCCCTAAGAAGCAAGATCGAGATTGCAGTGTGCATCGGCGGTTTATCAGATCTGGGACGGGTTGTGTATGTGAGATATGAAATACACCAGTATAATACAGCTGGTGAGTCAAAAGAGGACGCTTATTGCACAAGCAAAGAGGAGTACGAAGATGACACGCTTTCAATCGGGCTATGTTCTTGGCCCCTGACCAAAGACAAACTCGCGGCAGGCCTACATGATAGACAAACGTTATTACGGGATGCCATGTTCGAGTAAGGAGGACTCCACTCACCTGCTTAAGGACTCCCACTTGTTCTTGGGATTGTAGGAACACCTGTCTGTACTGCGCAATGCTTTGATCAAGAACTGCCCGGCGCGTTGTGTTGCCTTGGCAGATGGCTTTCATCTGAAGCTCCATTTCTTTGCGCAAAAAGGGCTTTCCGAGGCTCGTCTCGAAACTCATCCGGTCGAAGCCCAGGATAAGGGCTACACCAAGTTGAGTTGGGACGAACACTTTCAGTCCACTTCCCCGACCCCCTCTAGCTGAGCCGCTGCCTCCGCCGCCTCGGCCACGACCTCCTCTTCCACGTCCACGACCGCCTCGGGTAGCTGGGGCTTCTTCCGGCTCATCGTCGTTCCCCTCTGTAGCTGCCGTGCCTCCTCTCGTTGTAGTGGCCACGTACTCTCGGTCTTGAATCTTCTGGATGTGCTCCGCCATGGTGGCATCGGTTCCAATACCATTGGCATCCATGAGCGCAATCAAGTCCGCTTCAGTAAGGTAATTTGGCGGCGATGTTTTGCCTTCGGTCATCATTGCTTCGGTGGGCTCGAACTGCTCACCAACAGTGAATCTCGGGAGCTCTGTGGTATCAGTCCAGTTTTCGTATATGTAGACATCCAGGTAGTTCCTTTCAAGCACAATGACTCCTCGCGTGCTGAAATGCTCATCTCCAAACTGAACGTCAATATCTGTTGCCATACCTTTGGCATCTTCTGCACAGCATGCAAGAAACCGGCGTGTAACATACTCGTACAGCCGTCCCTCGTCATAGGTTAATGTAGTCGGTGCTACGTGCGCAATGGGATGAATAGGTGGATGAGCTTTATCATCATGCTTTCCCTCTCTTGGTTGTTGAAAGCCGCCGTTGACGAGTCCCTGGGCAAAGGGGCCCCAGCGTTGGTCTGTTGTCTGTTTCTGAACCAGGGCCTTCAGATTCATGCCCTTATCGAAGCGATCGGTTTCCGTCCTCGGATAACTGATGAAGCCTTTATTGTACAGGCCTTCGGCTATCGTCATGGCTTGTTGACCAGACATCCGGAGCAAGCGCGTTGCCGCCTTTTGAAGCTCTACGGTGGTGAGAGGCAATGGCTTGAACTTTCGAGTCGGTTTTTCTTGTACTTTGGTAACCTTGGCCTTTTTGGCAGCAAGACATCTCTCATACAGCAGCACGACCGTCATCCGGTCAAAGAGACGGTTACGAGCCCAGGAAAAGCGAACTTGCTTGCCCTCTTTATTATGCATCAATGAAATGCCCCAGAACGGCTCAGGGACAAAGTTTTTGACACGAAAGTATCTGTCCACGACGAAGCCCAGAGTTGGGAATTGACAAGAACCTACATAGTGCGTTTAGTCCAGGGTCCAAGGGGGCTGTCGAAGCTCAAAGGGGGTAATGGGATTTTTTACCGTAACTAAGAACCAAGTCTGCCAGAGGCCCACCCAGATGCTTGAGATTATTCGTTATGAAGCGCGTAAACGCGTATCCAATGCGAAGATCCAGTTCAATTCTTGCAGCAACAGCATTGACCTGCTTCTCATCCAGTTCTATAAGACGCCTGGCTGCCGACAGCACATGGCTGGGAAACAAACTGTCAGCACAAGGAAATGCCACAAAACAGAAGAAGAAATATCATACGCTCGTTCCACATTGCTGAATTTGGCACGCTTCACCTGAATACCAGCATTGCCCTTTTTGGCTGCGTCGACAATCTCTTGGCCAATGTGCTCTCCTTCTCGATCGCAGTCAGTCCATATCACCAGCAGACGAGCATATTTAGCTTGATCAGCTATATTCTTGGCAATGTCCTTTTTATCCTATTTATTGCTCAGCATAATCTCACACGGGTAGATGTAGCATCACCCACATCATGGACGCTCGTCACTATTGGTGCGGTGAAGAGCGATTCTGGCGGAGGATGGCTCCAGTTCTTATACTCGCTGGTGAACTCTACATTGGTGAGATGGCCTGTAACACAGGTCATTGTGACGGATGAAGGTCCCCATTGTTGGCCAAAGTCAAAGTCAAACGAGTAGTTCTTGATGAACTTGTTGCGTGTGTTGTGCTTGTGTTGGACTCACGTCAGTTCATTTGCCGAAAATCACGGTAGACTAGGTATACACACTGTTGAGAAAGAGCCTCCAGAGAGGTGGCCAGCCACAGCCTTGGAAATAGATGGCTTCTCAGCCACGCATAGGACTTTCATGGCTCGGGACCTGGCGGCGGACAAGCAGAGTTGGGTGAAGTGCATGAAGCTCTCCAGTCGAGATTCACGCCTCTCTTTTCATCCCCTGGATGCGGCTGCGACATCGACCTCCACCAGGCGTTTTCGGGTCACCAATATGTGGGAATGTCTTCAACTGCCATTCTGTGGAGCCTTGTTTTATGCTTGAGCTGCCGAGACGACGAGGCTGTTCCTCGACAGCTGCACGTGTGCAATTGGACAAGGGAGTATCAGATGGGATGGAAGTTGACGAGCATTGAGCATGAGCCAAGATTTTACTGGAGCAAGGCAAAGCTGCTACACCATCGCCCCACAAGAGCTCAATCCCTACATGTACCTAGTCAAGCAAAAGCTCCAGGGCCTCAGCGCATCACGGCACTGAAGCTCCAGGCGACGGCACTGCAACCAGACGCTAACCCACGCCTCGATCCGCAGAGTCGCGGGCGCTGTAGGCAATCGGCCAGCAGCCAACAACGGCCCATTTATTGGCCCGCCACCGATTTCTGCTCCGTCATAGGCATTCCATGGTGATTCCATCAAACATACCTGTTGTACGTCGCCCGCCATGGCCGCGTATATAAAGTCCATGACGGGGGTTGAGCTGCCCATGCTCGACAAGCTGGTCTCAACCCTCAATTCATTCGGCATCTGGCGATCACCCGCAATGGCTCTGCCCCAGGTCAAATCCCTGCAGGACTGCGTCGACTACTCAAAGGTCGTTGAGCCTTTCCTGCCGCAGCTCTACCAGCTACCCCACCAGATCTGGGAGAGCCTCGACAGCCTCGACGCCCTGAGAGAGCTCTATGTCACGACGAATCCCCTTGTCTCGGGCTTTGCCGCCTCTCTTGCTGTTGGACTTCTCGTCTTGATTGTGTCCGAGATCAATCGCAACTATTCTCAGGTCGACCGGCTGTGGAGCATCCTGCCCAACCTGTATGTTGTCCACATCGCGCTCTGGGCACGTGTGGCTGGGCTGCCGCACGATCGAATAGATTTGGTTGCTCTCTTTACGACCATATGGAGTGTACGTGAATCTTATGTCCTAGTGCGAGGTGACTGGTGTTCCCAGAGCACTGCTGATATCGGGAGCGTTACAGATTCGATTGACGTATAACTATTGGAGACGTGGTGGCTACAACATTGGCTCCGAAGACTACAGATGGTAAAAACGCATCACAATGTGGCTTATAGCGGAAGGCCAGGCAGGCTAATTATCAGCAGGATGATCGTCAAGGCCCAACTCAACTCGGTCGTCTGGTTCATCTTCAACGTCACCTTCATTTCGTTTATCCAGAGCATTCTCCTGTACCTTTTCTCTTGTGTGCCGGCATATGTCATCCTACTCTCGTCCCAGTTTGAGCCTGGGATTCAGGCGATTGATTTAGTCTTCTTCAGTGTTGAGATTCTTCTCGTCCTAAGTGAATGGATAAGTGATGGCCAACAGTGGGGTATGTTGAACTCCTTGATAACCTAAACACCAGTTCCCCATCCTCACTAACACAATACCAGCTTATCAAACCGCAAAATACAAATACAAGAACACTGGGAAACTTACCAGTGGATATACACCCGCTGAGCTGGATAGGGGCTTCATCGCAACTGGTCTCTGGGCATATAGCCGACACCCCAACTTCTTTGCTGAACAAACCATCTGGTTCATGCTCTACCAATGGAGCTGCTTCGCCACTAACACCCCATACAGCTGGGCTGGCATCGGCGCTGTCCTCTTGGTCTTGCTCTTTCAAGGCTCCACCAACCTTACTGAAAATATTACTTCGGGCAAATATCCGGAGTACAAAGCCTATCAAGCGCATGTCGGCATGTTCATTCCCAAGACGCTGATTCCGTATACGACTCCTGGGCCGAAAATCATCAGGTCGAGCGAGTTGGTTAAGCGTGCTGAGCAAAAGCAGAAGCATAAGAAGAAGCAAGGCTGATGAAGAACTCTATAATACTTGCACAAATTCCAAAGCTATTGAGCTGCTCCAACCGTGTAATTATAGAACTTACTGCGAAAAACAATGGTCGCTACATATTGGCAAATCAACAGGGGGGTTGAGGACTTGGAGAAAAGAGTTGGATATACGGAGTACTGTCTTGTCTATTATATCATGCCGCATCTAAAAAGAAAGAAAAGGTCTAATCTAGAGTCTAATTATCATGAGTCTATGCACCCTGAAGAAGATCACTCAGCTTGTCAGCATAGAACGCTGGCACCGCGATCGCATCCTCGCGATCCCAGTCCGCCTTTTGGTTCACACCAGTCAACACGTGGAGCGTTCCGCCCAGGTTTCCCTCAATGCCAAATTTGATGTCGGTGTTTAGTCTGTCGCCAATCATGCACGTCCTGGCACGGTCAAGCTGAAACTTGCCCTCGACAGCGTCCATCATGGCCTGGCTCGGCTTTCCGAGAATCGTAGGCTGCTCTCCAACGGCGTTGGCAACGGGTATCATGATGGATCCGGCGCCCAGGAAGAACGCATGGTGCATGGGCAGGGTGGAATCCGCATTTGTCGCCAGGAAGATGGCTCCACGCTGGATGTAGTGGAAGCCCAGCGCGAGCTTCAGGTAGTTGATGTGAAAGTCCAGACCGCACAGGACGACACCGACCTCAGGGTCCAGAATCGAGCCGTTGGCCATGCCCTCGAAATCAGCGGGCGTGATGTCCCTCCTGAAGTTGGGGTCCGTTCCGCCGATGAAGGGGATGCCTTCGGAGGCTAACTCCGTCTCGATTCCGGACTCACCGATTGCGAAGACCTTGTTCTTGCCGGGAGGGAGCTTGAGGATGCGGTTGATGTAGATGGCTGCGGAGTAGGAGGAGCCAAAGACATCTTCGGCGTCGCAGGGGATACCCATCTTCTCGAGCTTCTTGACGTAATCTTGCCGTGACTTTGTAGAGTTGTTCGTTACGAACACGACTCTTTTGCCTAAGAGACGAGAGGAGAAAGTGTGAGTGGTGAGTCTGGACTGGTTCTCATCTCAGGGGTTATGCATGGCACCTAACCTTTTGACTTGAGGAGAGAGATTGTCTCGGGGACGCCCTCATACACGTGGTCTCCATTCCATAGTACACCTGTCCATGTGAGATGCTGCTCAACTCCGTTGGAAAAGAGAATTCCAACTAACCATCACAGTCGAATAGGAAAGTCTACATCTTCATGTGAGCCACCGCCATGAGCCTGAGCCTGGGATCAAAGGATAAAATCACTCACATCAAACTTGTCAATGAACTCTTTGATTCCGGCACCGTCGCCGGTGAGATACTTTGGTGTTGCGGTCATTTTCTAAGTCTCTATGTGATATAAGGGGAGTGGATGAAATTTGGATGAGAAATTCGGGCACTCTTTTTAACTGAGCCGTGATTGGATTCAATCTTTACTGTATGTAGTAGGCTTGAAAATGAGTCAGGATGCAGCCATTTGTTTGGTGCTTAGTCACGAATTACGCCCGAGACCAAGCACCTGCTGTATTCAGCTGCAGCAACATAGGATAATCATTATGATAGCCCTATTTTTAGAAATGAAGAGATTTTTGTCTACTCAATCAATTACTCCAATACGAGCACGAGCAAGTCTAGAGTGCGGTCTCTCAAAGGACCGTTTTCATCAATTTGGAAACTGAGTGTAGGGTAAGTCAAAGTTTGCGATTTCGGAGGCAAAAGTGTGGCTGCGAGACTACGTCATAGCAAAGAAAGTAGACGCGTATTTGGCAAAGGGCCGTTTTATTAGTCCTTTTTCTTCTTTTGGTAAATACTCGTATTCCTACGTTTTGGTATCTTCCATGTCATAGATTGAGGCACAAAGTCAGACGTGAATCCGGGCAACTCAGGCCCGATTGCTACGTCTTGGCCGTGGGGCTTAAAGATACGAATATTCTGTATGTCGCTGCGGGCGTTTGACTTGAAGCCCAAAGATGATTGTATATGTGATATATTATATATATGTAATATATGATTCCGACTGATTTAGGCAGTAGATGAGTAAGTGTGTATGGAGCAGACCCAATACGCAGCGGCATGCCAATAGGCTTCATCGTGGGGGTTGCCTCTTTGTAATAGATATTCCTCCACCAAACTTGTCGATCCTCTGAATGGGGTCAGGGATGTATTGCTGCCTTATTGGCACTCGTACATGATGCAACAGAATCCAAAAACATGGGTGCTTTGTCACGGGATGGAGGCAGCTTCCGATCAAGTCCTCATGTAGGTACTCCGTGCGGCGCAGCGTTACTCTTACACCAAGCCTCATTGCATGATTGTCGCTAAACAGGGCGGACTTGCGCTGCCTCGAGTGAAGCTGTTATTGGCTGCGTAAATACACCGTCTAGCCTCTTGTTGTACCGAGCCCAAGTCCGTGACAGTGCAAAACATCCCTGGCGTAACGTGTTCAGCAGCTGAGGCATACGAGTCGTTTCGCAAACCCCCATTGCTCTTACGTCTCATGATTGCTGCTATTGAGGACGCGAATCACTTCACAATCGTAAGGACAGCAAGGGTATCCATAGGGCATCGCCTACCGTATAAACCGAGCACGAGCACGAGCCTCGGTCACACTATGCGTCGGTCAAACTGGCCGGATTTCGATTCTGGACAGACGTTGCTCTTCTCGGCAATTCGCTGGCCTAGTGCGTAGCCCGATCGCCGTGGCTGATACAACGCTCGGAGGACCCTTGATGGCGTCAACAGCATCAATCAGGCAAGGCGTCCATGTGGCTACGACCAAATTATGGACCCCCCGGCTGAACCGAGAAAAAAAATGAACCCCTGCTCAACAGGAGATAAGACGGCGTTTTGGTCAGTAGACAAGACAGCTCACCCGAAGGCGATAGGACAAGGGCCGGAGCATCGCCAAGTTTGCTCCGAAGACGAAGAAAAGGACAGAAGCATTATTGACGTGATGACCTAGCACATGCCCTATTCCATTCTATTCTACTGGGTATTACCAGGGGCTTTATCGCCTAGTTCAACAAGGTTCCACGGCCCGGCAAGACTCATCCAGCCCGAAGGGGAGTCACTTGCTTGCTTGCATTAGAAATCTACTAGAGCCTGGACAGCTTGACTCGTGAGCTCTAAGAGGCTCCGATAAGGCGGCGAGAAAAAAAAATATCCATTTAAGATGCTCGGTGGGAATAAAAATAGGAACCTCCCACTGTACTAAATATTTCTGTGACCTACAAATACCTTCCACGCTCCCCTACTGCAACTCTTCGACTCTTCAACCTAAGCACTGTGCTTGAATACCAACTACAAACATTTATTACTCTGACTAGCCTTACAACAACGAGTACCAACGTCTCGCCTGAGTTATCACGCCCTGCCATCTACCAGCTGCGAGACTGCAACATCTTTTCTCTATCATCGATGGATGCTAAAACACCAAATTCACGCCTGACTACTGAGTCACTCAGTCTTGCCGGCAGCAATTTTTCCACCCCTTCTGTCTCGGCCACCTCGACGCCCACGCTAGAATCCCACGAGTTCGTCGGTGGCTTTGCTCACAAGCTCTTGACAAATCCTCTGCCACCTCTTTCGCGAGAGTATCCGAAGCCCGCCAACGAGATCGACGTCAAGGAGGCTCTCGAGCGCCAGCCCGGGAGATGGAGCATCCAGGGCCAGATCAAGGCAAACCAAATCAGAGCCCAACACGCTGCACTACAACCTGACGACAAGGAGCGGAAAACGAGAGACTTTGAGGCGGCCAAGCGGGAACTGCTAGCGTTTCACGACAGCGCCCTGCAGAAGGCTTCTGGCGCAAGACGATGATGCCGATTACGCTGACGATTTTACGTGCTTTGGTTTCTATTTGCGTGGCGCAACGATTGAGCGGATATATACCCATAGAGAGTGTCCGAGTGGCTACTGGGGAGTAGAGCATCAGCAGGCTAGAGATATTTTCCAGAGGGAGAAAATTGATTTGTTATGATGAACCTTCACATTTGGATCCTGATTCGCATTGCATGACTAGCGAGAATCCTTTACTTGTTGTAGAAGGGGGAGATTGGTTGCGAGAGGGGCTCAGGTATATACCAACGAGTCGTAATAGTAATGGATATAGTACAATGACATATCTGCAATGGCATGAGACTGACCCGCGTTTACTGGATGCGAGCTGCCAGAGTGAAGCCGTAGGCCACGGCGGCAACGAACTCGGCAAGGTTGACGAGCGAAGAGAGTCCGTGCAGCATTCCAAACTTCTTGTTCAGGGCACGCATCTCATCCGACTGTGCATCCTTGTCATACCATTCCTTTCCGTCTCGCTTGGCTAGTGTGGGATTTCATCATCAGCTCTGGGTCCCAAGGCTTCATCTCAACAAGTTGAGGGGGCACAGGATGGGTTGGCTACCTTGTCCACGGCGATCCTTCATGGTCTTGATAGTAGCGGGAAGCAGCACGGCAAGCTGGACGAGGCCGCTAACAAACATGGTTGCGATGGGCACCAAGGAGCTCCACTGGTTGGGAGCCTCAAGCAGGCCGCTGATGCCACCTTTGATGCCCAAGAGGGCGTTTCCGGGGAATGTCAGAGCGAGGAACGCGGGGATTGCGGTTTGCATGCCGAAGTAGATGGGGAACAATTTGCTCTGGACGGCGGAGAAGGATGGTCTGTCAACGGTGCGGAACATGACGATGCCGTTGATGAAGGACTGCAGTAGCGTAGTGTAATGTAAGCAGCGGTCCAATTCTCATGAGAGTGGAATCGACATGTTTAGATGGAAACGTAAGATTGAGGTAAAAGGAAGTAGATGCAGATGGAATCCTTCGTGACGCACATGAAAGAATGTCGTTCCCAGCAGGGTGCCGTATCTAATTCAGTCCAACATGAAGCCTGGTATTAACCCACCGATCACTCAAGATAGGTAGTGTCTTAGACGGAGAACCCACGAGATGACGTGGTACGGAACCACCGAAGTAATAATTGAGGCGACCATGTTGACGGTTCCTCAGTTAATGCCAGAGCTGGACAGAGCTGGACAGATCTGAGGTTGAGGAGCAAAAGCACTCAAATTGGGCCGATATCAACGGTATTGTTATCCGATCATCCGATACACCTTCAGGGTTGATGTAACGTAAAGTCATAGGCGGTCATAGGCGGTCACGTGATGTCGCGATACATGCGCGTTTGTAACTGGGGCCTCAGCGAAACGGCGTCGTCTGCCTAAATCTGAGCGAGGGTGCAAGTGGAAGGCGGGCCTATCAGCTTTCGCCATACAGGGGGCTGGTTGCTACTTTGAATAAAAGAGACAAGAAATTGGCAAAGTCTTCTGTTCTTTTACTTTTACTCTTTCCTTTCTTCATCTTTTCCCTCTTCTGTTCTCAATTGAATGAACAAAGATGGCGGACAAGGAAGCCACTGTTTTCATCATCGACCTCGGCGCGTCAATGACCGCCACCAATGGAGGCCGAAAAGAATCAGACCTTGATTGGAGCATGAGCTATGTGTGGGACAAGATCAGCAATGTTGTGGCCTCGAATCGCAAGACGCTGTGTGTTGGCGTGGTGGGATTCAGGACTGATGAGACCAATCACACGCTGGGCGAGGACGGCTACGAGAACATCTCTATCCTGCAGCCGCTGGGGCCGATGACAATGACCAGTCTCAAGAATCTTCAGTCCAAGGTAAAACCGAGCAGGACAGTGGAGGGTGACGCCATATCAGCCATTGTGGTTGCAGTCGACATGATTGACACCTACACGAAGAAGAATAAGTGGAAGCGGCAGATTTGTCTGGTTACCGACGGTCACGGAGAGATAGACCCAGATGACATTGACGACATTTCAAGGAAGATTTGCGACTCGAATATTGAATTGACAGTCTTGTAAGTTGAAATGGCGTCTCGTGGCCGGGACAACGCAGCAGTGCTGACTATCATGCAAGGGGCGTTGACTTTGATGCCCCCGATTATGGCTTTAAGGAAGAAGACAAGTCTTTAGTCAAGGTAATTACGACGGAATTGTCTCGTCTAACTTGCTATTTTCCAGTTATATCTGACGCCGCCTTTAGAAACAAAATGAACAGACTCTGAAACGGCTCGTGGATGGTTGCGGCCAAGACTCAAGATTTGCTTCCATAGTCGAAGCTATCGATGACATGAACGAACCACGAGCAAAATCAGTCAAGCCGTACAAGACATACGACGGCCTCTTGACCTTGGGAGATCCGAAAAACGCCCCCGCGGTGGTGGACATCCGCGTTGAGAGATATTTCAAGACCCATCTCGCCAGACCACCAACAGCCAGCACTGTGGTGGTCAAAGAGGAGCAAGCTGGACCATCGGAGGCGGCTGATGAGGAGCAGATGGATGGCGTGGAGCTTACAGCCGTTAAGCAGGCCAGAACATACAAGGTCAATGATCCAGATGCCCCTGGCGGGAAACGTGATGTTGAATTTGAGTCTCTGGCCAAGGGGTATGAGTATGGCAGGACTGCAGTTCACATCAGCGAGTCCGATCACAACGTCACCAAGCTAGAGACGCAGAAGAGCTTCAAGATTATTGGCTTTGTACAAAAAGAAAAGGTAATGTTTCGATGTTCGACCACAGAGCGTGTTTTCATCTGACCACCCTCCAGTATGAGTTGCTGCTTAACCTTGGCGAAACTTGCGTCACCATTGCAGCCAAATACGACGAGAAGTCGGAGTTGGCATTTAGCTCTCTGGTGTGGGCGCTTTCGGAGCTTGACTCGTACGCCGTGGCCCGCCTGGTGACCAAAGATGAAAAAGAGCCTATTATGGTGTTACTGATGCCTCACATGGAGCCCAATTACGTTTGCCTATACGATGTGCCTCTACCGTTTGCGGAAGACATTAGGACGTATCAGTTCCCTCCATTGGACAGAGTTGTTACTGTCAGTGGCCAAACACTCACCAGTCACCGCTTATTGCCATCAGATGAGCTCAATCAGGCAATGAGCGATTACGTGGATGCCATGGATATTTCAACTTATGGAATTGATGAAGAAGGGTAAGTATACGAAGAAGCCGCCAGATAATAAATCTCCATCGCTAAACATGTCATTTATTAGGGAGCCTGCGGAATATGCCACCATCGAAGAAATATACAACCCCGCAATCCATCGTACCAACCATGCGATCAAGCAGCGAGCAGTCCATCCAGAAAAACCAGTTCCGGAAATCCCCCCTGTCTTGCTTAGATTCGCAGCTCCTCCGACGGAGCTAGTTGAGACGGTGCAGGCCAAGATTGACTCTCTGGTTCAGGCTGCAGATGTAAAGAAAGGTGATTATGCATTCGAGCATCCCCAGACACTGAAATTTTGACTTGCTAATGTCCCGTCAGTGCCACCCAAGGCTAAGGGTAAACGTCAAAGAGAAACGGTTAAACCCATCTCCGGGCTAGATGTGGATGCCCTCTTGGGCGAAGAAAAGAAGGGATCAATTAGTCCTGAAAATGCAATTCCCGATTTCAAGCGAGCCTTGAACTCGTCAGAAGAGGTGGAGCAGATTGCTGATGCGACAAAGCAGATGGCAGCCATTGTTCGATCTCTTGTTACGGACAGCTTTGGGGATAGCAAATACGCCCAAGCAATGGAGGGCATCGGGGCGATGCGAGAGGAGCTCACAAACCTGGAAGAGCCCGGTCTGTACAACGACTTTGTGCGCGACCTGAAGAAGAGTTTACTTTCTGGGGCTCTGGGTGGCGACAGGAGAGACTTTTGGTTCAAGTTGCGATGGGCGAAACTCGGACTGATTGACAAGAAGCAGTCAGAGGCCTCGACGGTTACTCCGGAGGAGGCAGATGAGGTGAGCAGTGCAACACGCTGTCAGTTTGTGGGATTGTTGTTTGCTAACTTGTGTGATAGTTTTACAAGTCAAGGTGAAGGTGGCAGACGGAGTTGCATTTATGTTGGTCGAGCGGGCAGCATGTAGATGGGCCATGTAGCACTGAAAGACTGGAAAGGTGATAATTGAACATGTAATTATATGATGATGACGAATAGATGAAGACAAGGCAAGGCAAGGCCAGGTAATACTACACATGTGCCCCCTTGGCAGGATCAAAAATTGCACCACTGCTTGTTTCTTTGCCCGATGCTGCGTAACTCTGCTCTCAAATTATCTTCTGTCAAACGATTCCGTCTCCGGCGAGCATTTAAATATTGCCCTTGTGCTACTTTTGACTTGAATTTATCGCTGTCAAATTTATTATCAGCAGTTATCAAGTTGTGTGATTTGATTGTGCAGGTAGCCGTCCATCAGTGCCTGCCTAACTGCTGCACCTGCATTTGCCCAATCAGCTGCACTTCAGTTTCATTTCACCCTGCCCTTAACCTCGCTTTCCGGCACACAATATCTTTTCCTCTGTGATTTCATCACTCCTTTTCTCTGGGAGATTTCGTTTCGTTTCTCTCTTTCCAACCACAGAATATTCGGATTTTAGTCTTCAGAGTTACCTGCCAAACAATCGTTTGCCGTCACCTTGCCTCAATATGGCCAGCTTCGACTTCGCGTCTCGTCTCGAGAGACTCAAGAGCCTTGGAGTCAAAGTTGAGTATGGAGAACATGTGCGAGAGGAAGGACACAACGAAAAGGCGTCAATAAACTCTGAGGATGAGTTTCCTGTTGAGGCAACGCCTCATCAAGGAGGAACAGACGTACCGCCATACGACGCTGGCCGCGATGCTTGGAACTCCAGGGTCCATTATTCGACAGAGAAACAGAGGAAGGCTGAGAAAATTAACGTCTCGCCTCCCCTGATGCCCCTGGATTGTTCCAAATTTATTGTTGGGGAACCTGTCGATGAGGCGATCAGCTTTTGTTCATGGAAGGTTATTCTGGCCTATCCTGATAGCTTCATCGGCAAGGCGAACACGCCTCGAGTATGTGCAGAACCCTTTTAGTCCGGTTCGTGAAGATGAAGAGATTGTGTAGCTGACATGCCCTGCAGGCCAAGCCCTTCTTTGACAAAATCTTGGAAGGCAGAGTCTGGGATTTGTAGGCACCCCTTGAACTATCATGAATGTATTCTAACCTACGCTGCAGTTTTTACCTTTACCATCCTGAGAAACCCGACGAAAAGCCTCGTTTACTGGTGCCTACGGTTCAGTTTGAAGATTTTCTCGAGAGCATCAACAGGGTGCTCGGAACTGCTCTCGCTATTCCAGGAGGGGCAAATCAAGATCGCTTCTATCTGAAATTCGGCCAGGGGGATGCACCAAGGCCTCGATATTTGAAGAGATCAAGAGACCAGAAAGTCTTGGACATTGAAAGCTTCCCCGTCTTTCAAAATACGGACTGGGAGAGCTTCCGGGCCGCGCATGGCGCCATTCAGCAAGGCTGGATGAACAACTGGTACATGATGGTACCGAGGCCAGCTTTCCAAGACAAGAAGAAAGATTCAGGAAGAAAGGCTGCTCAACGAAAGCTTGACCGAGAGCGAATGCTTCACGAGACTCAGGAATATCTTCATCTGGTACCAGCCAACAGCGTTGCGGCAGATGTGGTTTTCATTTGCATGGACGTCGAAGCCATCGAGATGCCGCCCAATCCCATTTCTGAGGTTGGAATAGCCATCCTTGATGTCAAAGACCTTGATGGTGTGCAATCGGGACCTGGTGGCCATAACTGGTGGCAGTTTATCAAGGCGTATCATCTTCGAACTAAAGAGTATGCCGGCCTGGTGAACCACCGTTTCGTCCATGGATGTCCTAACTACTTCGACTTTGGGTAATTATACAAGCTGTTGACTTGTTATGTGGAATCGTGCTAACATGCCAATAGCAAAAGCACTTTCCCAGAAGAATGTGAGCTCCCTGAAGCCATTCTAGAGATCCTACAGCCTTATGTAGACTCGAAGCGTCGGATAGTGTTTGTCGGTCACGACGCTCACCAGGACATCAAGTACCTCTCGAGTGTTGGATTTGTGGTACCCTCCATTCGACGTCTTGTTGGGCAGCTAGATACCAAGGATATACACCAGGCTTGGAAAGAATTGGATAATGGGAAGAGCCTCCTGAGCGTCCTCAACGACCTATCCATTCGTAGCAAGCACCTACATAACGCCGGCAATGATGCCGTATTCACCCTCCGCGCCCTCATCGGGGTTGCTCTTGAGGAGATTCGGGAGAAGGAAGCAAAGGCAAAGGGTGACGAGTACAAGCCGGCTCTGTGGGATGTCAAGTTGGAGGAACCTGAGATTGAAGGAATGGAGAAATGGGTGTAAGACCGTCTTTGAGTTGAGACTTGGTATTTCCTTTCTTTCTTCTTGTTTTGGTCATCAAGTGGCAAGCCGCGAAATCTTTCATGTAGCTAGCCCCCTTCATCTCTAAAATCTTCCCATACCTTAGCTATGAGTCGCTTAGATGGCTTTCAAATTCAGCCCACCAACCCACCAACGCCATCGCTATGGAAAACGAATATCGTACAAGACATATACACACGGCCCCCAAACTGGCTCTCTTTTGTCCCCATTACCAACGCGGCGGGGCCGTTCATCTCCGCTCGTATGCAGTTCACGCGTTCGGTTTCGGTCAGACGGTTTTATCCAGCAATTCCTTCGCCTCGTTGACCTTTGTCGCTAGGTACGGGCTGCCGCCTCGATCGGGGTGGTTGAGGAGCATGAGCGTTCGGTGGGCCTTGCGGACCTTGTCTTTGGTGATGGATCGCTCGCTAAGTGAAAGGAATTAGTCCCCAGTGGTCCTCTCGCAAAAACCACCCATCTTTTTAGCGTCGTTACCTTAGGGATAGAATGAGGGAGGCCTCCTTCTTGGTCATTCGGGGCTCGAAGCCGCCTTTGTAAAAAGCCTTGCCCATGGCGCCGACGCCGCCACGGGAGCGACGGAGTGCGACGAAGCCGGCGCGGCCCTGAGGAAAATGAAAGCGTTAGCTTTTTGTTCGTATAGATGTGGGTTGTTTGTTATTGTTGTAAATGAAGTTGAGTGCATGTTGTGGTTTTTTGGTGATGGATGTCTGATGTTGCGCTTATACAGGCCCGGAAGAGAAATGGAATTGCACGTACGAGGAATGCAGCGACGGCGACACCGGCGCCCCAAGCGAATACTGATGCCATGATGTGGTGAGTTTCGATTTATTCCCGTTTCGAAGTGAGATTGACAATGTTGGATGCAGGCTGCTGCCGATTGTTTGGGGGTTTGATTTTGTCGCAATGCCGAAGTGGGTTGGAGAGAATCGGCTTTTGACAAAGTTGAAGTTTTGCTAGGATGGAATGGGGGTGCGGGGCATAGTTTTTCCGGGGGGAAAGATGCGAGGCCCCCGGGCTGTGGGCTCTTTGGTGTCGTTCGTTTGGATGATGTGCATGTATGGATTGGAGGGGGCTTGGGGGCGTTGATTGGTGGAGGTGATCTGTAATTGTTTATGATGTATAATTTCTAGTCTATATGGCTTCCTAGAGCATATGTGATAAAGTATATATTGATGTGCCTGCTTCTCGGGGTTTTACTCAAAGACCAGCACGAGGCTAGGACTTGTATCTAAAGCTACCCTCAACAGTAGCCCGTAATGATTCGGCCTGCAGGTTAAAGTTCAAGTCTCGTTAAATCATGGCCTCGGTTGCTGGAACCGAGGAATCTATCCTGCCTCTGAGGCTTTTCTCTTGCACACAGTAGGCATCTATCCCACTGAGAATCATGGGGTCTTGAAGCCGCTATCAGGTAAGGCTTGCCTCAATCGCAGGAGGGCTGAGGAACATGTTTCCGCCGCCCGCTCGCTCTTCACCCTTGTTCCTCGTCCTCCTTGACTAGATGATGGTGTGCCTTTTCCGGCATCTTCAACGCCCCTTCGACTGCTTCTTTGATCTTCCTATCTAACTCTGCTCGGCTCTCGTCGTCCTGCCGCCTCTCTTCCTCAGCAGCCGTCTCCCAGTTGAAGTTACCAGCCCCTCCACGGCCCGACCAGCCCGCACGATGAGGCTGAGGATTCTTCTTCAGGCTCGAGGCCACGGCAGCCCCCGTCTCGCCCGCCAGCTGGCCCTGGTTCTGCGCAGCATACGCCGGGTCGATGAAGTTCCCGGCGCCTCCACGGCCGGCTCTTGCGGGGCCCTGCGACGGGTCCGCTGACGGCGAAGAAGCAGCAGCAACAATGGCCTTTAGCTGCTGCGCTTCAAGGTCCTAAAGCCGGTCCCCGTATTAGAAACAACCTGGGGGGAGGAAGACGGGATGCCTTTTGGGGGAAGCTCAAGTGTTGCGGATTTACTTTGGTTGCCTCGTCGGCTTGTTTCGACGAGACGTAGTTGCCTGCCCCACCGCGACCGACTTTGCGGAAGACATCCTGTTCCTGAGGCATCGCGAATGGGGAACAAGAGGCTGTACAAGGGGGGGTGTGTGGTGGATAAAAAAAGAAAGGGAAGAAGTAAAAAGAGGGTTAACCTCAATAAGTAACCGTACCTTTGGCGTTCGTCTGAATTACGTATCAAAAGCCCACTTTCGTTTTGAAGCCGACCAAGATTTTTGGTGGAAACAGAAGAAAAAAAAGCTGCCAAAAGGGCGTGATGCTAAAAGAAGAGGCTTCGCTGACGTCACGAGGCACTTGTGGACCCGGTTCATGACGTAGAGCGACTGTCCCGAAGCAGCCAGGCAGGGGTTGTTTCGTCGACGCCATGTGCGAAATACACAAGGTTTTTCTTTTGAATTTTTGTCGTGGCCTGGCCCTGGCATAAGGGCCAAAGTTTGGCTTGCGGGAACATATGAAGGGGATCGACAAAAGGTCGCTCTGAGGGGCGGGAGCCAAAGGATGCATGTCATGTCAGCCAAGCCTCGTAATGGCGCTTGTTTGGCAGCTGGACAAGGAGATGCCATGTAAGTACGGGTACCTTGCTGGTACTCTCTGATCAGGAAAGGTACCGCGTTTGTTGAAGTAATCAGAATTACTGTTGCGGAAACCATCGGGCATGGTTTCGATCACTGCTCATCCAGCCCTTCGATCGCCTCTCCATTTTCCGATTCACACGAGAATCACAGGTACTTGGACAATTCCGCAGCCGTTCGCATAGGGGGGCTGTCAACAAGCCATGAATCCCACAAGGCAAGTTCGGAGTCGGAGAGAGCCCTCCATCACTACAGCACTTGTATCCCCCAAGCATCATAAATCAAGCCCTGGAGCACTACCCGTACGCCCATTCGGAAGTGGCGGGCGGCTGCCGCTCTCAAAATCTACAACGTGCCTTGCGCCCTGACGCTTGGCCGGCTTCGATGGAATCATCGATGCGCAGTTGCAAGGCGTCTCGCCGCGTATCTTTTGCGGCCTGCTTTCGCCGAGTTGTTCCGGAGATCCCGACATGGTTGCGGATGAGGCCCGTGTCCAAGGCCGGAGCGTTTTCAGAACCGTTGCTGATGCAGCAAAACATCGATGCAGCGTCAGATTGCTCCATGTAAATTGCATGTAAGCGGCGTCTTGTCGGACAGTGCGAACGGTGGGAGTCATTCACGCAAGGGCCAAAATCCATGCACTGTGTTTTGATTTGCATCCAATGTCGTTTCGGTGTCTTTTGACGCAGCGTGATGGAGCGACGAGGGAGTGTAGCCATGAAACAAACCGGCAAAAGTCGAAACAAACACGAAAAAAAGGTCCATGCACAGCTGCGAGCTGCGAGTTGCAAACTTGGGCAGCATTACATAAGATCGGACCCGGGTTTCTAGCTTGTAGACTACATAGACTACATGGGATGAGTCAAAAAGGACGTTGCGGGCGAACGGGGCTGATGCCAGAGAGCTTTTGTTTTCGGGCCTCGACGGCAAGAGCTTTTTTCTGCCCGGATATTGACTGATTCATGGCGCCGATTGTTGATGCCATATCGGCGCCGAGAACTATAGAGCGTGCGTCTTGTGCGACGTGATATTCGTCTATCATTGGCGAGTCGACAGATGGTGTAGATCAAAGTGGTGGCCTCCCCTCCAGATACGGGCACCAGCATTGAGCTGGAAAGGCACACTATTGCTGGTACGACGTGGCGTGTGGTTTTGGCGATACACCAAATTGCCTCCCCCCCTTCCAAGATTCTTTTTCATGTTATTATGTACTTAATTGATCCTCAGGAAGGATCAAGAAAAACGTTGCGCTCGTCACCGACCCAATGATGGCTCTCAGTTGATTGTGACTCGATGATTGGGGACTTGGAAGTGGGCACTGTGGCCTCCGATTGGCTACCGATGGGCGGAAGTCGAGATGTGTGTCACGACGTTGAGACGCACGCAATCACGACGATGGATTGTTCTAATTCTGGGCAGATGTGTAAGAGCCGGGGAGAGTGAGTGGCGTACGGGTTGCACAGTAGTGTGAAGAATGCCATTGACCACTAATATCCACCTACATACTCGGTACACGTACGTAATACATTGGGTGTAGTCATATTGTAGCATGTACGGAGTAATAATTATCAAAAAGCTCTCCTCTGTGGCGTATACATGGGCGGCGAAAGCAGGCATCAGTCTTTGATATCAACAAGGGCAGCACACCAACTTGGATGATTCCAGTACAAACAGAGAGTCAATGGCATAGTCATGAATCGTGAAGCACGGCTACCAGCCATGACTTCATCTGACGGCCGTTGACACGCCGGCTCGGCTCGTCTCTGGAGCTGATCGTCAAACATACAGTAATACTACCTCTACTCCCTTGTAGACTCGACGTCCTTTTCGGCGCGGACTCGCAATTGATGTTCAGGCACATCTGGCCCTAGGTCGAACCCAAGACACCATCTCCAACTGCCATGGCCCCGCAAGGCGATCAATTAGACCATCGCTATCAAAAGGCCCTGCTGAACTGATCCGTCAGTCCATCATCCGAGGGCCAGAGTTGGGCACCCATTCGCCACAACAGGCCGCAGGCTGCCGTGTATAAGAGAAAAAATTTTCATCCTTCCAAGGGGATGTCATGCAATATTCACCTGCAATTATCAGGTTCCAATTGAGTGCATTTACGGGCAGGGCCAAGCAGGTGCGTTGGCATTGGACGGGCAAACATGGAACAGTGAAGCCGCCGACGCCCGGGATCCATCAGCAAACCAAACCAGACAGCTAGGGGGGTGTTTTTCTGTTGGGCACCGAAATTAGAGAAGCTGCAGAGCTGCTGGAAGCAGAATCAATCCGGCATCTCCTTGGCGGCAATTCGCTGCAAGGGCATGAAGATTTTTTTTTTTATCCATGGCTGCTTTGTGTGGTTGAGATGAGAGCCTTGTGGTGGTGCCCTTATCTGATGGATCAATATCATTCGCTGCCTCAGTGCTGCTTTGGGAACCGTTTCTCGCAAAATCTGCATTGGTGCCGAAGAGGCTAGGCGAGAAAAATTGACCAAGTCGTTCCTTTTCAAAATAGGGGGAACCAACGCAGTTTGCCGGCTCCGAAGTCCATGATTCGGCCAACGTGGTTCAACTGCATCCCAATGTTTGCTCGATGCGCCTGCGATGGTGCCATGGAATGCCCTAGTTGCTGCCGGGAGTCGTGACCTGCGTAAGCGCACGGCCGGGGGGTGCGTCCACCACTACAGCCTACAGTAAGGCACAAATCCATGGAAATGCTGGCACTAACGCTGTGGCTAGTGGGCGAAGGTGCCTGTAAGAAATACCGTTCTGGCGCACCACCTGGCACTGTGCAGGGCAGCTAGCGGCCACTTCCAATGTCACTGCGCTCGTGCCAGGAATCAACTTCAGCCACCCAGAGGCAAAGAGACATCCAGTTGCGCGGGTTCCTGGATAACGAGGCGCAAGGACATGGTGGGTGGACTGACTTTTGACTTTTTTTGACTTTTCTCTGCGATTCTTTCTTCTGTTCCATGGCGATTCCATTCCGTCTTCCGTCTTCCTTGCCAGGGGTTTGACTTTTCCCCCATGTAGTTGTGTGTTTGCTCTCCTCTTTTTTTCCCTCCTTATCTTTTGTCTCTCTTCTTTTCTTTTTTCCGGGTGGCGTCTACGTCTTTTGACCTATTATCTGCTGTTGTTAGTTCCCCAATTGACTCCGTACGAGGTGCTACCTCTTCACAGCTCCAGGTCTCCATGATATCCACAACGACTCCATCAAACCGGCTGCCTTTATACCTGATGGCGACAAACCTAATCAATTGGCGAGTCTTGACTGTTGCTTTTTTGTCCACAGACCAGCGGTGACCGCAATCATGGGCCTTGCTCTTCTACCGCGGTATACTATGTACTCGTACCCCGTACTGCGCTATCTTGGTCTTACCTATGCTTAATGATTCCCCGGACTCGCCGTATTTAGCCGATTGCTGAGTGCGGTTGTTGTTGTCTCTGGTTTGCCTGGAAGAGGAAAAGCTGTTGTGCGGTTTGATGGAGAAGAGCAAGTGGTGATTCAGACATGCATACGAAGTGCGCAAAGTATCCCTACCTGTCCAAGTTGGCCAGCATGGAGAGCAGAGGCCGCCCGTCTTGACCAATTGACCCGTATGTTGCCTGCCAATCACCTCCAAGTGCAATCTGCACAAGAAATCAACTCTCTGGAGCCAGGAAATGGCTGGTGAGACGCACCCGTCGGTTCCCAACAGACATGGAGCTGCCTCTATCTTGTCCAAAGCATTCTCCCCCTTCCCCCGCTTCGCTGCCCCTCATCCAAGCCGTCTTCGGCCCCCGAAAGACCAAGAATCCTGGCCGTGCTCAGGTCTCTTTCTAGCTTGCCCCCCCTCTCGGACGCAAAATGGTGAGATGAGATGGGCTATTAGCAGATCGACGCTTCCTGCGAATACACGGAAGTTGAGGCCTGGCGGAGTCTGGTTGCGGGGGTGGAAACGGGTCTCGGGGGAGTTGATCCACTTCGGCCTGGCGAGAATCGAGGCCGATGCTGCAGTTATCGACGATGAGCGATTCAGTTTTGCGGGCAGCCTCAGTCGTTAGTAGTAGTCCAGTCATACCAAGCTCCGGTATCGTGGAGGTAGGGCTGGGGCTCTTATCAATCCAGCGGCAAATTGAACCCATGAACCTTGCCGCTGCCGAAGCGAGAGCTGAAAGGCCAGGCCAGGCCAGTTTATAGCAGCAATTTCAATCTGGTCTCAATTTGTTTTCTTGGCTGAAATCCATTGAGCATTTTCCCCTCCTTTTTTTTTTGGGTGTTTGTCTGGGGGCAATTGATTCCACGGTAATAGATGCTAAGCTCAAACGGTGCAATGCACTTCATTTCCATGCATCTTCGCCAATCGACCGGCTACAGCACAGAGCACCTACATGTAGGTAATACGAGCGGTGCAGTATTCGCTCTCGGCACGACAGCGCATGCGCATCCAATGTACCGTAAGAACGCAGCACATGAAGGTAATATTGGATTATTGCGCTTGGCTGCGGAGCAAATTGATAGTGGTAACTCGCTGAGCGACGCTAGCCCGGGATGCTGCGCTCACATACCCGAAGACTAATAAGGTACATACGAGTACTCTGCACTACTAAGGCGAATCCATCGATTCATTTCAGCGTTCGTTCCTTCGTCAGCCACTCCCCCTCCACGAATGAATCAGGTGCCTCCGTGCGAGAAACGTCTGGCGCTCGTCATGTGAGTTTGGACGGGGTAGTACCAAGTACTAGCTGGCGCCGGATGAGTAAGGGAACTGGCCATGAAATAATAGTACCTACATACCTAGTAGTATAGCAAATGGAAGTGGGCAATTTGGCATAAAGCAGCAGGTTTCGTCTGATTTCCATTGTATCAGAAAGGTGGCACTAGTTGGGAACAGTACAGTACAGTATATTAGCATCCATCAAAACTGTCATGTCTCTTTGTCTCCTTGTCTACGGAGTACAGTAGAGTAGGTAGTATTGAATTGATTGATTGCCAAATGTCCCCCTCCCAACTCTTTTGATCGCTCAACCACAACGGTCCCCGATAGGAGGCAGCCCTCATCCCTTTCCCGAGCATTACGGGCCGTATTCCTTGATAGGGCTTGACATGACGGGGAGACACGTTGCCTGGCACCTTGTTTTAGTAGGACGTATCTATCAGTGCCAGTAAGCCCAAACAGCCCACCCGGTCCCATCAAATTGATCCCATCCCATGCTGCTGAGCTGGCTGGTAGGGAGTCGGTGCCCTCAATTCAGTTTTAGTGCCAGCGTGCTCCCTGTCCTGCCGGTACAGGTACGAGTACCTAGCCGTCCGATAACCTGCCGCGCCAAACCTCCACGAATACTGTACTCGCAGAACCTGGATGGGCTCAAGGGGACATGTACCCAGTACGTATGCTACAGTTCCGTGTGGCAAGTCAAGTCAGACACGATGAATGGAATTGGATTGCAGATTGAATGAATGATTCTACCAAGGGACCTCCCACAGCAACTCAATTACCACTGTTGTCGTCCAAAGGGAGAGCGACAGAACCTCAATAGGTATTGATCCAGCAGAGTCCAATATTTGCACTGTAGAGCCGAGTCGACCCTTTTTTAGCGTACAGTGCCCAGCAACAAAGGCGCTGGGGGCCTCTCGCCACACGCCCCCGGCACCTGTTGTGGCCCTCCAATTGCTCCTTCGCATGCCTCCAGCATCCCCCTTTACGGCCTCTCCATTCGACCTGGTGATCAACCCGGGTCAGCGGGCCAATGGCCCAGTCAGACTTGGCTACACCCCACCGGTCGGGCGCGCGCGACTGCGACAGGAAAATAAATGGAGAGCCCTGATGGAGAGCCCCATCGCCTGTGGAAGCCGCTGGAAGCACGGCCAACCAGCGCCTGCGCTCCCAGTGCCTGCCTGCCTGTGGCTCTGCCGCTGGCTCTGCACGGCTTCTGGCTCTCACCAGCCATCGGAGCTGCGCCCCACGGGCTGAACGTTTGTCGTGCTCACTAACGGGCTGCTGAGGCAAGCCAAATGGAAACCCTGCCGTTCGATTCTGCGGCCGTCTCCTGATTCTGCACGGAGTACGGAGGCCAGAGTACCAGGTACCAGCGCACGGAGGGTGTTCCGTGCCCTGTTGCTGGCTTTGACGCAATTTCGATTTTCATTCTCAATCTCGACAAGAGAAGAAAGAGGAGGCGCCTTTGTGCTTGTGATTAGGCATAACATTATACCTACAGCCTAGTGCTTGTACTCGTACCTGCAATCCAGCCACGGGCCGGTACTCGGTACAGCCGCCCCGGGTATCCTTGGTTAGCAGGTACTCGGGCTCTCGCAGCGCTCACAGGCCCCAGGGCGGTACGCAGTAGCAGTCCCTACTCCGTATCGTCCCTCCTGATGTACTCCGTACAAGGTACCAGACGCCTCCTCCGTACCCAAAGACCGCCCGGGTGCTCATGCTAATACACGCGCCCCCGCCGTGCCGCATCTACACACACTCACACACACTCCCTTGCCTGGCGCCGGATTGTTCCTCCCAAAATAATTATTTCTCGTTCTCACTACTTGCAGAGATCCTGGCTTTTTTTTTTTGGCCTGATTTTTTTTTTCTCCCTCACAACACTTACCCGCGCTGAGTTGAACATAAGCGAAGCATCTTGTCGAGCCGGACACCTTCTTGTGCTGGACATCGTCTGTCATCGAGAGCGTTGCTGCTGAAGTCCCGAGCGTGCGACGGTCCAGCGTGTGTCATCTCGCAATCCCGAGCAATTCAAGCCCGCCTGGCAATGGCCTCCTCAAAAGTATGACCTGATGCCGTCGTCTTGGAGCTGCCGATGTGGCTTGTTCCCGCGCTCGTGAGGCTCCGGTTCTTTTTGCTGATATCTTTGTCCACCCGCAGGAGATGCAGCCTTCTACGAGGCCATTGACGCACCAGCGTTCTCCCATGTCGAGCTCCGCATCCTCGGCCCTGACCGGTCGCCAATCCCACGCCCGAACCAACTCGCACTCGCACTCCCTCCTCGCCGGTGCTCTCAATCCCACACACCGAATCACCCGCCGAAAGTCCGTCACCACTCCCGGCGCCAATGTCGCTGCTCTCGCGGCGGCCATTCGAGAGAGCGAGCAGAGCGGTGCCATTCCGATTGCAAGCGGGGGAAGGCGGAACACCAACACCATATCCAAGCAATCTGCTGTCCGGGCCGGCCTCATGGACGGCCTGCCCTCACCACCGGCCAGCCTGCCCAACAAGTCGCTGCTGGAAGCCAAGCGAGAAGTCCAGGACAGCGCCATCGACGACGATTCGAACGAGCTTTCGGCCGACGAAGCGGCGGCCCACCTTGACCAGGCCCGTATAAGGCGAGCCAGCGACGGACAGCCTCTGACCAAGGATGGCAAGAAGAGCAGCCGAGTAGAGGTCCGCTGCGAGACGTGCGGCAAGGGCTACAAGCACAGCAGCTGTCTGACGAAGCATCTGTTGGTCTCCCTCCCCTCTTGTACCTGTGATGTCTGCACTTGCCTAGGTTTGGGTGCATGCCTCATCCTACCTCCGGTCCACGGCTTTCCCCCTTCCCCCTCCCCCCCATTCACTCTTTACACTGGCAAAACATGCGTGATTTGAGTTTCATTCGTTGACTCGTTGGCTAGATGGGAGCACACTCCTGAGTGGTCCTTCACCTCCAAGTTGCTCATCTCCAAGCACCAGCAAGTACAGCTGCTGGAGGCGGCGTCTGTCCTGGTGGCCATGAACGGCAACCCCAAGGAGAGATCAGTCACTCCTCCAGACTCTGCCAGGGACTTTGCGAGCGAGCCAGAAACGGCATCGTCGCCCACCGCCTCTGGTTACTCAGAGCAGGCAGATGGTCAGAGTTCCGCTGACACTACCCCACCTCCGATTGCCGAGGAGGGAGTTACATTCGATACCTCTGCATACCGCGACAAGCGCTATAGCATGGGCAGCGTATTTTCTCGAAGCTTTCAATCCCCGCAGCCGTCGAACCCTCTGCTCTTTGGCAGTATTCCCAATGTGCACGGTTTCGACCATGGCCGCAGCGGTAGCATCGATGTGCGCCCATCGTCCTCTGGGATCAACGCCAATGCCGAGGACGACCACGACTTGGCCGCGGCTGTCGAGTTGTTGAGCTGCAGCTTTGGAAGCAACAGTGGTTCACGCCCCGCCGTAACAACACATGCCGAGGACGCACCGCCGGTACCACCCGTCCCCGCTCAGTTCCTAGATCAAGCCGCATCCTTTGCCAGCGCCGGCTTCATCAACAGCTACCCCAGCAGGCAACCCGAAAGCTTCACTCGCGGCGAGATGCGCCGCGGAAGCCAGGATGTCAAGATGGAGGATAGCGAAGACGATTTTGACATGCGATCCCGTGCTCGCAGCGACGAAGATGACGACGGAGTTTTTGGTCGTATGGAGGAGTAAATGTATTGGGTATGGGACGGAGCAACTTCTCTTGGGAACTCGAATCGTAACGCTATTCTTTGTTTTGTTTTTTTTATAATGTGGCCCCTGGAGTCGGATTGCTCTGGAAATGAATTATGGATATCACCAATTGGGAAGGGAAATCGGCGCGGTGTCTCTTTTGTACAACGATATACTCGAAGGAACTGTATTGGGGGTGGTTCTGCTCCGCTGTCGAATCTTCAGCACCGAAGAGTGGAGGGCCTGTCCAGACTGTTCATGGTCTGGGATGAGATTGCTTCTCCACGAGGTTAAAGTGAGGGTTTGACGAGGCGTCGAGCGTACGCCCGAATAAATTCTGAATAAAGCATTGAACTTGAAAGAAGAAAAAAAACAAACATTTCACACCATCACTTGAAGCCATGCCATGGCACGAAGACGCGCACAGTGATAATGGTTATGCATTATGAAAGACTGCCAACTGATGAATCAAATCTAGCCCACAAACAAGAACGAATTGGTGACTGTAACGCAATGAATCCAACAGTGGCCACGGCGAGAATGGATTTTCTCGACTTTCCCGGTGAAATGATGTGGAAAGAAAAAAATTTCATGGAGACCCTAGAGAGAAAGAAATTGAGCTTCGGCTGAGATTGAGCTCCATCGAGAAATAGCGGGGACCTGGCAGGAGGTTTCCCCAGCGACCTAAACGTCACGTTTCTCCACAGCTATCCGGCGCGCGGGCAAGCTTCCCCGAACCCTCAACAAACACAATCGATTAATCAATCAGCCGCTTAATTCTAGCATTGACACGATAAGCTCGTGACGGCCTCATTGTGCAGTAGCTGCGAACGACTGCGCTCAGCCGCTTACTCATCCAGTCGTGTCGACCGCGTGGGAGACGCGCATTTTGGGACACGTCCAACCCACAACCACTGCGACTTCGTTCTCTTGAGCTCCAGCTCAAAACAAACACACAAATAGCCAAGATGCCGACATTGCGGCGAACGGCCAGGGGCGAGGCTGCGCGGGGGGCTGTCGATGCGGATGCGGATATCGTGGAGAAAGTAGCAACGCCAGACCGGTCGAGGGACAAGGCGGTCGAAAAGACAACGCCCAAGCGCCGCGACGGTGGCGATGTTACTGGCGCCAGCACTCCTGCAAAGGACGGAGGAGCTTCAGCATCGGCGGAGGCAGCGCCCTCGGCCAAGATCCCCACGCTGGTGCAGTTTCCGCTCGTGGCGGCCATCAGCTTCGCTACGGCGAGTCTTGGATACAGCGTGGTGGCCGAGCTGACGAAGGGGGAGCTGGCGGGCGTGAGCCGGAGTCAGGAGACGTGGGAGGAGATCGGCATCCTTGCTGGCTGGAGGATGTGAGTGGCTTTTTTTTCCCCCCTCGCGACAAGCACTGGGTTTTGGAGTCTTTGCTAATGAGATGGCGTAGATTTGAGCTGGCGCTGGGTTGGTTTGGCGGGCTGGACGGCCTGGATGTTGCCATGATGGATTTCTTGTCCCACGGACCGGCGGTATGTACACAAAAACTCCTTTCTTCTGTTGTCACGCTGTGGAGACATGTGGCGGATGGAGCTGACTTTTGCAATTTCTAGATGTACCTCTTGTTCGCCTTTTACAACCTCAGCCCGAGAACGGCCTTTGCTGCCCTCGCCGTTGACGTCGTCTCTGCATCGGTTCCCTTTTCTCTCCTGCGGCCTTTTTCGGCCGTCCACAAGTCATCTTCGGCGCTGCCCAACCGCGAGCTCACTAGCCTGCCCCTCCAGCTGCTCACCACGGGCTTCTCAACGAGCATATACTCCGTCGTCTTAGTGTTGTCTCTGCGATTCTTGCTGCCTCGCATCTTTGTCCTCTACTTTAACGGCCTCCCCAATGTTGAGCCGGCGTATGAGGCGTCTTACGCCACTGTGCTGCCTGTGACGCTGCTATTTGGCGCCGCCGCAAGCACCTTCATCTTCCCGCCGTTTGCCACTGCAGGCAAGACAAAGGAAGACGAGCGCATCACCAACTTTAACCCTGCCGAGGCCAGTCTGGGAGAGACTGTGTGGTGGAACTTTTGGGGATATACCTCCAAGGCCAAGGTGGCCATTGGCCGCACTTTTGTGACTCTGCTGGTCACGGGCGTCAACACGTATCTCTCCTGCGCCATGACCATCCCTGGTGTTGAGCCGGCTGGAGCTGCGGCATACGCAGCTGTGTGGGTGTTTGCAGCTCTATGCACTGGCCTAGGGCTGGGATTCGTGGGACGCGACTGAAGGAGGGACGTTTGACGACGATGATGTGAGATTTCGGAGTGGCATGTTGTGTGTGGCTAGAGACAGGCAGCAATGTCTACGTCTGTTGTTTTTTTTTTTTTTTTTTTGCTTATCTTGTTTATTTAAACCGTGTATTCTAGTTGCCTGATTTCGGATCTTTGAATGACTCGGGAGGGTTCACTTTGGCCTTTTGCTTTCCTTCTTTCTCCCTCGGCTATCTACGGGGGAGAGTAGATGAAACTGGCTATTGGCTTGGGCTTGGCTACATGTATTTTTTTTTTTTTTTTTTTTTTTTTTTTTTTTTTTTCCCTACTCCCTTTTTCCCTCCGTTTTTTGTTTTGGCTTTTTGTGTATGGTTCAGGGTAGTTTGAGGTGTATACGGATTGTTTGGGCTGAGCATAAGAAAAAAATCTCACAGGCAACTACATACTTTTGGTACGAGGCAGTGAGTCGGAGATGACAAAGAGTGACGAAACCCACAGAAAAGAAAAGAAATCATGTCGATAAGAGTCAATCCTGTCCGTGTTTGGTCATGCTGTGTGATGGACATGTTCAGCTCGTCATAATGGATATGGATGACTGAAACAGGGCGAGTGACTCTATTTCGTAGGGCACGTGCGTGTTGTGAGTACGAATACATGTACGTATGTGGACGTATGTACATAGGTATGTATGTAGACGATGAGTTGGCAACACTCTTTGGTCTCGCTCTTGTTTGTCTGCAAGCCTTGTCGGTGGATGGGAAACTAAGGCCAGTTGGAGTATCATGTTTCGAAAGGACACTTGAGATTCATTTTCAGCCGAAATCGAGATGCCTACGCGAGGCAGCGGCGCCTCGGTTATCACAACTCAATCTGCCAGGTCGTGCCGCAGTCACGCAGAGCGCACAACGTAGCCCATGACGACGAGGCAGCAGCTCTATGGCCTTGAGGGTGTCCAAACAAAGAATGAAAAGAAAAAAAGAAGGAGGGGGGTGACTGGTCATTCGAGGCAAGCAAATGATTTGATCGAAAATCCGCAGCAATCACAATGCGCAAAAATCCGCCTACCAATGCAATGCAATGCAATAATACGATGCAGCAGTTCCCAAAAGAACATGAAGAGAGAGGGAAAACGGCCCCCAAAATAGGCTAACTGGCGCTGTGCTTCTATATTGGGCTCCCAGCTGAAACTAAGACGGATGCAGCTTGCATGGGGGTTGGCTGCATTGGCATGGGTTGCATATGCCGACACGTGCGAAAGGCTGAAGGAAGGCAAACCCGACAGGTAGGTTTTTGATTAACGGGCTGAACCTGAGCCCGGCCGTGATTGGGAAAAAGACAACCTGGGCAGACGAGGGGAGAGAGAGGGTGTAGGGAGTGGGCGAGAACCTGAACTTCGGGTCTTTTTTACTGGGGGGTTGCCGTGTCTCCTCCGCCATGCGAGCTTTGCCATGCGAGCTTGCCATGCGTTGTGTAGCCCGCTAGTAGTTTTCGAGGGTAGCATCTCGATGGAGGAGAGACGCCGGTCTTGTGCCTCTTTTCTGTTTGGGAGCTTGGCGAGATTGGCTCGGATATTGCTAAGCATCGATGCTTTGTTTGCTTGTTTGTTCTTTTTTTACCCTCGCCTCGCCTCGGTATCTGACAAAGGGGGCCCGCAGTAACCAAGTGGTTCTCTCTTTTTTTTTTTTTTTTTTTTTCTGTTTCCAAGAGAGGGGAGAGGGGGGATTTCACCAACAACTAAGGCTGCTGAGGGGTTTTATTCGGTGTTAGTTCGAGATGGAGAGGGGGGAAAAAGACAAAAAAGACAGCCCTGGAGGGAAAAAAAAAAATAATGCACCGAGACGGAGAAGAGAGGAGAGAGACATTACGCCGTATGCCCGTTAGAACCCGGCTCCATAAAAACAAAGCCAGGTGAGGCTCTTGGCCCAAGGATTTAGAACACTGGGATGCCACGTTTGAGCTGGGCGGTTTTTATCTCCGCAGCCCAAGCACTTACACCAAACCCAGAGCGAGCACCAGCAGCTCTGCAGGCCTTGATTCCTTCGTCCTTCTCCACCGTCTCCGGCTCCTCTTCTGCCTTGGCCACCCCCTCGTGCGGAGTGAGGATTCCAATAATTGCTTGCCGTGTCAACCGCCCTGTCCCGGGTCAATATTACCACGGTCAAGACAAGACTGACGAAAACGGGGGGTGGGCAGCCGGCCACTCACTCAGTCACACAGCCCGCCGCCGCATCCAGTTCGGTCCCCTTCTCATGACAAGGGAGCCGTAAGGCGGAGAGATAGGACGAGACACGGCCAGAGCAAACAAGGCAGGAATCGTCACTCGGCCTGTTCAGCTCTTTGTCGGAAAACGGTGAGCTGAACAGAACATGACTGTTGCTGGCAGGGGTGCATCAGGCGACGGCGGAGACTCATCACCAACACGTCTTGCATCTTCTGACGACCCCCTTCCCACGGAGCTGATTCCGGGGTGCTTTCCATTGTTTCCCTCTTCTTGTACGGCGCTCGCACTTGGGAGCTAGGGGGGGAAAGGCCGTCGAACAGAGACTTCGTTACACGCTATCTGACTTTATGTGTATAAGATAACCCCTCGCCCTGGCGCTTTGGGACTGTCAAAGACGCTCATCACTGACAGATTTCTTTCGGTTATCGCCAGACAAGGGTCGTGAGCGCTAATAAGCCGATACCCTAAGCTTAAGACTATTCTTCCCATTGGATGCTTTTGCTCTGAACAAGGGAGCTTTTTTCTTTGTCTGTTTGGACAACTGCCAACGTTGTCATCCTATTCCTCTTACGGCCATGTCAGAGTACTATGGTACTGGATCGACGTCAGGATATACGGCGCCCAGACAAGTCAAGACATCCAATAACATCAGGAGTGAGGAGGAAATCAATGTTCAAGGCCCGCTTGAGGTAGCCGGCTCCGTCCAGTCTGGCCGTGGCATCAACTTCCAGGGCAGCATCTCTGTCAAAGGACCCATCGATGCCTATGGCAACATCACCACAAAGGGGGAGATGAGTTGCCAGTAAGTTGACCAGTTCATCGAAAGGGGTAAATATTGAATGGGGTCGGTCAGGGTCGAGAACAATGCTGACTCGTGGTCAACAAAAAGGGGACAGATCAAGGCATACGGCAACATCCTGATCAACGGCTACCTAGCCTCCAGGTGAGTGTCGCCATACAACGACACCACACACGACCACACCGTTGCTAATGCGAATCCACCACAGCGACAAGATCATAGGATATGGAAAGCTGAGGGTGGAAGGCACCCTGGAAGGGGTAGAGCTCGAGATTTGGGGAAACTTGATTATCATTGGCTTCCTGTAAGATTGGAATCCCCATGCGCCAACAAGGCTGTTACCGCCACGGAGACACCACGGCTGACTTGGCAATCACAATAGGAAATGCAGGCACCTGGTTCTTTATGGTTCATTGACCCTCATTGGGCCAGATTCCACCTATCTCGTCGAGGAATCAGAACAAATTGCGGGGGCCAAGCTGATGCGCGACACGGAGGCAGATTGGGATTTGTGAGCCAACAGAGATACCCTGGCGGATGTATGTGCTTGAGACATGCATCCTGTCGTGATGAAATGATAGAGACGCTCTGAACCCACTGGGGAGCAGAGCATGGTGTGAAACGAGGGCAATATAGACATGGTGTTTTTTTTTTTTTTGTATGCATGGATAGTTTGGTTGCCGGGTAAGGCACCCCCCTGAGATACGGAGTAATATAGATTAAGAGATGAGATCAAGGAAATAAGGGTAATCTCACATACTAGGATCTCATCAAGATTGCCGCGTCAGCAATTATAGTATTACCGACCTCGGCTGCCTATGCAAGGTTTATGTTTGCTGCATCGAATGGCTGTGGGGAGGACTGCCAAAACCGATGGGCCGGATCTTCGCTTTGGAGCGTGTAATAAAAAGAGAAGAGGAATTGAGCAGCCAAATTTAGCAACTGGAATAGACTCTTAGCACCGGAACAACGCTGCAAAGACTCCGACGAGACATTTTTGCGCCTTTGTGTGATGTTGCTTCAGCTGAACCAAATTGTCCTCAGCTGAAAAGCCCACGCCTCGTCCGACTTACAGCAGCCACGATGACTCAGCACCTCGAATGCAGGCACCCAAATTACAGCGCACGGTCCTCTTTTCCTCCCTGATGGATCGGGCTTTAGCTCCCAAAGAAAGCTAGCCACTGCAACGCGGTTGTCGAAGTCACGCCAACAATCGACCGGGTCGCGACAACGTTGAGCATCTCCAGATGGACGGCATCGAGTGCGAATCCCCGAGATCCGACAGCACTTGATTTGATCCAGCGCGCTGCTACGGCTACGAAGCTACAGGTGCTGTGGATTGCGCCGCCCACAATGGCCACCTCAACCGAGCCCGAGCCCGCAGTCGCCCCAACCGCCATGGACCATGAGGAAGTTGTTTCTCCAAAGACGAAAACTGCGACCTTTGAGCTCGCCGAGGGCCCCTCCATGGGACCAATGAGCAGCGTCCTCACGGCACGCGCTGATCCAGATGCGCAGACGACAGTTACCGACTTCCTCGACTTCACGGAGTATCTGCCTGCCGACATGATGCGCTCCCTTACGCTCGTGGGCCAGCTGGATCAGAGATATGCGGATGCTTCACACAAGGTCGATGACTTGACGACACTATGGGGACAGCTTCCAGGGCTACCGGCCCATGAGCGCCCGTCGCCGGTGCAGCTGCGCGCTGACATCTCGGAGCACTTGAAGCAAGCGCTGGATTCGCGCATCTTTGCCCATGCAGAGGCAGTGAGAATGGCCGACAATGTCAACCGCCACTACAACAAGGCCACGGCGCTACTATCTAAACTCAAGACGATGATGGAAAATTACCCAACGGAGGAGCAGGCTCCTGTCGAGCCTAGGTCTCCTCAAATGACGAGGGCGAAGTTGACAGTGAGAGCTACTGGGGAAGATGGGCAGAAAGTGCGCCGGTCTCGAGTCCCTCGAATCACGGTTCCCGGCGAGGTTCTCGCGCCCTACGAAATTGAATACGACACCTTTAGCGACGATAGCGATATCAGCTCTGATGAAGAGTCCGAACCGCCAGCCACCAACCGCAGGATACAAGTTCCTACGCCTCGGATCAAGCTTGTCAGCAACAAGAGCCAGAAATCTAGTGGCCGCTCTTCACGAGGACAATATGCTACGCCTGCCCTGAGTGCTGCGGCTGCAGCAAATGCGGCAGCGCTGCTTAACCCTCCACCCGAAAACGCTGTCATCGGCAGCCCTGACGCACCGTGGCTACAGTTGACCCAATATGAGCTGGCCAAACTTAGGAAACGGATGAAGAAGAACGCAACGTGGACGCCTAGCGAGACCATGATTGCTAGGGAACTGAAGGCCTTGTGTCGTGGGCCAGATGCTTACCGAGAGGCCAAGAAGAAGGCAGAGGAGGAAGGCCGGGTGTTTGAGGCAACGGTGCCAACGCCCATCATAGACAACGAATCGGGGACTCGACAGATGCCTGCTGGCGCCATCAGCGTCGATTCGTTGGCTGCCACCGAGGTGCCGACCAGCAACCGCGGCATGAAGCTCAATGAAGCCAAGAAGCTCAAGAGAGAGCAGCTAGCAAAGCTGGCGGCCGAAGAAGCCGAGGAATCTGCCCGTAAGATGCAGCAGGCAGCAAAGCTGTTCCTGGGCAGCAGCACGACTTCCAGCATGACGCCCGAGAACGCAAAGAGCCCTGGACCGCAGCCCAAGCCGCGGACCAATTCCAGGTCTAAGCGAAAGAGAGATACTGAGGACGAGACCAATGGCGACACGGCAACAGTGGCAACGACAGAAGGCGGTGAAGCATTGTCATCATCGCGGCCACAGCCAAAGCGCACCAAGACTGAGACACCTGTCCCACCGCCAGTGCCCGGTCTGATTCCACAAGGCAGCTCGGTCTCCTCCGACAACTCTGCACCCCAAGCTGCCGCGACGTCTGGGGCAGCTAGTGCTGTTCCCCAGTCGGAGACTCCCGTTCCGATCCCCATCCCTCCGCAGTCTTCCGTCACGACCAGGTCAGCAACATCTCCAGCGCCAGGCTCAACCATTGCAGCCAATACGAGCAACGGCACAGTCACCGTCTCTACTCCCGCGCCTATCAAAACTCCGTTTGAAACCCCTGTCCCTCTTCCTAAGACGGAGCCCAGGATGTCTACCACACCTATCCCTCCGCCGACGATTAGAGAGCTGCCCGGGCGAGAGGCCAGTAAGCGTGAAACGCGGGGAGAGGCGGCGAAGCGATCACAGCAACAGCAGCAGCAGCTATCTGCGTCGACGTCACCTCAACTGCCGCGGGGCCAATCAGCGGCGCCTGAAACGGCGTCCATCAAGCAATCATCATCACGCGGCGGCACGCCCAGATCAACACCGGCCCCAGAGTCGCTCCCTTCTCGCCGACCCGGCTCGCGAGGTAAAGCCGCGAGCCAGGAGCCACAGCCGTCACTGGCCGTGGATCGATCTCGCCGTGCCAGTACGGCGCGCAACACTCCGGTTCCTGAAGTCAAGCAGCCGGGCAAACGTACCAAACGTCCCGCCCCCGGTGTTGTCAGTACGACTAGCAGCGGCGGTAACAGCGCCGTTGGCAAGCGTAAAGCGGCACCCAAGAGGAAGGCCCGCGCGACCAAGAGAGACAAGGGTCAAGTGACGGAGGAGATGGTGGAGGTGGATGATGAGGGCAACCCTATTGATCCTGACGAGCCACGATATTGCCTCTGTAATAGAGTGAGCTTTGGGACCATGATTCAGTGTGATAACGTCGATGTAAGTTCAAGCAATAGTCCAAGATGGGCAAACTCATCCGCGGAGATGCTGTCTGAGAAGCCAGACCCCGCTGACAAAGCAGCAGAATTGCAAGCAGGAATGGTTCCATCTCGAATGCGTAGGCCTTTCCGATATCCCTGCACGAACGACGAAATGGTACTGTCCCGACTGTCGTAGGCTTCTCAACATCGGAGAGAAGGGAGAGATTAGTGCCCGGGGGGTTAAGAAGTAGGCTTTTCCTATTTTATGCATGTTGTGTGTTTTGATTGTCGTGTGTTAATAATGCGAAGCATGGAGTTAGAGGGCCTTGGAATACGGGTACTGGGACGGAATATGAGGTAGGCAATCTCTTCGCCGATATGCTACGAGTGAGCCATCGGAGATATGGCGACTACGTGCTTTTTTTTTTTTTTTTTTCTCTTCTTCATATGGCTTCAAGAAAATGACGGGTGTTTTCCCTCCCCGATTCACCAAAGATATACATGATGATGGCTTGTCTGATGTTTTGTTTGCATCGCAGTTAGAATAACGGGCCGCACCGGTGCTATGAATCATGAAAATCATGAATAGAGCGAGAAACGAAGCGCAGACATAAATCGCAGGTTCGGTCGGAACGCTTCCGACGGAGGGAACTTGCCGCAATACGGGACGAGACGCCGGAAAACGACCGGAGGCGGGGTTTTGGTTGCAAGCCGGGTTGATTACCCAACGCTTGATTACCAAGGCACTTATAGGTAGCAGCTAGTTTGGAGAACCACACAGGACGGATCCGATGGTTGAAGGGATTTTGAACTTTTAAACACACGCAATTCTCTTTACAAATTCGTCGTTTTTCATTCTTTGTCTATCTAGATTACTACCCTATACACAAAATGTCTGGTTCTGTCGATGCGGGATATACTCCTCTGTATCCGGTTACCGATTCGCTTCCCGATCCCGGGATCCGGACCTTCATCAGCAACTTTTACAAGATATCCGATAATCAGGAGGCGAATGCGCTGTGGGTTGACCAGTTTACCAAGGATGCGCATGTAGCTATTGGGCCTGGCAAGGCGGATGGAGCGGAAGGTGAGTTTTTTCTCTTCTTCTCTTGTGTTTCTTCTTCGAGAATGATGGAGGCTCTTTCGGATGCTTCTTGTAAGTTGTCGGATATGGACATGAAGCGTCGGCGGATGGGCGCAACAACCCTCAATTGCACAAGACCTTGATGAGATTTTCTCAGTGCTACTTAATTAATTTTAATTATATATGCTAATGAAGCACAACAGAGCTCCGCACAATGCGCGAGGGGATGTGGTCCGTCGTGGCAGAACGAAAGCACACAGTCACTCAAGTGTTCCCGGGGCGGTTCAACGACACGGAAGACAGCAAGGGATGCGAGCTGATGCTGCACGGCGACGTGGCGTACAAGACCAAGGACGGCAACTCGAGCACAATTCCATGGGCAGGACACGGGGTTCTGAGAAAGGTGCGGGATGAGGCCGGGGAGGAGGCGTGGAAGTTTGCGCAGTATCGGGTGTATCTGCTCAAATAGAGGGCGAGTTGAGTTGGTACTACATCTTATCTTATACCAGACCAAAGCACCAATACAATCCATCAACGTCCATGGTATGCGCACGAGTATTAATAGCAACTCCTTGCTGCTAGCACTGCATTCATCTCATGCATTAGCACCAGCTTATACTTTGTGTGCTGTGCAGTGTTGTGTTGATGCTCCACTATGAGGTGCTTGATCCATGCGGTCAAGACCGTTTCACATGAAAGCGCCAGATTGTTACAAGCACGCAGAAAAGGGACAAATCACTGCCATTCGTTCCAATGTTTACTTAATGTGCTGACGTTTGGAACTCATTCGTTTGCATTTGCAGGTGAGGGGTGGAAAAAGGTACGGCAGCCACATGCAAGCCTCCCCTTGCGATAAGCAAAGCGGCTGGTTTGGTTCCATCGGGGCTTATCAGAGACCCAGGGGGGTTGAGCGATACCGGCAATGGGGGAGGGAATTGTATGTGCAGTAGTACATGGTATCAACTTGATGGGAATTTCGTATGTCTCCTGCAATACTAAAAGTGAGGGAATGATGATGGTGATGACGATGACGATCTCGACAATGATGGAGGTGAGGGGTTGCGTGCTGGTTGCTGTGTTTGTCTAGACTCAAGGCTATTAGAGCCTTTCCCCGGAATCCCAGTGGCGATCCTGCGGCAGCGTCACCGTCCCTTGCATTACTCTCTACAGTACGACTTTCGCTCTGCGCAACTTAGCGTTGACTGGCAATCGATCTATGTAAACAACGCGAACTGCTTCAAGAAGCTCGGGTTTTGCCACGGGGGGGAAAAGGCTGGAACGATTTGCTCATCCCCCACTCGTGTCCATGGCGTAGGAGGCACCCATCACCTGACACCTCATCACGCCTCCGTCCAGAGTGATAGCTTGGGTTTTAATTAATCGGCAGCAGGCGGTAATTATAGCACTTCGCGGGACTTCTTTCAGCTTCCACGAGTGTTGTCCATTCCTGGCGATGCGAAGGAGGAACATGTAGGGGGGGGTGTGAGAGTGTGGCGCAACGAGGCCGGAGCATTGCATCAAAGAAGCTGGCAGCTGTGAACAGCAGAAGGGAGCTTATCAGTTATCAGCAAAGAGAAGAGCCTGAATGAGTGTTGCTCCTTTATTCAACAAACCCAGGGTTCTTTGTACGGGCGGGTTGATATTAGGTACTAGGTAGCTCCGTATCGGACTGGACTGGACTGGTACCTGTGCCTATCATCGCAGAGAGATAAGGAGAAAGGAGTACGCCGAACTTTGTATCGTCAATATCTTAGTCATTTGCCGGGGCGTCCATCCCTATTCCTATTCGGCGGGGACGTCATTTTGGCAACGGCTGATGATGTTGATGACGCGCCGGAGCCGGTCACTGGTCTGGTCTGGTCTGGTGAGGTGGCTGAGGCATGCTAGTGAATTGCTTTGTCTTGGTGAGAGGTACCCGGTACAGTGCCTGTCCATGGCAGATGATGGAGCGTTTCTAGCCGCAAGGGACGCAGCAGGTGCTTGTTCTCGCATTTGACCATGGATGTCTTGTTCTCGGCTCTGCCCGGGAGTGACGGAATCGTCCATTCATGTCGACAATAGGTACATGCATGCCATGACCGTGCAAAGTACCATGTACGTGGTCATCATGACTTCCAGAGTTCCGTCTTCACCCGTACTCTAGGTATCGAGTACATGCACAAAGCTGTTCCGTTGGGGCAAGCGGCCGGCATCCATCAATTTCTAAACGCGCCGCCAGAACCCGAAGCCGCAGGGCCACTCAGCGATAGGCACTGTAGCGCGCGTGGCAGTCCGTCGATTCGATTGGGCAGATTGCGCTCAGATGATTGGTACTTGACCTGTCACGTACAGTACCTAACCCAACACTGCTGCGTACCTAGCTAGTACCTACAGCAGCGCAAGGAGAGGTACAGCAGAGTTTACGGGATGTCATCGCGAGGTACCTTGCATTAATCAAAATCAATCCGTATTCCCACGCACCTGCACCTGCACAAATCCTCCGTGCTGTACCCCGTGCATCGCCGCTGGAAGCACTGGAACTCGACTCGACAAGCCGGAGAGACACCCCTAGAAAGCACCGGACTCCAGGTTCGCCTAGCTGAGATTAGCGCTGCCGCGAGCGCTGTTGCCCCTGTGGCCGCGCTGACCACAGGACCAAGTCCGTCATTTCTACCAGCCAGTACCTCTCCGTAACAGTACACGGCACGCCCCCCCTCTGACCAAGACCCCCCTTCGGCCCCCCCCCCCCCCCCCCCCCTTGGCAGAATCACGCCCCCCAACAACTGCCACTACAGGCCGGCCAGCGGACCTGGAACCTTCCCCCCCGCGTTATCGAGTCACTGACAACAACGCCCCGGCCGTCGCTGTACCAGCAGGTACGAGTACATGCGGCCAAGGCACTCATGTTGATGCTGTAATTGCCATTGGCGCGCGGCGGCTCATCAAAGCTGCCACCCCCCCAAAACGTCTTGAGCAACAGCGGAACCCTTCTCTCCATCATCCATCTCTTACAACTTGCTACATTACATTACTTTACATTACATACAAACGTCAAACGATACCAGCTCAAACAGCACTCTGTCTCTTTCTTTGATGAACCAGCTCGGCTCTGAATAATACTGTTCTTGACGACCTTTTCTTCTCTTTGTTCTTGTTTTCGGTACATAACGATAGACGTCGCATCTTCTCACGAACACCAAAAAACGAGGCCGGTGGCTGCGCCATTCCCTGCCTACCAACTATACTTATACCAACCTAGAGAGCACCTTGTTTCCTTTGTTGCACGAACCAGCGTATTACTGCACATTTCGTATTGACCTTTTGCCAATCATCTCTCCGTGCTACTATATCTGCCTAGTAGTACCTCGGACGCGAGCCCCTCGTCACCGTCGATAGCCCCTCTGTTCCTCCCGCAGGCAAACCCCTTATCTGGCGGTACCTCAAATCTCGTCTATACGCCTACCAGCTACCGGAGCTGCCTGCCTAGCCTGCCTGCTCGACGAGAAGCTTCCATCTTTGCCCATCGAGGGGATCGGGACAATACTTGCATCCCTACCTATTATACTATCTTTTTTTTTTAAATCCCTTTTCTTTTTTTCCCCAACCCATTTTCGATCTAGCAACGAGCTTTAGCTTTGGCTTTCCAGAACCCGTTCGTTCTGCGGAAGCAAAAGCAGCTGGAGCGGGACCACTGCTCCAATCCCCTTACACAGGTTGAATGCCGGGTGAGTAACAGTCCCGTCTTATCTTGTACCACGGCTGTGACGACACTGCGATAAGACGTGCATCGCCATCCCTTGAATACGCCAAGGCAGACATACAGACCGACCGGCCGACAGACATACATACATACAGACACACATAAAAAGGGCGTTATCGCTGACCTATGTATTCCCTACAGCCAAGAAGGAAAGGAAAAATGCAAAGCACAGCGGCGGCATTGCCGCAGCGGTGACCAAACAGACGGCCGGCAAGTTCGCGTGAGTCCTCCCGCTAAATTCTCCCCCCATGGCATGGCATGGCACAGGCATCGCAGCGCATGGCCCTCGTCGGCCTCGTGACTCACCCTTTCTGCTGCGCATTTCCTTGCTGCTCTTCGCCTTGGGCATGATGCAATATAGACGGCTGGGTTTGCTGACTTGGTGCTTGTGAATAAATAGGAGACCTGTCAACGACGGCGACGAAAGTGGAAACGACACCCCAAAGAGCATTCCTACTTCCAACGCCTCCTCCCCTCCCATCAACACGCCCGAGATAAGACCTACGGCCGTTCCTGACAATGACAATCCTGAGCCGTCGCCTTCCTTGGATGCCCTGTCCACCACTTCGGTCTCTGCAAGCACAGCTCCCAGCGTGATACATGACTGGGCGAGAAACGGAATGGCAGCCTCTCCGAGCAACCTGATCGCCCTGGCGAGTGAATCGCCGCCTACACAGCCCTCTTCCTACGAAGACTCGGGCCGCCTTCACCATGGCTGGACGGCCCAGAGGGCCTTCATGACGCCGTCGCCGGCATCGCCCTCTCCGCCCACCAGTCACCCGAGGCGGCCTCTCAGCTACCAACTGGATCCCCAATTTGTGTCTCCGGACAACATGCCCCGGCCTTCTTCGACTGCCGCTCACCATCGCCGGAGCTCCCTTCACTCTCCGGTCCCGTACTCTCACGCTCACTCCCGCGTCGGCTCCCACCCCCCTCCGCTTCCCCACCAACCCCAGGCGCACTTTTACGGCGTCTCAGACCTAGACCTTACCATCAAGCCTCAGTCCGGTATGAAGCCGGGCGACCAGGGACTCTACTTTGGCTTCGACAAGCTCCCGAGCCCCTACAGCTCTGCTAGCTCTGGGAATGTCGTCTTGGCCGGGTATCAGGGCGGCTTGGAGGTGTACGGGGTCAGCAAAAGGGGACTCGAGCACATCGCCAGCCTCAAGGGCCTGCGGGGTGGTGTCCATTATGCCAAGATACTGCCGTGGACGGTCGGCGCAGACAAAGACTCCGTGTTCCCCTTGGTGGCTCTGGTCGTGCACGGCCCTGTACTCCCTCAGCGTGCAGCTCCGGCTGCAGGCCCGGAGGACGATGACGACACCGCGAGGAAACTCGACGGTGCGGCGAGTCCCCGGTCTGCCTATGCTCAGCAAGACGCCTTTCCTGGGCGGGGTGGCCAGAGCGGCCATGTGATTGAGGCATACCAGACTGCCGTCGAAATCTACTCGCTCAAGACAAACAAGCTGGTCGATGTCCTATTGCAGGCGCCCGCCATTCCCATCAGTGCAGAGGTTTCTCTGACTAGCCCAATTTTCCAACCTCCGCCTCCCACTGGAGCGTTTGCCATCAAGGCAGATGCCGGGACCGTTGCGGTATGCTCCGGCGCTACTGGCGAATGCTGGATATACACGCAGCTGCTGCAGGCGCAGAATGGACACGTCTTTGCGTGTACTGCCAAGCTGTGGACATGTGTGCAGCAAAGTCAGCGGGGCGGCGATGTAGCTGAGGAGGCGGATAAGATGAACCCCCTTGGCACGATTCGCCGATCCAACCCTCCAACGGCCATATTCGCTCTCAATGGCCGCAAGATTGCCTATTGCCCGGCACCGCCGTCTTCCAATATTGCCATTCGAGCCCATCTACCTGTGCCAATCCTGGGAAGAGGGGCGGGCGTTTCATCTCACACGCCGCCTCACCTTCCTTCAGTTACCGCTGCCATAGATCTACCTATTTCCGACAGTGTCGTCAACAAAGTGATGCGCGAGGCGACCCAGGAGCTCATTCAAGGCGCGAAATGGGTCGGCCAGCAGGGCTTACAAGCTTGGAACTCGTATTGGAATCGATCAACAAGCCCGCAGTCCCAGCAACAGCAGCAGCAGCAGCAACCCCGATCACCACCTCAGCAGTGGGCTGCTCGCAACGACGGTGTTGCATTTCCACCGACTCATGGTTCATCTGCACAGGCGGCGTCAGCCAAGGATCCAGGACTTGTCTCCATCGTGGACGTTGACTCGCTGGTGACGTCTCCTTCTATCCACCCTTCTTGCACGTTCGCCACGCCTCTAGGCTGCAGTTTCCTGTCGTTTTCGCCGTCCTCCTTGTCTCTGTTCACGGCGAGCAGCAAGGGAGATGTACAGACAGTGTGGGACCTGCTCCGTGTTCAACACACCCATTCCTCGCCCTTGCAGGCGTCGTTGGCCTCCCATGATAGTGTTGGTCCCCAGGTTCGCCAGATTGCCCAGTTCTCGCGCATGACTGTCGCGCGTATCATCGAAGTGGTATGGACGGAGCCTCAAGGCGAGCGGCTGGCCATGGTGACGGAGAGAGGCACTGTTCATCTCTTGGAGATGCCGTTTAGCGCTTTCATGTGGCCACCGCCACGTAGGCGCAAGGTGACGCAAAAGCCTGCCGCCGAACCGTCTGAGCCCTCGAGCTCCGCCGTTTCTCTCGCATCTGGCGCCTTTGGTGCGGCATACCAGGTGGCAATGCCCTTTGTCACACGCTCGCGCCAGGGCAGCGGTAATAGTTCAACCACTGCCGGTAGCATACTGAAGGACTCGGCAGCTCAGGGTGGGCGTGCGATTGCTGCAAGCATTACCAGCTCTATTGGAAAGACTGGCTCCGCCATCAGCCAGTTACGCCACACCGGAGAGAATCGAGTGTCTCTGCCTCCGAGCGCCTCGTTACCCTCGTCGTCGTGCGTCATTTGGATCAGAGGCAAGCGAAACGCCTCTCTCTTCAACCTGGGTGGAGGCCTTGTCCGAACGTACCCCAGCAAGTCTCGACGTCACAGCGGCAAGCGCAATACACGCGCCAATCGATATACGGATCATCGATTGCCTTTGCTGCCAGACGATACCGTTGCTCCGGCAGTTCGCCAGATCCTAGAACTGGGTGCTCAAGAAGAGTATCTGGAGCTTTCAGATGCGGAACTGGACGTTGGAACGACATTGACGCTCAAGGGCCGTCCACGCGTGGTTTCCAACACTCTTCATACCATGGGCGAGACCATTCCCCAGGCAGAAATTGAGTGCAGTGCGCCATATCAACCTTTCCACACTGACAGACGCGTCGTTCTTTGCGAATATACTCCCGGCTATGGTAGTCAGCTCGTTGGAATGTCGGACGTTCTTGCAAACTCTTCGTTGGATACCAATGCAGCGCCGACCTCCAAGAAGTCAAAGAAGGCACAGCATCTGACGGCAAATGCACCAAGCGGCGGGTCAGATGAAGCTGCTTGGGCGTTTGGGCAGGACATCTCCGTCGTCAAGCTGGATCTAGGCCTCCCCTCCGCTTTTGAGGACGAATACGACGATCCAGAGGACCACCGACCTCTGCCCCCATCAGCCATGGAGCGTGTTATGGAGTATGGCGATTCGGAGCAGATTGTCGTTACAACAAGGCGACGACGTGGAGCTCACCAAGGAGACCCTGACGGCGATGGATTCTTTGAGGACGACTGCGAGGTTCTCGATTTTGCCGACCAGAGAGTCTAAGTAAGCGGCTGCCAGACAATCTTCCTATTTCAGGACTGAGCCCTTACAATGAGATTCTTGATACTCGAGAGAGAATCTTTTTTTTTTCTTTTCTTTTTTTTTCTTGGGTATAAACTAGGTTCTACTAATTTGACAACTTCTGACATGGGTTCACTGTTTTGCTTGGCTTTCTTCTTCTTCTCTTGAGCAAAGTTGAGCAACACTGTTGGAGGATTGGTTTTGACGGATGCTTATACTCTTCGAGTCCTTCACTAAGGCTGCTCGGGATTTATCTAGATTGGATGCGCCGCCTGTACGGTTGCACGTTCCTGTATGTTCTATAGGTAGCATCTCTTCAGTTTAGCAGCTCCTGTTGCGCCTGATTATTGAATAGACACCACTCGAGATACCCAAACTAATGTCGCCTCTTTCCCCTTTAATATGTTATTCCCAGTCCTTATGATGAAGCTCTGTCTGTTGCACGAGGCTTATATGCGCACCCAAATTCGTACATGATTGTGCAAATGCACTATTAATGTTGATTGCTATGGCCACTCTAACACCCAGGTTACCCATGCATACATAGATGACGGGCCTTTCCGCACATGTGCACATATACATGTCAGGTATTATGTTTCTTCTTCTTTACGCCTTCTTCTTAGCAGCAGCCTTGGCCTTGGCAGCTTTCTTCTGGTTGCTCCGAATCATGACCATGCCGACGAAGGAGCCGACGACGGCAGAACCCAGGAGGAGGAGGATGACGGGAATGCGAATGGCCCAGGCGCGAGGGAGGAAGAAGCTCTGAAGGGGGTGGTCTATATCGACAAAGGGCTGTAAGTTGTTTGTTAGTATGATTCGACTTTCTTTCGCAGCAAGCATGCTTTTTTGGGAGGGGAGGAAGGTTTACCATGAGGAGGGTCCAGATGGTGTAGTAGAGGAAGATGACGGAGGCGGCCACAAGCATGGCGAAACCGACGAGTTTATCAAGCTGAGGAAAGTTAGCTGGTGTGGTTCCTTGCGGCGTCGAGTTGGGGGTGTTGTTGAATTGGAGGTGGTGATATCACTGGAGGGAAGGGGGGGGAAACGTACCATTGTTGGGGAGCTTTTGTATGTTTACACGGGATGCGATTTAATTGATCGTGGCGAAGAATGATTGAAAGATGAGCTTGTGTCTCCGTAGAGCGAGTAACCGGGGCGCGAGAATATAAAGGAGCGTGGGTGGTTATTTTGTTTGGGGGCGAGGGGAGAAAGAGAGAGAGAGAGAGAGAGTCGCTGCTTGAGGCGCGAACAAGAAGGTTGGCAGGCGATGTGCCCACGCTGGCATGAAGTGGGTTTTTGGGGGACGCGCCAGGGATTGAGAGTTTGATTCCGAGGGCCTTTTTAGGGGCTTTTGGTTTGCGGTACGGTTTTGGAGGTACGTGTGGCGGTGCAGTTGGTACACGGAGCTGCGCAGCAGTGTGTATGGCAGTTGAATGTAGCAAACTGTTGTAGTGCGAGGCTGCTCTGTACACTCTTAGTAGCTGGGTGTGGCGCATGCAGCAGCTGGGACATGGTCCGTGCACCCTTTTTTTCTTTTCTTTCAGCCTAGCCTTTCTGCTCTGAGTCGGACCATCTCTTTGCTCTTGGAATAAAACATCCGCGCCGTCTCGATCTTGGGTCGACGACCAAGGCAAACCAGTTTGTGCACAAGCATTGTCTCGCCTGCTCGCTTGTATCCCGCTTCGATTGCTTTCCATTTCTTTTTTAATCCCTCGACGGCACTTTCTCTCTCCAGCTAGATCGCGAACACGATGGCGTCGGCCGTGGTCGACATGCCGCACCGCGAGCGCGGAAAGCAACGAGATGGTGGCGATTCCTATCGCCCTGCTCGTGCTGCGCGCTCGCCCGTCCCAGTACCGGTGCGGACGGAGGAGGAGAAGCAGGCAGCAGCAAAGGCCGAGTACGAGAAGCTGCTCAACATGCGGTCGGGAGGCACGTACATTCCGCCAGCGAGGCTCAGGGCGCTGCAGGCGCAGATCACGGACAAGACCAGCAAGGAGTATCAGCGGATGGCGTGGGAGGCGCTCAAGAAGAGCATCAACGGCTTGATCAACAAGGTCAACACGGCCAACATCAAGCACATCGTCCCCGAGCTGTTTGGCGAGAACCTGATCCGGGGGCGGGGCCTGTTCTGCCGGTCCATCATGAAGGCTCAGGCTGCCAGTTTACCCTTCACGCCCATCTACGCGGCCATGGCGGCCATTGTCAACACCAAGCTGCCGCAGGTTGGCGAGCTGCTGATCAAGCGCCTCATCATGCAGTTCCGCAAGGGCTTCAAGCGAAACGACAAGGCCGTCTGCCTTTCCTCGACGACGTTCCTCGCGCACCTGATCAACCAGCAGGTCCAGCACGAGATGCTGGCCGGCCAGATCCTGCTTCTGCTCCTGCACAAGCCCACGGACGACAGCGTCGAGATTGCTGTTGGGTTCTGCAAGGAGGTCGGGCAGTACTTGGAAGAGATGCAGCCTGCCATCTCCATGGCCGTCTTCGATCAGTTCCGCAACATCCTCCACGAGTCCGACATCGACAAGCGAACCCAGTATATGATTGAGGTGCTTTTCCAGATCCGAAAGGACAAGTTCAAGGAGAGCCCGGCTATCAAGGAGGAGCTGGATCTTGTTGAGGAAGAGGACCAAATCACACACAAGGTTGAGCTTGATGGCGAGATTGACGTTCAGGACGGGCTCAACATCTTTAAATTCGACGCCGAGTGGGAGGAGCATGAGGAGGCTTACAGGAAACTCAAGGCGGAAATTCTCGGCGAGAGTAGCGACGATGAAGACGAGGATGACGACGAGGATGAGAGTGACGAGGAAGAGGAGGAGGAATCGAAGGCCATGGAGATTAAGGACCAGTCCAACGCCGACTTGGTCAACCTCCGAAGGACCATCTACCTTACCATCATGTCGAGCGCCGATCCAGAGGAAGCAGTCCACAAACTGATGAAGATCAACCTCCCCGCTGGTCAGGAGCCGGAACTGCCGTCGATGATTGTCGAGTGTTGCTCTCAGGAGAAGACGTATACCAAGTTCTTTGGCCTGATTGGCGAACGCTTTGCCAAGATCAACCGTCTCTGGTGCGATCTTTTTGAGCAGGCCTTTGCCAAGTACTACGAGACTATCCACCGATATGAGAACAACAAGCTACGAAACATTGCCATGTTGTTCGGCCACATGTTTGCCGCCGACTCTCTCGGCTGGCACTGCCTCTCCGTCATCCACCTAAACGAGGAAGAAACCACGTCCAGCAGCCGTATCTTCATCAAGATCTTGTTCCAGCACATCTCTGAGGAAGTCGGCTTGGCTAAGCTAAGGGCTCGCATGACTGACGAGACCCTCCGTCCCAGCCTCGAAGGCATCTTCCCCCGCGAGAACCCCCGCAACATCAGATTCTCCATCAACTACTTTACCAGTATTGGTATGGGTGTTTTAACCGAGGAGATGCGAGAGCACCTCCAGAATATGCCCAAGCCTGCACTCCCCGCCCCCCCTGCTCAGGACCGCTCGGATTCGGAGTCTGTCTCGAGCTACTCCTCTTACACTCGTTCATCATACTCCTCTCGTTCCCGCTCCCGTTCTCGATCTGCGGCTCGTCGTGGCGACAGCCGAGGCCGATCCCTTTCTCGAACACCGCCACGACGCGGTGCAAGGGATCGATCATACTCTGACTCCCGATCCCGATCTCGATCACGGTCACGGTCTAATTCCGCCTCGTCTCGTGGACGAGATCGAGGGTCGTACTCCGCCAGTCCTCCCAGACGAGGAGGCCGTCGAGATGCCAGCAGAAGCCGAAGCTACTCCTCACACTCGCGCTCCTCACAGTCTCCGCCACAACGGAATCGCGGTCGCGCGCGAAGCAACTCGTACAGCTCCTACAGCCGCTCCCCATCCTCGCCGCGACGAGAGAGGGACGCAAACTCAGCCAGCCCGCAGCCTCGACGGGGCCGACCGCGCCAGAGCCCCGGCGGTCCTGCTGGTCGCAGAAACAGCTCTTCTGTCAGTAGCGGAGGACCCCGGAAGAAGGTCAAGCGGGATGTCAGCCAATCGCCGTCCCGCTCGAGATCTGGGTCAAGGTCTCCGCTCCCTCCTTCGCGTGGCAAAAGGGCTTCTTACAGTCCGTCACGCAGCCGGAGTCCGCCTCCGCGCAGGGCAAGGGATGATTCGGCGGATCGTCCGCGAGAGAGGAGCCCTGTGCCGATGAAGAGGCGGCGGTATGACAGCGAGAGCGTGTCTAGGTCACCGCCTCCTGTGAAGCGTGGTCGGCGGGAGGCTTGAGTTCCTGGTATATCCCTGTAAATTGGTGCCGTTATTCTTTTTATTTTACTTTTTTTTATTTTTCACCAGATTGGGACGGTTCCGTGGAATGGGTTGGGATGGATATGTGTAATGGGTTGAGTGGGATGGGGGAGATTAATCCTGGGTTACCTATGCATCGAGGTTTTAGCCCCCTTTTTATTGATGTCATTAGCGATAAAAATTGAAAATGAACATTTAATGTATACATATGCCATCTCTTTTATTCCGTATTTGGTGTCACGTAGTGAAGTGATTGCAGATATCAAATTGTTCCATTCTATATATACCACGCATTACGTACGCACTACACCAATATTTTTACTCTCTATCGAAGTGGCAGCGAGGAAGACGCTCCAGATATCGGCAACGACGCCTCAGGGGCGCCAATACACGTCCACAGCAGCTGGTCCGCCGTCAAAGCACCCTCCACCTTGACAGTGTGCTTCTCGCCCGGCACAATGTCGAAGCCGTTATCGCTCAGCTTCAAGCCCTCGACCTCCTCAAAGACGAATCCCTTGACGGGCTTCTCGGCCGAAACGACGACCTCGTCCTTTGCGGGCGAGACCTCGAACGAGATGCCCCTGTTGGACAGATCGAGGAACTTGATGGGGTCGGGCCAGGCGGTATCTTGGGCGACGAGCGCGCCGGTAGAGGCATCGGTGATGGCGGCGTGCACGACATAGGGGTCGTACTCGGCCAACGAGAAGGGCCTGGTGAGGTCCTCCGGGTGGGGGATTGACGGCGGGAGCGCCCTGCCCTGGAGGACGTCGGTGGTGGAGTTTGCGGCGGCGGTGATTGTGGACTTGATGGGGTCGACGATATCCTTGCCCGAGCGGACGGAGATGAAGCGCACGACGAGGCTCAGCTCGACGGGCTTGGTGTCGTTGCTGACGACCCAGACGTCAAAGGTTCCCTTGCGGGCGGGGAGGGTCTGGTCGACCTGGCCGGTGATGAGGCCCGAGTTCTCGTCGACCCAGTCTCCCGTCTGCGTCCAGTCGTGGAACGTCCTGTGCACGCCCACGTCGACGGAGCGCAATGCCCGCGAGATGGCGTAGTAGGCCGGCTTCTTGATGAGATAGTAGTCCACCACGGCCCACGACATGGTTGGCCAGCAGTCGTTGAGCTGCCATACGAGAACGCCGCCGCATTGTCTGGCTCCGGGCTTGCCCCATTGTCGTCGCCAGGCCTTGTAAGCGGCACGCATTGTCTCTGACTGGACGATCTGCGTCAGGTGAGTGTAGCCGCCGAGATCGAGTCGGGGCCGGAAGTTGTCGACGACATAGCTGATCATGCGGCGTTCGTGACCGATAGCCTTGTTGTGGGCGTCGAGGACCATGGAGCCGGGGTATAGCTGCGCCGGGTCGCTGGCCATGCGACGCGTGGTGCTGAGATGAGGATATGCTTCCATGCCAAACTCACTGACGAATCTGCCTCCCATGTTGGCGGCCTCTTGGTATTTGTTCATAGTTCCATGCCAGACTGGTAGACGACTGTTAGCAATGCTTGGCTTTCAAAGTTGACATGGGAGAATCGAAAAGGGGGGAGAGAAGAACTTACTGTTCCATTGATGAATGTCGCCAACAGTTGGGTCGGCCGTGGGCTTGCCATCGCCCCAGGGACTGCTTGGGTGGTAAATCTTGCCCGGGTCTTCTTGCTCAACCCAAGTCGGCAGGAGATGCTCATAAATGTACCGCGCGGGGAACGAAGACTTGAGCCACGACTCGGGGTCCTTGTTCTCAAAGTCATAGTCGAGCCTGTATCTCTCCTGGACCTGGTAATCCTCATTGTTGCCCGCCCAAGCAATCACGGAGGGGTGCGTCCGCAGGCGTTGAATCTGCTGCCTCGCCTCTTCTTCCAGAGTCTTCAGATAAGACGGGTAGGCAGGATAAGAAGCGCAAGCGAACTGAAAGTCGTGGAACACCAAGATGCCAAACTGGTCACAAGCTTCGATAAGCGCATCCTCTTCGTAGACACCGCCTCCCCAGACTCGTAGCATGACTTGGTTGCCCTCTGCCATGAGCTTGGCCCATTCGTAATATCGCTCTGCTGGCACACCAGCAAGATAGCTGTCGGCAGGAATCCAACATGAGCCGCCAGCAAAGACATCGACGTTGTTTATGCGGAAGTAGAATGATTTGCCGTGAGCGTCTGGCTCCTGGATTAGCTCGGTGCGACGGAATCCAATCGACTTGGACTGGCTGTCGATTTCTTTGGCACCAGAAGCCTTGTGGTGGAGCTTGGCGTCGAGGAGGTAGCGAGGCTGGCTTCCGTATCCCATTGGATACCAGAGCTTGGGCGTCTCAAGCTTAAATGGAACCCTGATCAGTCCATCTTTGGCCAAGGAAGCATCTACTGACTGCTGGAACACCGTCTGGCCATCTAATGACAGGGCCACCGAGACTTGAGCATCTTGGTTCGGAACGCCAGCTACACGAGCGAAAATGGATCCTGAGACAGATGATAGATCCTCGCTAACCTCGCTCTGAGCCCAGACATCGTCAATTCTCGCAACGTATGTCTCGAGAGTGACGGGCTTCCAGGGTCCAGCCGTCATGAGAATTGGGCCCCAATCCCAACCCCAGTTGTACTGGGCTTTTCGTACCGGGACACGACTTCTCTCGGTCTGTCGGACGTAGAAATTGTGCTCATGGCCATGCTCCTTGATGAGCTCTTCACCTCTGACAATGGCGGAGTGGAAGACGATACGGAGGGTATTGTCGGACCCGGCTTTGATGCCGTCTGTGACGTTTACACGATATGACACAAACATATTTTCCGTTTCCAGCACTTTTTCGTCATTGAGATAGACGGTGGCAAAGGTGTCGAGGCCGCTGAATACCAGGTCTCTTGTCACATTTTCACCCTCCACGGCGTCGGGAGTAAATGTCACTTGGTACTCCCAGTCCTTGTCGCCAATCCACTGGACTGCACGCTCATTCAGGTCCACAAAGGGATCTGGGATCCTGTAGATTTGTTAGCTCCGTATTGCTGTATCTATGTGTTCACGTATAGGGGCGTACTTTTTGTTGGCCAGCAGATCCGTGTGAACCTGCGTCGGCACTTTTTCCACCGGCAACCATTCTGTCGAAGGACCCTGATGCTGCCTAAAGGTCCAGCCGCTGACCAGCTGAGTGCTTTGGCGAGACATGTTGTTGCAAAAAGGGGGTTGACGATATGTCTGACTGAAGTCAGCACCAAGCACACATTAGCTATGTGCTCTTCTTATCTCTATCTCTTTCACCTTGCCGTAACGTACAATGCGGGCAACACCGTTTAAATATGGCAAAAAAGCCCTTGAAGCATCCGATCCGGGGCCCGTGGACTTTATTATAGAAGAGCCCTGATTCCAGCAGTTCCAGCCAGTTCCAACCTCAACTCAGCCATCAACCTGCCGCTGGCTTTCCCCCCACGACAGCACGAAGCCCCTCCCCCACTTTGCGGGGATCCGGCCGAGAGAGCTTCATAGTCGCCGAAAAGCGGCTGTCGAAGGAGCAAAAGGCGTTGCAGGAACATGTTTGGGGGAGCAAAGTTGGCCGTCGTGGGGCTGAGTCGACGCCGTCTTTAGCCTTTTTCGCGTAGGGCTTATCAAGGGGTACTTGGCTGCTTGCCGGTGACGCCTCAGCTTGTTCGGTACCTCGCGATGGCTCCGAATCCAGAATACCCGACAGAGATGCTCGGAGTCGAGGCTAAAAAGAACACCTTAGCCGCTGCAGAGCGGTAGCGGATGGCTGAGATGGCGATGTATCATATGCATCTTGTTTGGATTCAGGAGATGCGTCGACCAGTCTTGGTTGTAACGAGCGAAATCAACCATCTCGAGTCACTGGTCAAGCTTAGCTATACAAGCATAAGCTGAAGGCCCTGGAAGGGGTCATTTAGCGGTGCCACAGTGGATAGGGTCCAACTTTGGGGGCTTTCCGGTGGCTCTATTAGCCCCCCACGGTACTGTTAGTGCCCATGATACAGAACAACGTGGCTATGGAGCTCACCAATAGCCTCACCAATAGCGAATTTCAAGTTCCAAAATATTACTTCTCTTCTGTCTCTTCGTTTCTTTAAGAAAAAAAAATAAAAACATTAACTAAGTATCAAATTCCATTGTTGCCGTTGAAGCAATGCCGCCGGCATCCAGATGAACCACATGTATCCCGTTCATGATAACGCCGGACAGCCAACCAGCCGTCCAATCCATCCGTCCAACCCAAACGGAGCACTTATACAGGCTCGACACAAATTCCCGTCCATATCCCTGTCGTATTATAAAAACAAATTAAGTTAATCATGCCTCAGTCAATGACCTGAGAGTCAACGCCGTGCATCTCCTTGGGGAACCAGCAATTTTCCAAATGGCAAGGCTCCCTTGGACATCGATGTCCGGCCACACAATCGGTCTGGCTGCAGCTCAGTCCATTCAAACACGGAGACTGGCGGGCAATGCCTCGCAAGGCTTCCAACTGCTGGGCAGTCAACTTTTCCCCGTGAATGTGATGGCATTTCCCATATTTGTCGAGATAGTAACACTTGCCCAAGAGATGGAAGTTGTTGCAGAGCTTACGGTCTTTCAAGCTGGAGAAATCAGACTGAGAGTACGAAAGACGCGAGTCCACCCTCTGTCCAAGCCTGTTCCGCAATATGACTCCATTGGGCGACGGTTTCGGCTCTGAACAGTACAGCTGAGCCGGAGCACTATGAGCTGGACTACTGGGCGCCTTGGCAGCGGCCGCAAAACTCAACGGAGCGTTTGAAGGCATGGGCGTTCCTGGTGGTGTGATGTGGAACGACGTTCTGCGGTTTGTCTCATTGGGAAGCTTCTGGCCCCTAAAGATGTTGTCGAATGCCACATTCTGGAACTTGTCTTTGATTGCTGCCAGCTCGTAGGCAAAAGGAGGGCCTGCCATGAGCGTTATCTGCCCCCGAATGGTCTGATCTTCGAGGAAAGAATCGAACACACGGGCGTATCCGTTGTCTCCTGGCCCCCCAAAAAACACCTGCCTGCAATGGCTGTCGCTGAGACCAAACTTGAGAGCCGCTTTGTCATATCAGCATTCAAGTTGCAAACCTAGTACACGCATTGAAACGGGAGAGGAAGAACTCTGATTCACGACGGCAGCTCACCTTTGATCTTCTCATCTGCGCATTCTTTGCCACACCCAGCGTCGATAAAGTCGCATGTGGGGTGAACTGTGTTATACCCTCGAACAAAATCTTCAAACGATGCCGAGTCAGGCAGAAGTTCTCTATATTTCTTGGACAGCCCTTTCAAATTCGCATATACACGAATCACCACCTGCGCGTTGGCAGGAAGGGATGGAAATCTTGTCTTGATATCCTCGGCTATCGCTTTCCTCAGGAGGCTAGCTACCCTCTTGCCTCCCAGTAGGCCCTCTCTCACAAATTCATCTTGAAACTATGTTATTCATAAACAGTCAGCACATCTCCGGCCGCAAGGGAGAGTAACGGCACAAAGCCCGTGTATACTCACCGGCATATTGTCGCCATCAATTATAACCATACTAAAAACATGCTCATCCTGCGTCGCCGTGATTAGCTCTCTCTCATATCCAGGTGATAATCGGTTTCCGCTCACTGTTTTGCGTCGCAAATCTTCAATCTGCTTCTCTGCTTGATCAAGCTTGGTGCGTTTGAGCTCAAGCATGTCCTTTCGGTCTCGAAGATCCATATGCGCCTCGGCGAGCTGCGCCGTCAAATCGCTGATGTGCCCGAATAAGTCCTAGAAAGAGTCTTAGCCTGTGCATCATGGACAATTTCATTGGCAGCAACGGATTTTGGGACCTCACTGAGATCAATGCATGTTTACGCTCATCTTCTGCCATGACTAAATTCCATTGCTCCTCCAACCTCCTCAGCTGCTCTTGATTATCCGTCATCTCCAAGACTTTGAGTGATTCGAGAAATGTTGAACATAATACTCACTCTCGGAGAAGACGCATGTTTAGCGAGGAAGAATAAAACAAGTATAGATCGTCATTTTATATGCATAGTAGAATGACTGGTAGAACGACTGTGCAATGCCCTTCTCACCTCAAGGCCTCGCCCTGTGACTCTGATTTGGCCACCGAGGTGGCGCTCGCACAGCATTGCGCTGGTCGAATAGCAGCACGACATGTCGCAGCGCAGGAACCGATAGAGCCACCCGCATGTCCAATTGAAAGTTGAGAAGCGGCAGGCCAGGCGGACACGACACGACAACATGACTTTCATGTGAAGCGCAGCCACCGCTTAATCAAGCTCCTCCTCCGGCCCATGCAGCGAACTTTGGCTGCATATCAAATATTAAAACCAATATTTGAGAACTCACTTCCACTTGGCTGCGAGGGCCGCATATGCACTTTACTTGTTGCAGGCCTCGGAAAGGGCACCCCTGTTTTTTTCATCTGTTTAGCAACTTGGACGATCGACAGCCTGACACGGGGCACGCACACGCATGCAACTCGCAATCCGTGCATAGCAATGGGTCCTCAGCGGCGTATTATATGCATACGAATCTGCGATGCAGGCCGCCTTGGCGACCACTAACAGGCTGGTCGAGGCAACCCTCAGCCAAAGGATGTCGTGGTATAGCAAAAGGTCCCCGCCCTCCCATTCATGCTGCTGGGGCCAGGTTCATCGCAGGATTCAGCAATGGTCAAATTGGCCGGAACTGGATCCCATTGGCCGGGATCTGCAGAAAATATCCATGAGACTGTTTCCCCTTTTAATGGCGTCTGGAATCAAACCTGCGGGTGTTGTTTTCTCAAAAGCACTAGATAGGAATTTGGCAGCGCTATTCTTATTAGCATCTCGATATTGACTTGTCTCCCGTCACAGTCTGGCGGCCATATTGCATTCAAGAATGCCTCTTCTCCCTTCACCAGGTGCACCACTCTAAAGATTCTTAGAGTAACCTGCTTGCCAGACTGCATTAGACTCGGAAAAATCCTTGAAACCTATTTCAAGATCGACAACTTGGTTAAATCCTAGAGGAAGAAGCCATGAGTAAGTCAGTCCCATAACATTCCGAATACTTCTTTTTGGCGATTGATATCTTGTTGGTGATCGTCACGCTGCCAAGAAACTACTAGCATTGCGCCAGCAAAGTAGCTTGAATGTCGATTGTCGGTGATAATAGGTGTCTGATGTCTCGTTGAAATAGACTATAACTAGGACCCTTGGCAATATCAACACCAAGTTCGTGCCGTTGATGCCCGCGCGATGCCTCTCTCAGTAAAACGATGGAGGTAACCGAGAAGTCGGATCTTACTCCCACGATACTAACATGGAGAGGAGTCGGAAAATAGTAAGAGATTGCAGTAATGGAATGACTTTTGATGAAGTGAACTCGAGTCCGAAAACCACTACAAGAGAATGAAGCATGTGCATATGGGGGTAAAGAGGAGCTTCATTCATGAGCAAGGCATTGTCGACGCTCCTTTCTCAAAGGAGAGCAAATGGCAAGGATGGACAAATCGCTAAGTTCGCAAGGATTTTGGATCTTCAGGCAATGTCGGGGCACCTTGCCATGACTTGCTAGTACGTCGTATTCCATTCGATATTGAATGAGCTCGCTCCCTCGGGTTGGATTCTCGGTCGCCCTGCAGTTTTTCAGCGAACCTACATACCTCTTAATCGGCACTTGACATCGACCAACGATGATTTTACACTCTGACGATTACGATCTTCGCTGCGTCGACGAATTGATTGAGACGAGGTTATAACCTTGGAAATAAGGCTCAAATGGAATATGAGGTGAAAATCAGCAGGTGGAACATACAGGAGGGAAGGAACGGGACTGCACTCCGATAATCCGATCCCCAATATGCGATGTCGTCATGCTATCACAGATATACACCTTCCCTTCCTCAAACACTTTCTTATCGGGAGAGACAACTTGCCGTCGAATTCTTGCCAATACTTACAATGCAATTATCATGCAACAACATCACGGCCTTCCTCTTCAAAGAGATGCCGGGATCTGCACGCCAGGGGTCGGGACACTTATCCATCTTTTTGTCCGTTTCAACACCTCTTCTTATTCCAGATGGATAAGATATTCACTTGAGCAACCGGTATTCGAATTACCATGTTTGATTGGCGTCTGAACCTTACGGAACTAAGGGCATATCGAGCCGTCTATCGTCAATCTGGCGTCTTTCTAGTAAAGTAATTCTTACACTTTCTTTATTACATGCTCCCCCTTGGCCATTCTCCCCAACCAAAAGCGGTATATCAGCTAACCTGCTATCTTGAAGGAATACACACCCAACAACCACGCCCCTTCCTTTCATCGATATCGGGCCGTTCTCGCCTCGAGCCAATGTCGGTGGCATATCCTATACTAACGAGACGGCATAACAGGAAGCAGCCGGCATGCACAATCTGATGCCTGAGAGAAACTAAAGCGGTTTATGGGGTGCATTCAACTGCACGTGTGTCTATGCAAGAGGTTCTCGGTGTGCTGGGATTATCGATGCACGCTTACTGCCGGATGTCTGTGCGAAAAACCAATTTCCTTGATCGGGTTGATGCTTGCTGTGAGTTATTAATAGCCTTGAAAGACACTCATCAGCTTGGCTAATCTCTCCCTCAAGCAGTGAGAATGCAGCATTGACAGCAAACGACGAATCGAAGACGCATCTTGATGACCACAAGCTAGCACGGGCAAGGAAAGCAAGCCGCAAGATTACTTCCCAGTCACCAGGCCGCACCACTCACTCACCACAGCTGCATCCACATACAGTAGCACGAATCAAAGCATGGAATTCGGTTTAGAGGCGGGCCATCAGTGAATTAATTGCCGTGTGCATATTCATCACCTGCATGCAGACCGAAATACTCATTTCACTGGCTGACGCTCCCTGCGGTGACAGTTGGCAGAGCGTAATTGGAACGTCTGTTTACGCGTCACATAATTAATGTACGCCTGGATTCCCACTCTGATCCTGATTTTTGCTGATTCTCCTGTGGACAAATTGAACAAAAGATCATTCACAGCCAGACCAGGAAATTAAGGGACGCGAGACGCCTCATTGCAAGAGATCTTCTTTTAGCGAGGGCGGCCGAGTCTACGTTTACATCATGACCCCTCAAGACTGTGTAAGTTGGCACATGCATATTTACCCACACCCACACCAAAAAGCAGCCTTATGCATTACACATGTACTAATGCTTGCATCCAACATCGAAAAAAGATCGAGCAATTCGTAACCCAACATCCTATTGAAGCTGCGACTCTCCTGGGCGGATTAACCGTCACCGCTGCCCCGATAGCTGTTGCTGTCCCCTTCTTGGGCGCACTTGGCTTTGGGGCTGGTGGCGTGGCATCTGGTGTGGCATGTCAAATCTGTGAAAGCTCGGCCGACGACTGACTGTTTTCTCGCAAGGCTCTTTGGCTGCAGCCGCCCAAGCGAGTTTAAGCCCAATTGTGGAAAAGGGCATGATGGCCATTCTACAGAGCGCGGGAGTTGGAGTGATGGGGATGGCCGCCGCGAGGGCAGCTCTACAAGCTACTGGGGGAGCGGTGACTGCAGGGCCCGTATACACGCTTCTGCAGTGCTTGAGCGGCAATGCCATGACAACATGAGGCTGGAAAGCGAGTTTCGGTTAGAGGGAGGGGGCCAAAATGATGATCATCTAAACACGGTACAGTAGCTCTGCGACTTTGCTAAAAGATAATGCATTAGCTAGTGTCTATTCATGTACTGTACGAAGCAACCCGTATCTTTGCTACCCAACGGCGACGGGCCTTGTATCTCTCCTCAGCCTCCCTTGCTTCCCACAGGTGTCTCATCCGGACACAAGCTCGTCTCTGGACGCAATCTCCTGCTTCGCCTGCTGCTGTGCTTCCGTCTCCTGCTTATCCTCAGCCACCCCATTTCCGCTCTTTGCCTTAGTGTCGTCGGTCTTGTCTTTGGCCTTGCCCTTTTCCTTCTTGAGAGAAATCGCCCCCTTGGCCAGGGCCTCGCTCGGCAGCGGCCGAATAATCGGCTGGGCCACCCACCAAGGGCGCTTGCACCTCTTGATGGTCCCGATAGAGCTCTCCTCCTCGGGCACACCCTGGATGGCCCGCTCGCCAATCTTGTCCAGCTCCTCCTCGAAGCTCCGGCCGTCCGTCTGCTTGTATTCCAGCAGGCCCTCGGCCACCCTCTTTTCCACGGCCGCAAGGACCCGCTCGTAGCCGTCGATGCCGTCCTTGCGGGCTCTTGCCAGCATATCTCTGATATCGGTGTGCTTGGTGACAAAGTGTCTGAGGACGTGGAACATGTGGGGCTGCAGCGCCGAGAGGTTAGGCGACGAGTCGAGTTTCTTATCGTCGTCCTTCTTCCTCTTCTTCTTGGCAGGCTCGTCTGCGTCGTCTGAGCTTTCGGTTTCCGTGATCCAGGCAGTGTCATCGCCGGGGACAAACAGCGGCCGTCTCTGTGGAGGCTCTGCGTCAAACACGTATTTGTGCAGGATGTCGAGGTATCGTCTCGTGATGGCATCGACTCTCCATCCACCTTTTCCATCCTTGCCTCTCCAGTACTCCCTGCTATTCTCTTCTGCCGGCGGCGGGTTGCCGAATAGGCCGGGATCGCTGAGGTTTCCCTCGGCCGACATGATGCCATCCGCTCCAGTGGCCTCCAAACATTTCTGTAGATCCCCGTCTTGTAGAATGTTTCCGTTCGCAAAGAGTACAGTTTCCGGTGGCAGATTATCTCTGAGGAATCTAATCATGTCCCAATCCGCAACTCCAGTAAGATGTCCCTTCTGTTCCCGTCTCCGTCCATGTACCGTCAATATGGAGGCTCCAGCTTTGAGCACCATCTTTGCGTATTCCAGAGTCTTCTCTCTTGTCTCCAGCACACGGATTTTGGCTGTGACTGGGATAGAAAGCTCCTTGTGCAATGTGTTGATCAGCTTGAAGATGAGATCTTGATCCTCCTGCAGGAACGCTCCGTAGTGGCCCTTGCGCGCAATACCCTGCGGGCACCCAAGATTCAAGTCGACAGCATCGCAGTATGGAACAACGTGTTGCGCCGCAGAGAGCAGCGCCGCGGGATCGTTTGCGCAAAACTGTACAAAGAGAGGACGGTCAATCTTGGGGTTTCCGTCCAACCACGGCTCGTTGGATCCCGTGCGAACGGCTTGGTAATGTGCTTTTCGGTATTTTTCGTCTTGGGAGAAGAGTCGAGCGTGGAACATGGGCGTGTAAGCTAGCAGCTTGGACTGCTCTGAGGGCAGCAAGAAAGAACGTGTGAGCATTCGCCAGGCCTATCGAGCACACGAGTTAGCAAACACAGCATGTAAACCGCCAGGATCCATGCAAGACAAACAAACTCGGATTGGTCCACCATGGGAGCCACGATAAACTTGGGGCTCCCAATGCTCTCGTAGAAGGCCCGTCCATGGAGCTTCTTGGGGGGTTCGGCTCCCTTGGCCGCCTCTGTCGCAGTCATAGTTGCAACACCGCGAAAAGCACTGGGAACAGCCGAGAATCGAGACTGAAGCAACAATCGATATGTCACAGTCTGTCCAAGCAAGCTCTGCCACATAAGTGCTCCAAAGAAGCACTGCTCATGCGCTTATTGAACGGAGATGTCGAGTGAAGGGTCTATGGGCAAAAAAGAAAATGCCCCTAGATTTTTTTTTTTTTTTTTTTTTCTAAGGCGGCGTTGAAAGGAAAAAAAAAAGCCATCAAATTGACGTTTACTAACATGGCGGGGCGCCGATTGCCTTTCGGCATTGGCAGCTGATTAATACTGTGCCAGGACGACACTAAATTTCCCCAGAATATCTTCAACTTGGGATGACATCAAATGCGAGATCAATCCCTCCGGTTAGTTGCCTGTTCAACACAACAAGCAGCAGAAGTATCTACCAACCATTGCTAATTTTAGACAGCTAGATTGATCATCCCACACAAATGCAATTGTGGGCTGGGCACGATCCGTCCCACTCTTGGCAGAAATCATGGGCAACAAGGCATCTAAGCAAGAATTGATTAAAAATACCGAGAGTTTTTATTTGCTGAAAAAGGAGACACCAGACACATCACGCTCATAGACTAAATCCGGCTATAGAGACATAGTGAAAATGAAGCAGAGGAAAACACAAGTTACCGGCCTATATTTCACCTTCCAATCGGCTGAGTTGCCATACCTAAACGTGTTCGCCTCAACAGTCAACCCTAAATGCTCGTCCTGTGCCAACGTGGCATCGCGTCATTTTAACATGTTGATGTTCTTCCATCCTCGGTCCTCACAGTTGAGCCATAGGCCGCAACCACGAGTTTCCGATCTTTCAATGACGACAGACGACATCATCCGACGCCGGCTCTTCCCACCTTCCCCGATCGCCCATTCCTCGCGCCAACGAGTTCCAACTGAATATTAATGAGATGTATAGTCTTTGGGGGCTAAATACCATGACATGTAGTGAGGTAGTGTGACAAAACGCCCGTGACACCTTACTATGCTGTCCCTAAACGCCGCAAATGGTAAATGTGAAGAAATACATGGTTGGGCTTTTAAAACCCATAGTAGCAGAGGGGAAAAAATATCAGCTGACAAGATTTTCGTCCATCGGATAATATCATCAGAAGAAATGCGTATAAATCTTGGAATTTTCATGGACTTCCATTTCCTAAACTTGAGTTAGCCTAACTCCTTAGAGAATCCACACTGGGTGAATTATTGAGTTTCAACGAACCATTTTGAAGCTGTTCAGCTCTTCTTTGATTTGCTGAGCCAGCATCGGTGTGAGACGGTTGCACGTGGCAATTTCACCGCGGCGGTCATACTCCTGGCTAGGCCACGTGTCGTAAAAGATGATGCGTGGTGAAAATGTAGCATTTCTCTTGGGGCCGGCCTGGGGGGTTCCGGGCCGGCTCTTTCCAAGCCTGCCTAGAGCGCTCATGAAGTAGTCCTCAGTGCCAATAGCAATGGATCCAGCTCTTTTGCCGTCATCATTTGGCGTACTCGGCGCACTTGAATTGGGTGAGTCGGCGACAGCTGGAATGCTTGGCAAAACAAGATCAGGCGATTCCGATGGCCGAATGGAAGGACTTGAAGAGCCTGGATCTCATGTCAGTTAATCAGCCGCGATCAATGGGGAAATAGAAATCTCGAGGCTATACTTACGCTTCAAGATGCCTTTGCGAACAGCCGCAAGTACCTCTGCACGCTCTTTCTCACCACCCACAATGCTCTTACGCGGCCCAGAGTTATCCGTTCCTGCGCTGCCTAGACGCTCCGCGCCAATCTCAGGGATCTGGGCAGCGTCAAGGGAGTTGCGCTCAAGGCGGGGGAATCCCGTACCACCCTTGCCGCTCTGGGGGTCCGCGGTTACATTGACACGTCGAGTCTCTGCTTCCACAGTGATCATGGACACAGCAGCCTGTCCCTCGGTGACAGGACCATCGGCCGCCGGCACGCCCACGACAGACTTTGGCCGGAAGAGGCCAACTAGTGAACGGGTACTCTTTTTCATGCCACGGCCCATCTTCCTGATCATAATAGAAGCAGATGAAGCGGTAGATGAGATGGAGAGGTTGTCCGTCGATCCACCAAAGAAGCGACCACCATAGATGCTATTACCAATACCAGCAGCTTCTTGTGCTTCGGCAATTCGCGCTTGCTCAGCGTCATAGGCCTCTTCAGCTGTTGGGTCTTTGCGGAGCTTAGATGCATCCACTCTTTCCATGCCTTCGCCTTCGGGGCCAGCAGCCTTTCGAAACTCAGCAGCGCTTCCGAACGAAAAGGCTCGACGAAGCCTGGAAGTCTTGGTCTTTCCCTTGACATCCTTCTCATTGATGGCCGCAAGCTGCTTTGCTGCGGGCGACACCACGCTCTTGTCCGAGGGCGCCGCGGCGGCGGCATCAGTAGCTTGTTCATTTGCCATCGTGGCAGGTTTGGATAACGGAGAGGGACTAATCGTCCGCTTAACTCCATCGGCAGATGAAACTCTCGCCGGTATATTTGCTACCTTGAGCTGATCGCTCTTGACCGGTGTTTCGTCAGCGCCCGGTGAAGAGGGGTTACCGGTGGGGGTAGTCGGATTGCGGTTGGAAGACTGCACATCAATCCCTGGTTAGTATGCACACAACTTACAAAAGGGCCCCCAAAATCCACAGTGTGATTAGGTGATGAGCGGGCGATGAAATGTAAAACTTACCGAGGCAGATCGCGAATTACTGCTTCGACTGGACGATGCGCTGTCATTGCTTCCTTTACGAGCGTGCATGGGAATCTTCTGAGCAACTTGGGGAGACTTTTCACTCCTGTCGGCGCTCCTGAAATTAACAGCTTGCTCTGGACGAGGGGCATTTTCAGGCTTCAGAAGGGGCCTGAATGAATCTGTGGATTGTATGGTATGCACACTTCGGCGGCGCATCTTCTTTGCCTCATCCGGAGACGGTCTGCGGTGCAGATTCGAGTCGTCCATGGACCCTCCAGGGCCCAGCGAAGGAGAAGCTGCAAGGTTTGGGACGGACCGGGAGCCGCTGGGTGCATGGTACATCTGGTTTAGATTGCCGGGACTGAGCGGAGGGTTCGAGCTTTGAGATCGGCTGTTTGAGTGGCTGGGTCTCCGGTATCGATCAGGTGCATTCTTGGACGCTCCGCTGGAAGGCAGCGCCGACTGTGAGCCGGTAGAAACGTGGGAAAGCTGCGGGCGTGATGAAGAAGTAGCACTTCTGGACGGAGACTTCATAGAATCATCACGTGTGCTGCTGCTACCGTGACTGCTGCTGTGGCTGCTGCTGTGACCGCTGCTATGACCACTGCTATGGCCGCTGCTATGGCCGCTGCTCTGACCGCTGCTGTGACCACTGTTGTAGGAAGGAAGCAAGGCCATATTCGTAACGGACGGGTTAGGGCGATGAGAACGTTGAACCAGACTAGGGTCGAAAGTCTGCGTGGGAATGCCGGAGGGTGCCGAGTTCGTCCGGTAGGTTCCATACTGCTGCCATTGCAAGCTCTGATTCAGATTTGGCGTGGGTGCATAAGCATATGACTGAACAGGAACAGTGCTCCCTCGATAGCCCCCTCCTCCTCTCGGTGCTGAGGTTGTGTATTGATGGTGCCCGTTAGATTGGCTTGCAGGCATCATGCCTGAGGGTGTTGGTCGTTGAAGCATTGTCACCGTACCAGTCTGCTGCTGATACGTTTGGACCAATGCAGCCATAATCCTCCCAGACTGGGAACCAAAAACAACCGTGCTCGAAGCAGCAATTCCTCCTCTCTATTATATAGGGGTCTCGCTACAAAGTTCGGAAATCTTGGCGTTTATCAATAGAAACAGACGGCAACGCTTTCACGATCAATTCGGAGCCGATGATGCTATAACATTACTGAATATTAGCTATTGCTCTCACATGGTTGTAGATGGCATTGTCCATTCGAAAAGGAACAGGACTACAGCAAAAGAAGAAAGAAGGCGGAACATATCAAAAGGTGGTCAAACCTTTCTCTTTTTTTTTTTTCGTATTTCGTTTTTCAAGAGCTGGGAACGGATCAACAGCAGATATGTGCGGATATTTTCGCTTTCGATATTTTTTCCAATTAATCGCAAAAGAAGAATGGCTGGTGTGACGATTGTATAGAAGGACGCCAGCGGCCAAGGATGCTAAAAGATTCCTCGCGTCGAGATGAAGAGCTCACTATTACCACGAGGCCACAATCGACTATTACAGGGCAAACGGCTAACTGTTGAGCACGATCAAGTGTCACATGAGACACGTTGGACCACAACTAGCTGCAAAGAAACATGGGGGGTTGTGCAGATATCGGTCGTTCGTATCGAGATGTCAACTTTGAAGGTTGAAGGTCGGAGGATGGCTCTGAGGTATTACGGGCTCAGAAGGAGAATGACGGGTTAAAAAAAAAAGGTAGGGCTTTCTAGGCAGAGCCAGTCACCAGAACAGGAAGAAAAAGTTGAGAAAAAGGAAAGGTAAATGCACAAGACAGAGACAATACAGTCAGAAATGCCGACGTGTGTGCAATAAAGCGCAACGCCCAAGGTGATGAAAGGAGAGAAGAGAAACAAGATGGCTCGAAGACGAAGGCTGGGAAAGGGGCACGGCGAAGGCGTAGCGGAAAAGCGTGCTGTGTAAACTCGGACAGAGGCAAGGGCGCGAGAGAAAAAGCAGGCGAACCAAGAAGCAGAAGGGGAAGTCTTTGGGGATGGAGAAGAAAGAAAGAAAGAAAAGAAGAGAGTGAAGGTGGACGAGCCGCAATGGGTTCGTGGTCGATGGTGATGGTGATGGGCTGAGGAGAAGAGCAGCCACCCTTGGAGCCAGAAAAGTCGAGGAAGAGAGAGCGAGCGAAGTGACCACGCCAAAGCAGCGCACAGGGCACCTGGCACCTGGCAGTGGCAACGGCTGGGCTTGGCCAGGGTCAGGTTAGCGGGCTGCCAGGGGTGGAGCACGCCCCTAACCGTGCTATCTCGCGGGGCCTGGTGTTAGCCAGTTCGGGGAGCGGAGGGTACAGGTACTTGTGGTTGTGGCCGGCCATGCGCTGGTGCCATGGAGCTCGTCACTGAGGGCATCAATGCAAGGTACGAGGTGCGAGTACAGGTACAGTACAGTACGCACTCGCGCTGCTGGGGATGGCATGGCCGGTCTGTCCCCGTTCGAGTACAGGTCTCGTAACGATAGACAGCCAGGGCTGGGGGCCAACGCGCGGCCGGTCTGCAAGAACAAAAGACAGAGAGAGAAGGAACATGTCATTTGATGCTCGTACAGTACTCAGTACAGCACCAGCAATTACGAGGAATATTTGGTCGCTGATCCAATGCTGTCGTAGCACTGGAGCGGATTCTCGTACTGGCGCACGCAGTTGTGCATGTAAACAGGCTCATGTACCGGTACTTGCGCAGTTCAGGCGGGCGCAACTACGGGTTGCACTGGTTCCTGCACCAGGAACCAAACAAGCACAGAGCAACAATGGCGTGGGCCGCCGATGCAGCAGCTCTGGGCACGCCGCTTCGTCAGACTCGGGGGATACGAAGCACTAAAAATCGGCGCCTCCCCCTTCGACTTCGACCCTTTTGACCCAGCCCTCTGAAACTGAGAGGCTAAAAGGAGGAGAGAGGAGAGCGTTGCGGGCACAGCGGCGCCTTGAATCAAATTGGATGTTCTCCTCTCCTCTCCTCTCCTCTCGCGGTGTCGACGGCGCCGCCGTTTGTCACTGGTTGATTTGTGCACGTTCAGGTACCATCTGTACAGTACATACTGCTATGCCAGTACTCGTATTAGTGCAGCGACTGTGCCGGGCTTGCATGCTCCGGACGGGCGTCTCAACTTCCGGGACTGCCTGGGTTCGACTGTGTTATTTCATTTTCCATCAATGCCAGTACTATGTACGGCTCCGTGGTAGCATCTATCAATTTGCCGTACTTGGACATGCCTTGTTGGGTTCGGTACGGCCTACAACCTAGCAAGTACTCCGAGCTTGCCCACCGCACCGTGCTCCACTCGCGTTTAATGCCACATTGGATTGATGCAATTTACTGTACATTGGATGCAAGTACTCAGTACCAGCATGGATGGGCTCAGCACTGCAATTTGGCAACAACATGAATGCAATGTCGCCTCCTCACTTGGCCCCCATGCCTCCTCGCTCAATATCGGCGTCAGCATTCTCATCGTATCAGCATTCTCATCGTACTGACTTTTCCAGAGAAGAAGCAGTGCTTTACACCAGTACGAGCACGTACTGTATCATTTTTATTTCTTTCTCTCCCCCCTGACACTGACGACAATGTACACATACACATGCCTTGCTGGGCTAGGCAACCCTCGGCCGCTTTGGCCGTGGTCGCGTCGATGCACAAGACGAACAAGCACCAGTCGGACGCGCTTGATTGGGCCGCTCCCCGACTCGCGACCGCATCAAACCCACTGCGACTAGGTTCGATAGCCAGGGGCTATGACCAGGGCCGCAGATGACTGCAAAGTAGCGCGACCTTGGGCTCGTCTCGTACCGCTCTACTGTACGTTGATGCCGCAACCTCGCCTCTGGCCGGATGCAGGATGAGCTGCCAAGCCAGGAAAAGAAGGCGTCGTCTTTCTTTTTTTGTTTTCTACGCTGCTTCGGTCGACGCTTCGCTCGGTCGGTGTCTCTGATTTGCGAAAGCCACCTGTTTGGTATGATTCCCCCTCCCCCCACGGTGAGATCGACATCTAGCAGCGCCAGATCCGACTTCGCGCAGCATCCGAAATATCCAGCAAGGCTGGCTGGCCTTGTACCAGTACTTGCATTCCTGACCTCCAGACAAGCCGACCCAATACGACAATCCGCCCACTACCCTCGCTGCATTGTCCCATCATACTTGTAAGCAACCCATGCCATGCAGCGGATTTCTTGCAAGAGCCCATGGACACTCTTCAATTGGGCGACAGAATTTCACAGTGGCACCATCACGCCGGGCATAAGTGACCTGCCTCTTCGTAATGCCCGGCCTGCGGCTTGAGTGATGCTGCCGTGCTCCAGACAAGGCGGCAACACCTACATGATTGTGCATGTACGAAGCACGGAGCGGACAAAGGACCGCTACGAGGGAGCATCGATTTCTGACGGCTCAACTTTGGCTATGCTCATACGAGTACTGTACTTGTACACACGTCCCAGCCTGAGACTCTACTCTACAGGGCCTTGCAACTACCCCAAGCCTTCTTCCCATGCCTTGAGAAGATAGGGACGAATCTCCACGAACAAGCACGGGGATCGACAAACACTAATCCTGGTGCTCTATCGCTTCTCCATGTTTTTGCTCTCGCGGCCACGGATCGTGGATGCTACGGCAAAACTTGTACGGCCAAAGCACAGGTGCGTGGGTCGTCTATCCTGGAGCACCACCAACCCACACCTCATGGCGCTATTTCATGCAGTAGTCCCAGGTGAGGCAATATGCCCGGCGGGATGCATTTGGCTGGCTTTTATGTACTTGTATATGCACGAAATGCTCCAGGAGAACGCAAAGAAGCGCCGGACTCGGATCAAGAAGCCTTCTACAACGCCATGCAGCGAGCCGCAAGTGGTGAAGAACAGAGGCAGAATATCCCACCCAGCTGAGCCAATTTCCACGCGCTTATTGGCCGTCAAGGCACAGTTATTCCTCGGAGATTGCGAGCCCTAACGGCGAGGATACATAGTATGTGCAAAATTGTACGAGTGCTGCTCATTTGCCGCGGCCAGGGAGAAAAGCTCTGTCGCTTCCACCCATATGATCAAAGTTTGTTTCGGTCAGCGCAGCCTCCACGGATCTAAATCTAAGCTTTCAATACTTCCCTCGCCTTCCCACGAGTTGCAAAATCATAAAATCATAAAACCATCGTACCAAAGGGAGACAAGACGAAGCCGAACAAGCAAATGACGTAACAAAGATGGGAAACCCACACGGAAACCTTAATGCAGTGCGCTATGGAGTAGCATCCCATGCGACAATTATCGTATTCGCGGAGGGGAAGTGGTTGTCTCCAGAATATTCTGGCCTGTAGGGATTCGCTGAGCATATGTTAGGAGATGGCCCAAGGTTCATGTGATGCTCGGACGTGAAGAATCGAGGCCCTCCACTCCACCACAGTTGAGGCCCACGTCGGTTATTTTTAGGCCGTTCCCAATAGTTCGGGATCTCTTACAAGTTACGAAGCAGTGGCGCAAGAAAATCTCTTTTCTCATCGAAGCAGAAGCCTTCTAATACGGAGTACTCCGTACAGTCTTGCGGACCTGTTCCCGGTTGGCTGCGAGGTGGAGGTGTTACGCAACGCCTTGCCCGCCTCTTGATATATTTGTGTACACACACGCATTCCCAATAACACAGCCGTCTCATAGCAGAAGACCAGCGTCCAGCATCCCAAATTACACAACGAATGGGAACTGGAGTTATAACACTCCGTGGCACTTGACATCATATACTAGAGGAGGATGGCGATAGCAGAGGAGATTCTTGAAGAACTAGGTAGGGGCAAGTTGATAAAAGGTACATCTCGTAATGACACGCTTAATACTGTAAGGTATGTAGCCTCTGGAATGCTGAATAGATAGTCAAGTTGGGCGCTGGCTGTTAGCCACTCCCTTCTTTTTCCGAGGGGGGTGGCGCCTTGCTCACACTCTACTCAGTATTTGTAAGAGGCTTGTTATCGTTGAAGACGACGACTCATGTAGCACCAAATACGCGTACCTAACACATGTGATATTCTGTAACAGCTTCATCATATCATGTCATGTCAAGTCAATCGCACAACTACCGGCAGCCCGAAACGCGAGCCTTTTTTCGCAACCCCAGTCTTGGTGCCCATTTCAAACTTGAGACGGGCCGTTGCTTGTTGACGCCACGCAGATCGGACGGCTGTGGGTTTTCGACATTGATTTCGCCACTGGGGGGGAGCCGTGGTTGCAACCGGCCCTGATTGTCTGTTCGCGGTAGTTCAATCTACTCACCCGTGGGGCTAAATTGAGGGGAGAATCTGCTCAGCTGCTGTGTGAACGCCAAGATCTCGCAGCCATGGTTGATTGCTTGTGGCAATGATTGGCAATTGTCAAATTGAAACAAGCTTTATTAAGCTGCCGCGTACATGTACAAGCATGCATCTGCCCAACACTAATAGATTATACAGCATCTCATGGCGCGGGCTGACCGATGTCAGTCATTGTAACTCAGCGTCTTTGAAACGAGAAACAACTTGCGTTTATCAAAAGCTCCACCGCCACAGCCCTTGCTTTATTTCATGTTTGCTCTAATATTGCCTTGTTTCAGTTGGACGGTGGTATTATAGAGACGCAGCCTTACTCGTCGAGATTGCCTTAGTACAGGCCTAACTTAAAACCCCCATTCTGGTAACCCAAATAGTACTAGCATCCAACAACCGGTTGATTACCTATACATTAGCCTCACAAGATGGACTCCAAGCAGTCGAGGGAATGCATTATGCTAAACAGAAGGTGCCAATTCGGCTTGATCCTTCGCGTCAAAGTCGCCAGGCAGACGTGCATCTTGTGTCAATGATCCTGATCCTCAACATCTGCCCAACCTCATACTTGTGCAGGCGTAAGCCTCTGTGAAACACCAGAAATCCGAGGCGCTTGTATCTGCATGATATCCCAACCAGAGGCCCTTGGTCTGGATATTTTCGTCTCGAGGTCGCCACGTTGCTTCGCGATAGCGCCCACATGCGACCAAAGGCAGCATAAGGCCTTTTGCTCCATCCCGTTCCCAATGGCTCCTTGCCTCGCCAGGGGACACGCCCAACACCTCGAGTCTTTCCGATAGCTCAACGTGCGACAAGCCGTACGGGCACGACACACAAAGACGCCGTCGCCATGGTCGGAGTTCCGCGCAGCAGCGGCTGTCAGCTGTGCAGACAGAGAAGAGTCAAGTGTGACGAGGCCAGGCCAGAGTGCGGTAACTGTCGCAAGTACGGCGTCCAGTGCCCGGGCTATGAGCGAGCCATCAAGTTTGTGTCTGGCAAGCACACGATCCGGAGCAAGGGTTCTCGACCGCTGCGAACCAGCGCCTCGTCGGGAACTTCGCCATCCTCCGCCTCGACGCTGTCTGCTGGCGCCACGAGTCCCGAGAGTATTGGCAGCAGCAGCACAAGTGGTACTGCTGCCATGTCCATGTCCCTGGTGGCCTCTCCTCAGCCCAACCGAGCCCTCTTCGTTGGCACTCTAATGGACATGACCCAGACTAAACTGGCCTCCAAGGACGTATCTACGTTCCTGGGCTTCTTCGGCCGCCTTAAATTTGAAGAGCTGGGCACGGCGGCGGCTCTAGATGGCGCCATTTGTTGCCTCTCTCTGCATCTTATGGGCAAAGAGTTGGCGGACGAAAGCCTCATCGCCCGGAGTAGGACCGTATACGGATGGTCCCTTGGCGCCCTCCAGGGGACACTGAGACATCCAACCAAATGGAAGACGTCCGAGACCTACTGTTCGGCCGTCTTGCTGTGCTTCTTTGAGGTAAGCCCGTAGCAATATGCGGTGACAGAAAACAACCCAGCAACCCAGCAACCCAGCATCTTCTATCCTTCTTCCAAAAAGCTTGACCGAGCCGTGCTGACGCTTGGGTGCGAGAGAAATAGCTGTTTGCGGGAACGAGTTCACCGGAAACCTGGCTGCAGCATGCTCAGGGAATTGCCACACTGATGGAGCAACGTGGTCCTGCAGCTCATACGCAGGGCAATGACGCAGCTATACTGTTTTCCTTCCGAGGCATCCTGGTAGGCATACTCCCATTACCCCCCTCTCTTTTTTTCTCCCGATGTCATTGGTGATTGTAATGGTCTTTTTTTACTTTGTCTGGGGCACTAAGCTGTCTGTTCCTGCGTCTTCCAAACGAAAGCGTTGAACAATGGACGAGGACTTTCAATGTGCCCCCAAAGTTTGCAACGGCTGTACCCAAGCCCAGTGGCTGAGAAGCGGCATACAGCTGCAACCAAACTTGAAGAAATAAGACGCTCCTTTACTCCGACGCCCTACTTAGATACTTCCCGAATAGCTGACGCACCTCTTTTAATTCGTTCTTTTTCCCGATTTAGATTATGAGCTCGCTGTTCTTCCCAACAAGCGACAAATGCTTCTTGGCTCGCCCGGAATGGAGAAAAGTCATCTATGATGGCACAGGGCAGTCAATTTACTCCCCCGAAACGCCAGAGTTCTCCATGCAAGTAGTCAATTCGTTTTTCCTGTGCTTGGCAGACATGCCTGAAGTTATGTGGTGGGGATATCCCATCCGCGAGGCTCTCATGGCGGGTAGACGAGTGAGTCCCAAGCGCATACAGCACCTTGCGGAGCTGACGGCTGCAAACCACGAGCGGTTCACCGCATGGTACGAGGATTTCAAGAAGCTTGGCGTCGAACTTAAGGAGGTGCCGTCTCAGGACCCCAGCTCGCCGTTCCAGCTGGTGTTGGAACATCCCGTGGGATGGCTTGGGTCTATGCACATGGGCTATTGGGCCAGCATGCTGATTCTGCAGGAGCTGTTGATTAAATGCCAGTGGCCCGTGGACTATCGAGAATCTCAAAAGGAGCTGATGCACAATATTCTTCGATCCATCGAGTCGGTGGGAAGCGGCACCATGGGGCCCTTCCGCTTGGGCTACTCGATAAGAATCGCGTATGAGTTTGCCAACGTTGAGACACAGCGATGGATCATTTCTCTGCTGGACAAGTTCTCCAAGAGATATGCGGCCACGGATAAGAACTCATACCCGAGCCCACGTGTGGACGCGCAAGGGTACTCGTGAGACTTTTTGAGACGGTGAGCAACGGAGAGACCCTTTTTCCTCTCTCCCTGCTGCGAAAAAAGGGAAGCTTCGGGCCCCAGTGCCAAGTTCTTACATGTCGGCGCCCACCTGATTGGGGAAAAGGGTGGAGAGGTGAGGATCTAGAGTGTTTTGGGTATCAATTTTCTAGTAGTCGTCGGGTGCAAGGTACGTGTAAAAGGCGAAAGACACTGAGCTCACCGATGGTGTGAATGACCAACTGTCGACGTACACATACAGGGGATTCTGGTTGACGTTCAAGTCATGCATTGCTTTATTTATGAATACTGGCCTGTCTTATGACTGACGTGAGGTTACTTGTGCGCACAGATCTGGTGATTTAGCTTGGAGAGATGGCTTCACTTGATTGGCAAAGGGACGTGAAAGTCGTAAGCCGCCACGTCGATGATCCCGTATGGTCTCGTAAAAATAAAAAAAAGGTGGTGGCATTATTAGTAGTAGTATCTAAGATATAAATAGCAAGCCACATAAGACGTGTCTCTTTTTTACTTCCTTCCCGTTGCCATAGTATTATAGGGTGAGTGGTAGTAATAGTTCGTATCATTAAGCCATATCGTATAACGTACTAGGTGTTGCACCGATCCAGCCAGCACTGTAAGTCGTGTGATAAAAAAAGAAAGCGAAAAAGGTGAAGATGAAGTAGAAGGAGAGCCGATTTAGCTTTGTTGAAAACATGCTGTCCCACTTTCACATGGGATTCAGCGCTGCCAATTTATTCAAAGCTTGTCGGCGGGTGGCTTGTTTCAGTTGCTCGATGTCCTCTTTTTCTTCCCCAGAAAAGCGCGAGCGAGACCCGACAAGGAGGGTCCGCCGAATAGCAGCTGGTCGGTGTGGCGGCCACAGGTGGTGTGGACGTTGACGGTAGGCGAGGATTTGATGAAGCCGAATGAGGTCCTGCGCTGAGGAGAGGAGATGGATTGCGGGTATGTGGTGGCGCTGGAGCATGTTCCGACTCTCTGTTTATTTTGGCTTCGTTTTAGTATTTGACATGTGGCTTGTGGCGGGTGCTTGTATTTATGGAAACGAAACAGATAGATGAGATGACATTGTGTGCCGCATACCTTTGATGGAGAGAAGATTGGTGACTCAAGGGAGTCGCGAGAGTCCTCAGTGATGCCGAAGGAAGTGTCCAGTTCCAACGGAGTGGGACGAGTGGCACGGGATAAGCGAGCCATAGCGAACGTGGGTTTTCTTTCTTTCGTAATTTCGTTACAAGACGTGAATTCTATTTCTATTCCAGGCGCCGGTTCTCTGCTCCGTCCGACAACAAGAAGGCTTGCTTCTTGACAGCTTGTTCTGAGAAAAGATAGGAATAACCCGTGCCGTCAAGGCAGCTGAGGCTCTGCACGCCGGGTGCGATAAAAACAAAAAGAGACGAGAGTAACGGGTCGAGGAGTACTCAAATCATCGACTGATACGATACGCAGGATCAAACTACGAGGTGGAAGGAAAGGAAGGGGAAGCGGGATGGCTAGCGAATAAATACCCAGGGCTGCTATTCCTAGCACAAACGAGGGAGCGTGTTATTCATTTGCGATGCGCATAACTCGCAGACTGATTTGGCGGCTGACCGAATCCGTGTCAGGCCGCAGATGCAGACGGCCAGGACGCTGCAGTGCGACCACCAGGCCGGCATTCCAGTCGCGTGGAGCATCAGGAGCCATCGTGTCGGTAAAACCTCAAATGGCGACTATTGACGGCCTGGGCCAATCACGGCCCATCACATGATTGGGGAGCCCGCGATAAGGCAGCAGGCAAAAAAACCTGGCAAGCCTGGAATCGGTGACGGGCAAAGGAGAGGCAGCAAGGGAAGCTGGCGTCATGGCGGGGACCCTGTCCGGCTCGACCTCGAACCTGATGGCTTTTTGCTAGTGTCGATCGCCAGGAATCGGTTCCAGACAGAGTTTAGCAGCTTGGTCAGGGTGAAGAGCGTGCCAGTCCAGCATGAGCAGGTATAGATAGGCATCCGACAATGAGCTTTGGCCAGCCCTTGCCGACATGTCATGGCATGACGAACCCCCCCTCCCCTTTGTCCCTGTTTTGTCTCTCTCTCTCTCTCTCTCTCTCTTTGTTTTCCCCCTCCCAGGATCCGAGCCAACGCCGAGAGCAAGGAAACGGCAACATGATGAAGCTGGTATGCTCGCACTCTGGCCGAGATATGGAGAACTCGACTCAGTAACGGGCCCTTCCGACAGCCTACATGTACTAGTAGTTGTTAGTGAGCCGTACAAGGTAGTTAGTCTTCATCGTATTGCCAAGCCAAGCACCAAACTCTGCTCTATCCCATGTACCCGCATCACGGAACGGCTGTCGGCTGGCCACTCCAGACGTCGGCAACCAGGTCCAGCCGTTGCTAGCACCAAGTCAGCTCGGGGGCCAGAAAATATGACCTGGGATAGCGAGCGATGGAATGGCCCTAGCTGCCCCTTTACTGCCGCTCTCGTCGTAGCACGGACTAGTCGCAGTCGTAATGTGCTGTCATGGCGGCGTGAGCTGAGCTATCAAGGGCCAATGGCTTCCCAGCACGGCAGAGGTCATTTCGTCAGTCGATTCTTGGCCGTCGAGAAATGCAGTCATGCTGCCCGCTCTGGACCGCAACATGAGTCACGCCTCAGGGAAAAAGAGAGACATTTTCCACTTTTCCACCCAACGTGAAACGGGCGAATGGTGGTGCAGAGGCTCGAATTCTGAATCTGCTTGGCCGATGCAGGAGGAGGACCAACGGCTAAAGCGATGCAACTCTAGGACTGGGCTGCAGGATGCTGACATTTGATGTCAACCGGTGCTTCAAGCTGGCCCAAGTCCTACGGTAAGGCGGCTCTGCGGCAATTCACCAGAGCTCTGGCGATGCGGTGCCTACCCTGGAGCGGCGCTCGTAGAGTCCAGATTTCAGGCATCAAGGCATCAAGGCACCAACTCTGAGTTCCACGACGTGCCTGTCCACCTGACTTTATTAGGCGTGGGGTCCAAGGACAAGTCGCTGTGGGAGCAGTTCTTCATCAGCCCTACGGCAAGACTAGAATGCTTGAGCCGCATCAGGGGATCAGTGCCGAGGACAGATCGAGCAATATGGGGAAGCTGGGAATTAAATTAAATCAATGCCAATTCCCATCGCCATCATGGATAAGACGTCGCCCGTGGACAATGGACTGGCGGAGCGCTTGTCGGCAGATTGGCGAAGCGCTGCTATCGGCATATCCTTGGTCGAGCCAATTGTATTTTGGCAATTCACATTTCATTCATAACGATGCAGCAGTCCTAATTGTGTAAACGTGCTCTCACTTTCTTCAGCACCTTGTTTGAAGCCCTGGTTGCACATCGTCATTCATGGGCCGCTTTTGCGGCCTTGAATAGCGGGCCCTGGATTGGGTAACAGGCTCAACAATAGGCTAGGTGACTGTAGAATACTGTACTAGGCGCAGTGGCAGAGAGAAGAGCCCTGGAGGGAAAAAAAAGCTCGGGCCACTCACGGTGCCTGCGTGGCTGCACGTGAGGAGACACCTCCGTTTTTTTTTGGCCTGAGCGCTAATAGCTCTCGCGACGCGCGAAGTCTCGTTACAAGTATCCAGATCGATTTGCGACCACTGCTGCATTGCCTTTGTGCCCGCCAAAAGGTTCGTCTCGGCGCGCCCCGTCAACGCGACGTCCTCGCAACGCATATATCCAGACGGTCCTTGTGGGCGCAGCTGCTCTGGCCATCTGACGGCGCCGGCCCGGTTCATGATTAGTGTGTCATTGCGCGATTCCATGCACGCCATATACATCCACCGTGCGGCACCATCCAGGTCATAGGTCTGTCCCTCGACTCAACCACTGGATGCCTGAAATGCGCAGCTCGGAATCAGGAACAATCACTGACCCGTGTCTGATAGCTTAGGGGTTGCAGGTCGTATCAATACCTATCCGCACATACGCAATTCACCCATCAATCTCTGTTGTTACATTGGCCCAGTTCCCTGAACGTCACCCCAAAACACCGCACAACCCGATACAATGGTTAGCAGCAAGAGGAAGCGAGCCCTCGAGGACTTCGACCCCAACAAGTCGGATCCGGAGGATGAAAACTTCGACCCGATAGAGGCAAGGCCTAGCCGAAGCTCCAAGAAAACCCGCTCATCTAGAAATGGGAAACCAGGGCAGAAAAGGACCAACCGTTATCGCGGATCCGACATTGACGATGACGATGACGAGTTATCTGATAGCGAAGAAGACTCTTTTGCCGAGAACACCGAAGAGTCTGATGAAGAAGCTCCCAGGAATGCGGCTGGGCGGCGGGCCAGGAAAGTGGCAGTCAAACAGCAGAATTATAAAGAGAGCAGCGAAGAAGACGACGACGACATAGAAGAAAAGGAAGAGGTTGAAGAAGAGCTCGATGAACTAGACGACGTTCCCCTCAAGCCTGCAAAGCCGGAGCCATCAAGGATGGTCAAGCTCAAGGTCTCTGGTCCAGCCTTGGCCCGGACGCGCAGGACTCGGGCACACACTGAAGATGCTGAAGAGTTCATGGAACTGTCCGCTTCTGGTCGACATGCCGTTCTATCCCGAGAATCACAAAGCAGAAGCCCCGAGTCAGCTTCACGAAGGCCCACCCGCGCTGCCAAAGGGGTGAAGAAAGCCGAGCCAATTCTGGAGGCTTCCCACGAGAGTAGCTTTCGAGAGAAGGATGACGCCAATGCCCCTGATGAGCTCCTGGAGGATTCACCAAGCCGTGAAAAGCATGAAGAAATTGACTCTGATATGCCGGATGCTGTCAAGGAGGACCAAGACGCCCCAGTGGAGAATTCCGCCGCAGTGAAGCAAGACGCGGCCGACGATGATGACGACGACGACGACGTACTCACCACTCGGAGGACCAGAAGCTCTCGAGCTGCCGCTGGGGCTTCTACAGAGGATGCCGTCGAGACCACCGAGGTAGTCGAAGCTGAAGCTGCGGCCGAAGATGGGTCAGATGCCGGTGGTGCTCGCCGGTCTCGCCGGTTAGCGAGAGGCACCAAGAAATCCACTCAGGAACCTAGTAGCGATTTTGAACCTGGCGATGATTCCGATGATGCTGAAGTCTCCGATAAAGAGCGAAAGGGGAATGATGATGTTATTGACAGCCCGACTCCTCGAGGGAGACAGACCCGATCTCGCGGCCGTACCTCACGCCGTCGAAACTCTTCTGCTGATGAGGAGCCTGATTTCGACTTGGACGAGCTTAACGAAGAAGCCCGCGAATTGAGACGCTCATCTAGGCCGCATAGAAAGGCCCGGACAGAGTCCCCCATTGTGTACCAGGAGGGCTCACGTCGACGACCTAGGATCAACTATTACATGCCTCCGTTGACTGCCGCCAACATTGAGGAGGAAGCAGAAGATCCTGCTCCTACTCCGGCTCGCGGCCGTCGACGAGGCGGCGCCAGCGCTGGCTGGGACAGGAATCTCAACACCACATACGGTCCCTTTGGCGGCGGCGGCGATGTCGGGTCTCTGCTTGGCGGCCCATGGGGGACTGGTGCCACCGGCGGAGTCGACTCTGATAGCAGTGATGATGAGATGATGCACAGGTCCACAGCCGCAGGAAATGTTGGCATGACGCCGACGTCTGCAGCTCCAGCTGGTGGCCTTGTATCTGGTGGGCAGGGTCATGGCGTTGACGCTACGCCTAACGTCGGCAAGATCAAAGACCGCAAAGCGCTCGCTGATGCTGACCCCCTGGGTGTGGATTTGAACGTCGACTTCAGCAAGGTTGGTGGGTTGCAAGGCCACATCGATCAGCTCAAGGAGATGGTTCAGCTTCCTCTGCTGTATCCAGAACTCTTCACCCGATTCCATGTTACACCGCCCCGCGGCGTCTTGTTCCATGGTCCTCCAGGTACCGGTAAAACGCTGCTCGCTCGTGCTCTGGCCAATTCGGTTGGTTCTGGCGGCAAGAAGATCTCCTTCTACATGCGCAAGGGTGCTGATGCGCTCAGCAAATGGGTTGGCGAGGCTGAAAAGCAGCTCCGTTTGCTCTTTGAAGAGGCGAGGAAGACCCAGCCTAGTATCATCTTCTTTGACGAGATTGACGGACTGGCGCCGGTCAGGTCGAGCAAGCAAGAGCAAATCCATGCTTCTATTGTCTCGACCCTGCTGGCCCTGATGGATGGCATGGATGGGCGTGGACAAGTCATCGTCATCGGCGCCACCAATCGACCGGACAACATTGACCCTGCTCTTCGACGACCGGGACGATTTGATAGAGAATTCTACTTTCCCCTGCCCGACCTCGAGGGGCGCCGGTCCATCCTTAACATCCACACACAAGACTGGGGTCTGTCGAACGAGTTTATGCAGTCCCTGGCTGAGAACACCAAGGGCTACGGTGGTGCTGATCTGAGAGCTCTCTGCACCGAGGCGTCACTCAACGCTATTCAGCGGACCTACCCACAGATTTACTCTTCTACAGAGAAACTGCTTGTCGATCCAGCCAAAATTTCGGTCCATGCCTCCGATTTCATGATCTCTATCAAGAAGTTGATACCTTCGTCGGAGCGTTCTGCAACATCAGGAGCACGCCCTCTTCCAAGCTCTATTGCGCCTCTGCTCCGTGAACAATTTGACGAGGCCAAGCGGGCGCTTGATCTGCTCTTGCCCCGGAGAAAGAAGACGACTGCACTGGAAGAGGCCATGTATGAGCAGTTTGATGACGAAGATCATGGATTTGGACGTGAGACACTGAACCAAGAGTTTGAACGCTCTCGAGTCTTCCGGCCTAGGTTTCTCATCTCAGGTGCTCATGGTATGGGCCAAGGCTATATCTCGTCTGCAATTCTCCATCATTTTGAAGGGATTCACGTACAGAACTTTGACCTCCCAGCCCTCCTCAATGACGGACGGGTAAGCTACTTTGTCCCCTCCTCCCGCTTTTTTACACCAAATCATTACTAACTGAATAATAGGCAATGGAGCAAGTCATCGTTGGCCTCTTCACTGAAGTAAGGCGCCACAAACCGAGTGTGATCTATATTCCAAACATTGATGCTTGGTATACGGTGCTGGCTGGAACGCTGGCGCTGGTCACCTTCCGCACTATGTTGAGATCCATCGCCCCAACGGATCCTGTACTCCTCTTGGCCACTGCAGATTGCGAAAAGAAAGACCTTCCACAGGAAATGGTTCGCGATTTTTTCGGCTACTCTCACAAAAACCAAATGCAGATCACGAAACCGAACAAGGTAAGAAAGGGCACCATACGAGCAATAGTGTGGGCGAGAATCGCTAACAGTCAGCAGGCCAATCGCATGGAGTATTTTTCGAAAACATTGGAGTATGTGAAGCTGCAGCCTCGCGACTTCCCAGATCTCGACAACCGTAAGAAGAGAGTTCTCGAGGAGTTGCCAGTAGCTCCTCCGGCGCCCGTCAAGCCGCCAACCAAGGAAGAGGTGAAGGCTCTGAAGAAGAGAGATCATCAGTTCCTGAACGCTCTCAAGATCCAACTTCAGCCCATCATGGATCAGATCAACCGTAGGTATAAGAAGTTCAGACAGCCGGTTCTTCAACAAAGCCAGATTGAATACTTGTTCTTGGAGGCAGATCCGAACTACGTACGGCCCGATCTAGCAGAGGGAGAGAACAGACCCTTTGAGATTGTAAAGGATAAGCATGGAAATGACGTGCTGATGCACATCGAGTCTGGCAAGTACTATTACAACCTCGAGACCACCACCATTGAGGAGCGCCTGTCGAACGGGTTCTATGCTCGCCCCAAGGACTTTTTGTTTGACATTAAAGCTCTGGCAAAGGACGCCAAGAACATTGGCGACAAAGAGCGCACTCTCAAGGCCAACGAATTGCTCAGCAACGTCGAGGTGGATGTAGCAAGTATCGAAAACAGCACAGCCCACATCGACTGGGAAGCGCTCTACCAGCGCCAACAGCAGCGAGCCAAGGAGGCAGCGGAGAAGGAGCGGAAGCGAAAAGCCATGCAATCCGTATTGGAGCGAGTCCAGTCGGATCTTGGCGGAGGCAATGACAGCGATTCCCAGGGCCCTCTCACCCTTGGAGAGCCAGTGCCAGGGGCTCGCACCATGGCCCGCTTCCAGATACGAAGCCCCTTGTCTAACGGGCATGGCGAGGCTGGCCAAAATGAACATCCGCTTAGTAACGGTGTCCCCAATCCGATAAAGGAGGGCGATGTTCAGATGAGCGGGACCGATGATGACACACAAATTCTGACCCAATCCCAAACCTCTCCCATGGGCCCGCCCCCAAGATCAGAGGAGCTATCTTCCTCGAGAATCTTGGCGGCTGGGGGGACGCAGGTATCTCAGCGATCTGCAATTACCACTCTTCCTCCTGGCGTGTCGCCATCGGCTGTAATCAACGAGGCATCCACGACAAAGACGTCGGATCCGTCAACTCACAGATCTTCCAACTGGAGCACGCAGAATACAAATGGAAACCACGAGCACGATGATACGCTACCGGACACTTTGTTAGTTGCGCAGAACCAGAGTCAGCTGTCATTGCAGAACCAAAGTATTCTGTCATCTTCTAGTGAGATTTGGCCGCATACTCAAGCTCGGGGACCGGCACTTGACGAAAGCTCGTCCGCCTCGCTCATAAGCCGCCCGTCGCTCCAATCCCAAACTCACAAGAGCCCGGGAGCTGCGAAGTCGGTGATTAGCTTACCGTCTCATGATTCAAGCTCGTTGGGAGACCCAGTTCGCAACTCGGGCTCGTCTTCCCAACCGTTGCAGGTAGAAGGACAGATAGAAGAACTTCTGCACAGGGTAGCAGACCTCACCTCGGGCTGTACGATTGAGCAACTCGAACAAGTCAACCGTGAGATGATGGACGAGATATGGCGCAGCCGACACGAGTGGAACAGAGTCAAGGTACTCGGGAACGTGTCGTCAGTGTTCAACGAGGTGATGCATGACATCGAAAACATGCAAGGCATGGATCCACTGAGTCAGCGAGAGGACTTGGATGTATAGGAGCGTCTTGATAAAGAGAGCAACTAGTTTGTTTTGTTCTTTTGACATCCGCGCTAGAACATTGGAGCGACCAAAAAAAGTGAGAGACATGATGCAGAATTGTTTCTTGTAAGATTGATTATGGATATTGGTTTTGGGTTGGCACAGCGCTTTTTTCTTCTTTCCCCTCTGTCTATTTTTTTTCCTTTTTTTTTTCCTACTTTAGCTTCCTTTTTTGTGTAAGAAGAAAAAGCAGACAGATTCTGAGGATGTCAAGGGACTATTGGTTGAGGAGGGTGGCGCCGAAAAAAAGGAGTGGCCCCGTGTGTGCCTAAAGCTTTGGAGTTTGAAGGAACCCGTGCTTCGTATATCCGTTTTCCTTTTCTTTTTTTCATTTTGAGATAAGTAAGAGGAGATACCTTGAGCAATTAGATGTATACGCTTATGGATACTACATATTCTATGAACAAACGAGTCTGAGCTGTGATATCATGATACATGTGAGCGGTTCTTTGAAGGCTGAGAGGGCATGATGCGCTGTGCCAGTACTACAGACGTCAAGTCGTGGTACGCATGTTGGTACATGGGCCATATAGGTAGGTGCTTTGTATATCTCTCTCATTGACATGTTTGTATAGATATCCTACAAATGGCTGAATGGCATTACTTGCCCTAGCTAAGAACCAATTTCCCATGGCTCCGCTGCCCGACTAACCGACACTTGCTATTCAACACATACTCTACATACAGCCCATCTTCCTCCTAAGAAAAGAGAGAAAATGCGATTTACAATTTCGATTTAGTAGCGCTATCAACCCTCTGGCCCTCATCGTCCTGCTCGGCGACGGTCAGGTCGGGCAAGCGGGCGGGCATGATTCGGCGCGGGCTGGCGCCGGGGATGACGTTGTACTTTGAGAAGTCGGTGACGCCCATGTGGTCGCGGAGGAAGTCCTCGTCGAGGACCAGCTCGCCGTTGACCTTTGCGGCGGGGGAGCGCAGGATGCCGAGGATGGCGTCGGAGAAGATGGTGGGCTTGCGGAGGTCCTTTTCCTCGTCGGGGTTCTTCTTGGTGAATTGCTCGGTGGCGGCGGATTCGATTGCCTGTGTTTTTTCCTTTTAGTTAGAAAGCTAGCTTTGTTTATAGTATATATATGTGTGTATATATGTACTTACCACGGCGGGCCAGATGCTCGTAATGGCCATGTCGTTGAGCCCCTCGCGCTTGAAATCCATGGCTAGGCCCTTGGTTAGGACGCTCATGCCGATCTTGCCCATGGCATAAGCGGTCTTGCCGCGGAAGAAGCGGCTGTAGATGGGCGGGCTGACGACGACGATGCGGCCGTGAGGGCGGAGATGCGGCAGAGCGGCCTGGATGACGGCGTATAGACCTTCGGGGTTGACCCGCTGCATGAGCTGGAAGCGCTTGAGGGGCGTGTTTGCGACGGATGCCCACCAGATGGCGCCCGAGTTGTAGACGAGGACGTCGAGGCGGCCGTATTTCTAAACGAGGGAGAAGCGTAAGCATGAGCACGTGGTGATGGTGAAGATAAGAGGATATTTCACTTACAGCAATGGTCTTTGCGATGAGGGCGTTGACGCTCTCCTCGGATCGCACATCGACCTGGATAGGCGTGGCATCGCCGCCAGCAGAGGTGATTTCGCGGGCGACGGTGGTGATGGTTGAGTCGTTGGACTTTGGATTGGGCGCCTTGTCGGTGAGCTTGGAAGGGTCTGTGATGGACTTTGCGGCCACGACGACTGGATTCAAGTATATGTCGTTAGCTATGATGGGAGATGAAGCATTGGGAACTCTTGAACTCATGTATGAGAGAAAACTCACTTGCGTAGCCGTTGGCAGCCAGGTCGACGGCGACTTGGCGGCCGATTCCGCGGGAAGCTCCCACGACGAGGGCTACGGGCTTTGAGCTGACCATTTTGGTGTTTTGGATTGTTTTACGTGTGGTAAGAATTGAAGGGGGAGAGAGAGGTATGTTGAGGCTACGATAAGGGAGATGTGAGGATGATTCAAGCGTGATATATATGCTCAATTGCCTCTTCGTCTTCTTCTTCTTCTTTCACTTCAACAAGTGGAGAGGTAGAGCGTGAGAAGCTTCCAAGCCGGAGCTTATAAGGCTGATGGCCTCCAGTATAGCTTTGAAGCATATGTCATCCATCCGAACTGTGAATCGCAAAATAGCTGGGGCGAAGCAGCCGAGATGTGGAGCCCGCATCTACGCCCGTGGTGGAGCTCACTGCTGATTACTGAACACCCGCCGCTATGGCTTAGGGGTCCTGATGCCTCGGCTCCGCGAACTTATAGCGTCGACATAGCGCTGCAGCCCCGCAAACGACAGCGGCATTACGGTAAGATGCGGTGGATTTGCAGTTTACGGAAAGCCGGGGTAAGAGGCAACTGGGGGGGAAGGACACGCCTGAAGCCTTACCAGCTGACGGTGCTTGATACTACAAGTACCGGGTGGTCTTACATGTGCGTCTCGCTCTCCTCTCTCATGCCTCTTGTCGAATTCTGATTTTGTCATCACCTGCAATCACGCCATCTGCACCTAGCTGCAGGAATCAAATTCTCCTTAGTCCTGATCTTGGAGACGTGGGAAATCTGGGGAACAAACGTTGGTGCTCACGTCTTTTGTTTAGAGCCAGACAAGGGGACACAGCGCAAAACCATGGGAGGCAAGATTGAGTGCTTCTTGGATCTCGGTGAGTTTCTGCTTCGGGGATTTGGGGCTCGGTGTGGCCCGGCTGGGGCGATGCTGTGCCTTTTTCCCCTGTTCTTTTTGTTTTAAGAATATTGGGTCTTTGATCTAATATTGTATGGATGTGACTGACCAACGCGTTCCCACACTTAGCATCCTATTTTAGCTACGTCGCGTTCGTAGACTTGGCGCAGAATCGAGATAAGCTGGCGGCCAATGGAGTGGAAATAGAGTATGTCATCCATATGCTCCCATCATAGACACGGCGCATTGTCACGCACAAGAATCCGTCATATCAGATTACATATTGACGTTTTGCTCGCCAGGATTCAGCCCGTGCTGCTGGGCGGCATCAACCACCTCTCAGGTATTTCTTGACTTGGATATCCTTCAACATTCATCACGCCATGGTGCTGACTGGCCGCTTAGGGAACCGCCCTCCATGGACAAACGAGGCCAAGGCCAAGTATCTAAGGTACGACTCTCGTCGTGCCGCAGAGCGCGTCGGCCTTGTCGACATCGAGAGCCCCCCTGATCTGATGGCTGTTTCCCACACCATCTCACCGCTGCGTGCTCTGCACTACATCAAGGCCAACTACCCAAAAGCCACCTTCCTCGCCGCCTTTGAGGCCTGCTTCAAGGCCTTCTGGACGCCTCCCAACGTCAACCTCATCCCGGAGGAGAACCTGCGCGCCGTGCTGCTGGGGGCGACAGAGAAGCCCGGCGACAGCGGCAGCAAGAAGCTCTTCACCGCGGACGAAGTGGAGAAGATTATCAAGGCCCGTGGTAGCATGAAGGATGTTCTCATGGCCACTACCCAGAGGGCTGTTGATCAGGGGGCCTTTGGCGCGCCTTGGATTTGGGTGACGAATGCAAAGGGCGAGCAAGAGCCGTTTTTCGGTAGCGACCGGTGAGTTTATCAAAAATCCCGACCCCAGTTGTTTAAGAAGAGATGAGTTGCATATAAAAAAAGAGGGAGTTCATTTCGCTGACTGGATTTAGGTTCCACCATATTTACAAGTTTTTGGGCATTCCCTTTCAGGATATTGCCGTGTTGACGCCGTCAAAGTTGTAGCGAGGGGCCGGTAATGAGAGATCGGAATTGTAATAATTACATTAGATGATCAACTAGATGTTTTATGTATAATCTGAGATTTATTTTTGAGATTTCAAACCCCATTAGCCAGCCGTTGATTTGTCTCTGCCATATCCACCGTTGGTCGCAACCCAAGCACGCAGCCAAACCTCTGCTGCGCTAAAGCGGCAACTAAACCACTTACACCATTTTTTTACCACTCACTTACTCACCCTCATATCAACATAAAGCATATCCGCGATGGCCTCCCCTGAACTCACCCTTATCGTGGCTGCGACCCGTAGCATGGGCATAGGCTTCCAGGGCACCATGCCCTGGAAAGGCCTCAAAAGAGAAATGCAGTATTTTGCGCGTGTGACGACTCGAGTTCCAGCTTCTTCATCACAGGTAAGAAGAAAAAACTTGCTCCATCTCATATCGGCCTCAACTCCGTAAAAAACAACGTCACATTGAGGGAAATTCAAACCCAATAATTAGTTTCAAAAACAAAAATTGCCTTGTAAATATGAACAAACCACTAATTGAGCGCTAGACTCCCCAAAACGCAGTCATCATGGGCCGCAAAACCTGGGACTCCATCCCCCCCAAATTCCGGCCTCTCAAGAACCGCCTCAACATCGTCATCACCCGCTCAGCGCCCGCCAACCCGCCCTCTCCCCCCTCTGGCTCCGAGATCCGGGTGCCGTCCGTGGAAGCGGCGCTGCGGTACGCGCAAGAGGCAAATTCGAGCGGCGGGCGCGTCTTCGTCATGGGCGGCGCGCAGATCTACGAGGCGGCGCTGAGGCATCCGGCTGCGAAGCGCGTGCTGCTGACGAGTATCGACGCGGAGTTTGAGTGCGATACGGTTTTCCCGCTGATGTTGACGGGGGACGAGGTTGATGGGTGGAAGAAGAGGTCGAGAGAGGAGTTGCAGGAGTGGACGGGTGAAGAGGTTGATGAGGGAGGACAGGAGGAGGCGGGCATCAAGTATGAGTTTCAGATGTGGGAGAGGAGTGAATGAGCGTGAGCATGAGCATGAGCATGAGATTGTTTTTTTCATCTATACATCGACAAGTTCTATACATCAGGAGGCGGCATGTCGAGCCTCCGCTTTATGCCAACAGCAATCAAGTCCGCCACACACTCGTACAGCTGCATTATTATACGCACCATCAAAGAAGACAGACTCATCGCCTCGAGTCTCCCTCTTTTCCTCAATTTTTCTTGCCCATACCCCCATATTCACCCTTGGCATTTTACAAATATTTTACAGGTCCCATAGTCGCCATTTTTTCTTCTTTTCTTTTGGTCATCATCGTCGTCGTCATTCCGATTTCCCTCCTCCATCTTGATTCAAGCAGCCTTGGCCACCTCGGGAGTAGAGTTTGTTTCCTGGTCCTCTGGAAGAGCATTCTTGGCATCCTCCTTCTTGAACGGCTCCTCCAGCCTCGTCCAGAACACATCCACTGGCCTGGAAAGAACCTCCAGCGCCCTGTTGGTCATGGCCATGTCTGAGGCGCTCTCCAGCGATGCAAGGCCGGATCTCATCCATCCAACAATAGCCACCAGCGCTCGGGGGTCGACTTCGGGATCGCCCTTGAACAGATTCCTCCATACGGCGCTGGCCAACACGGCGTCACCCTTGATGAGACCTTCGTCGTACGCCAGCAGGAGACCTCGCCACTGGACAAATATATCCTTGAGGTAGCGCTGTCGGAGGGCGCTGGATGTGATGTTGTGGTCAATGTGCATCTTCTTCTCGCACTCGAAGAAGAAGTGGTCGATGAGCTGCTGCTGCCAGTTGCGGTATTCGTCTCGCTCGAGGCATCGTATGCGGGCGTTGATGAGATAGAGGTGAAGCATGGTGACATGCGACCAGGTGCTAAAGGTGGGCGGCAGTTTGAAAGCTGCAGTTATTTCCAAAGCGTTAGCAAGTGTGATACTGGAGTTTAGACCGAGATTGACATACCAGTATGCCAGATATTCCCATCTTCCAGAGCCCGGCCAATCTCCTCGCCGTCGTCCAATCTCTCCACCAAATCATTCTTGCGCTCCTCCTCCGTGATGCGATAATCAGCTGCTTTGGCACATGCCTTGAACAGTCTCTCCGAGGCGCCCAGAACCCGGTACGACTCGCCAATCGAGCTCCCAAGTCCGCCCAGGATCTTCCTCGTGCTGGAGCTGCTGAAACTCCGGGCTGGCGGCGACGTCCGAACGGGCGCATTGGCATGGAGCAGCGGCAAAAAAACCGATCTGGCGGCCGAGGACCGGGATACTGAGGTGCGGGATGCGACCCGGAGGAGTGTCCGGGCCTGGGATCGGCAGCTTTCGCAGGCCATTGTGAAGAAAAAGAAATATTAAGATTGCAAAAATTAGGGATTATGGTGAGCGCTTCTGGAGGGATCGAATGGCCATGAGGAGAGTGATGGAGGCGGGCGAGCTATATTCGATTTTTTTTTCTTAAGATGGCCCGGCAGCTATCCATGACGCTGTGGATTTCCTTGTGCGAAGAAATTAGCTAGACGATCCGATGGTTGGCGGCGGCTGAAGTTCGGCTGGCGGTTTGGATGAGTCGATGGAGGGGCAGATTGTAGTGAAGTAGAGGGGTTGAGCATCAATGTATGCTTAATGTTTGATATAAGTTGTGTTTTAATACAGATTTGATGGTTGAAGAATTGATGACCAAAAAAAAATATTGGAGAATTCCATTTGTCTACGCCGATTTTATATATTGTACAAGTATTCTTACAAGCTTACTTACTCAAACTTGGAAAACACAAGCGTGCTGTTGGTTCCCCCAAACCCAAAGCTATTGCTCATTGCAACTTTCACTTCCTTCTGCTGAGAGGCCAAGGGGACAAAGTTGAAGTCGACGTCTACATTCGGCCGCTCCAGATTCAAAGTAGCCGGCACAATTCCCTTTTTAGTTTGTTTCTTGTCAGTGTCTGGCACCATAGAGCTACCGGCTCATACGAGTGGAAGGAAGATGGGGTTGAGAACTCACCTCATGAATGGCCAGGATGCAAAAGAGGGCCTCAATTGCACCGGCTGCACCTAGCAAATGTCCTATCGCGCCCTTGGTGCTGCTCACGGTGACTTTGGATTCGGATGAAACGCCTTCGTCGCCCATCATGATCCGTTTGATGGCTGCCGCTTCAGCCGTGTCTCCCACTTGCGTGCTCGTAGCATGTGCGTTCACATAGTCAACCTGCGAGGGCTTGATGCCCGCGCTCTTCAAGGCCTTTCTCATGGCTAGATATGCTCCATGTCCATCTTCTCGCGGCGCCGTCATGTGGTACGCATCACCGCTGCATCCGTATCCGCTAATCTCGGCATAAATCTTGGCCCCCCTGGCCTTTGCATGCTCGAGCTCCTCAAGCACGCACACTGCTGCTCCCTCGGCAATGACAAAGCCGTTTCGATCGGCATCAAACGGGCGACATGCCGCCTCTGGTCTATCGTTGTATGCCGTGGCCAGGGATCTAGCCCTGCCAAAGCCAGCAAAAGTGAGAGGGTGGATGCAGGACTCTGCTCCGCCGGCAACCATTACATCAGCATCTCCGAGCGCGATGAACCGGGCTGCGTCTCCGATAGAGTGCGCTCCTGTAGTGCAGGCCGTCGTTGCAGCATGGTTCGGGCCTTGGAAGCCGTGCCTCATGGCGATGTGCCCTGCTGCCATGTTGATGAGAAGCTTGGGCACGAAAAGTGGCGATACCTTTTTGTATCCCTGTCGTAGACGTCGTGTCAGTTACGGGATGCTACATATAGGCATTGGTATAGTTGGGTGTGCTCACATCATTACTGTGGGACAGGCTAGTTTCATACATCTCTTCTAGGTTGCCAATGCCGCTCCCAAGACACACTCCCGTAGCCTCTTGGTCCTCAAGCCGTGACGCCTCCCATCCGGCATCCTTCAAAGCCATATCACTAGCCGCAATCGCATACTGCGTAAAGGTCGACATGCGCCGCTGCTCCGCGGCACTCAGCCAGTCGTCAGCCTTCCATAAGCCATCAGCCTTCCCGCCAGGCCCTTGAGGAACGACGCCGGCAACGGTACACGTCAGTTCTCTCCATCGCTGTCGAGGCTCTCGATCCGCAACGCTGGCAATGCCGGATTCGCCAGCAATGAGACGGGTCCAAGTTCGTTGGATGCCGAGCCCGAGCGGCGTGATGGCGCCGAGGCCAGTCACGACAACTCGCCGCATTTTTTATGATTCCATATCAAGATTGGATCACAATTGGGGTTGCAAGCAGCTGTTTTACTTTGGCGGCGTCCTGCTAGATGTTGATGAGAAATGCTTAAATTCGAGATGAGTTGAGATGACTTATCCGCGGAAGATGTAAATGCTTGTGGAAATAACCCGACCTGGTTTAGCAGCCTATTGTCAGCTAGTGCTGGCTGAAACGCACTAAACCTCTTTGTGCAAGTACGCAAGGTCTCACCGTCGAGAGGTGGCTTCGACTTGTTTCTTCTATCTCAGGATTCATCCTGCTCAGCAGAAGGAAATAATCATCCCAATTCGTTCAATCCAGAGCTCTTCTGCTGGAAATAGCAAGTGCAAAATATTCGGCAAATATCAGCAACAAAGAGCTTGCCGAAATCCCTGAAGCCCGCTGGACATAGTTTCAGGCGCTGGTTTCTTTTGTCGCGTGGCCACTATTGGGCTGACCTTAGCCTTGTGAAACCTCAGAACCAACACCACGATATCCATTCCACTTCCCCCAAAATGGATGCTCCGAATTGAACACAGAGGGAAGATAGAGCGAGATAACTTTATGCTATACAAGCTTATTTTATCACCGGCTTGCTCCACCAGCTGACCTAACCTACTAATAGTCTCCCGTGTTAGAGGCTCTCAGAGACGTATATACTTCAACCGGCGCCTTGGATTGGGGCGATCATGGACAACATGGCTGAGACGAGCGGACGTGAGACAGAATCTGGGCTTCATCCACGGCATTCTCTCTCAAGTCCAACTACCGGACTCATGGAGGGTTTACGGGAAACCATCTCCAAATGGCCTGATTCAGGCGCGCGGAACGACGTCGATGATGACGATCAGGGCTCCGAGTATGAGCTCCTCATGGATCCAAACCTACCAGAGGAGCATGAATCTCGTCGTCATGTACAACCCGAAGACGGCCTATCTGATGATGGGTCTAAGGGGGCTGAAGATGAGGGGGAGGAGGAAGAGAATTCTCCGTATCCGGAAGTTCGCGCGTCTGTCCACAATTACGACGAAGATGTGCCATGTAATACGGTTCGTGCTTGGTCAATTGGACTATCCCTTGTTATTCTTGGAGCATCAATGAACACCATCTTTTCGCTGCGCCGGCCCACCATTTCCATCGGGCCCCTTGTCGCTCAGATTATTGCTTGGCCCATCGGTCATGGGTGGGCAAGATTTGTTCCCGAACGAGAGTTGAGGATATTTGGACTCAAGTGGCAGCTGAATCCGGGCCCCTTTAACGTGAAGGAGCATGCAATTATCGGAGTGATGGCATCTGTATCCTTTTCTGTTGCCTATTCGACAGACATTATCCTGGCACAGCTGGTTTTTTATAAGCAGAATTTTGGAATACTCTTCCAGATCTTGCTCGTGATTTCCACGCAGTCGCTGGGATACGGCATTGCTGGTATTATGCGCAAATATCTAGGTTTGAAACCCATTTTTACTTGATATAAATTCATCGTCATCATAACTAATTATTACTCTGCCCGCAGTATATCCTGCATCGATGATATGGCCTGCGAATCTAGCCTCCGTGGCCATGATGAATGCCATGTATGAGTCGACTGATGACATAGATCCGACAGTCTTCGGCGGCAGTTTAACTAGATACACATGGTTTAGCCTCGTTACTGCGGTATCTTTTGTCTACTACTTTATTCCGGGCTTCCTTGCCCAGTTCCTGAGCGTCTTCGCCTTTGCAACCTGGATGGCACCGCAAAACCCAGTCATCAATCAGCTCTTTGGTGGAAACACTGGCTTGTCCATCATACCCATTACCTTTGACTGGAGCCAGGTGTCAGGTTACATCGGATCGCCTCTTGTTTCGCCTTGGTGAGTGACACAAGCCCATGAGACTTGCTGCATCACTCTTTGATAGTAACAGCAATCTAGGCACGCGATTGCCAATACCACCATCAGTGTTGTCATATTCTACACCGGTCTGTCGATCCTACTCCACTACTCTGGGACTTGGTATGCCCCGTTCCTACCCATGAACGACGCCAGTATCTACGACAACACGGGGGCGGCGTACAACATTACCCGGGTTGTGAATCCAGACATGACTCTGAATGAGGAGGCCTACCGAAATTACTCGCCGTTATTCATTAGGTAAATCCGAGTCTGCTCCAGAGTGGTCTCATCTCGTGGCTCATGATTCAATAGCACCACATTCGCCATATCATATGGCATGTCATTCGCCGCCATCTCCTCACTCGTTGTGTATACGTATCTGCAACACGGCAAGTACATCTGGAAGCAGTACATGAACAGCGCCACGGAAAAGCCGGATATCCATATGAAACTGATGAAAAAGTACAAAGAGGCACCGACGTGGTGGTACCTCACTCTCTTCTGCATCGTGAGTGCTCCCACCCTTTCCCAATTCCCACCAGCACAGGCAACCATCATCTTCGGCACCGGCTGACATCATCGTACTTGAGGTAGATGCTGGCATTGGGCTTCTATACAGTGCTTGCGTACCCAACCAACCTCACTTGGTGGGCCTTTTTATTGGCCGTCATGATTTCGTTCGGCTTCTCTTTGCCAATCGGTATCATTCAAGCCGTCACAAATAACCAGATTGGCTTGAATGTGCTCACGGAGTTTGTATACGGCTACATCCAGCCGGGACGGCCTCTGGCGCTCATGCTGTATGTTTTATCCCGCGTTTTATGCAGCCCTAGCAAATGCGTAAAACTATGTCGTCGCTAACCATGACTATGTAATAATTAGCTTCAAAACGTTTGGATACATCACTATGTAAGTGAAAAACAAACAAGAGCGCCTTTCATAGATGCAATCTACTCACAGCTCCCCAAACCAGGTCCCAATCACTCAATTTCATAGCAGATCTCAAGTTCGGTCATTACATGAAAATCCCGCCCAGGACCATGTTCATGGCCCAAGTCGTCGCCACAACATACTCGTGCGTAATCCAGGTTTTGGTCCTTAACATGGCACTCAACAACATCGAAGACGTGTGCGATGATCAGCAACCCAACCACTTCACATGTCCAGGCGGAAGAGTCTTTTACTCTGGTAAGTAGACCTGCCCTCACCTTCATGAAAATGGCTTGTTCATTTTTTTTTTCTTGTTCTTAACGTTTTTCAGCTTCTGTCATTTGGGGCCTCATTGGCCCAGGTCGAATGTTCTCCCCAGGCCAAATCTACTCTGGCCTCTTCATCTTCTTCATCATCGGCGCAATCACCCCTATAGTCATCTACTTCGCCGTCAAGAAATACCCAAAATCCCCCGTGAAATACCTCATCGCGCCGCTCCTCTTTGGCGGCCCCGGCTCCATCCCACCCGCCACACCTCTCAACTACTACTCCTGGGGCATCGTGGGCTTCATCTTCCAGTTCTGGATCAAGAGGCACTACTTCCGGTGGTGGAGCCGCTTGAACTTCTTGACGTCGTCCGGCATGGATTTGGGTCTAGCGCTGGCCACGCTCTTCATCTTTTTCGCTTTCACAATGAATGGGATTGAGCCCCCAAAATGGTGGGGGAATAACGTTGTCGGCACGACGATGGATTTCCAGGGCACGGCTGTGAGGGCGCATGTTGCAGCGGGAGAGCATTTTGGCCCAAGCTCATGGTAGATTTAGATAGCTGTTGTAGGACATAGAGCAGTTATACAATAGAGTATATAGATCTCGGCAGTGTTCACGACAAGTGTTATTTGATAACGAAAGAGACAAACATGGAGTAAACTGCTATATAAATTGGATTTTTTTTTCTTTTTGTTTTAATATGGTCATAAAGATATGAACAAATGAAAGAGTAAACGAATGTAACAGGGTAAAAAATAAAAAAAAAAACATACAAAAAAACATATAAAAAAACATAAAGAAGTTATAGAAAAAAAATATAAAAAATATAAAGATGAATAAAAAAAAACCCCCCCCTTACTGTCTTCCATGTATCTTCGAGCAGGATAACCCTTCGCCGTCTTGATGATATCAATGTAGAATAAAGAGGCTCAAACCATTTGTCTTCTCTGACCAACACCCTCCTCCGCGAAAATAATATCGTGCTCATCCCCTGATTCAAACTTACTGTCGCTGCTCCTTTTAAAACCTCTCACTTCTCATCGACAAATAAATAATGTCCACCAAAGTGAGCTCTCTCCGCCTCTAGGCTCCCATTCGACGACACTCCAGGGCCAGGATACCCCCTGAAGCCGCCGCCGTGGTGGGCTTGAAAGGCGGATTGATCTCCGTGAGGCATCATCGTCGAGCTATAGTCATGCGTGTAAACCTTGTTTTCCTCTGCCTCCATGGGCGACTGGAAATCAGCGGGGCTGATTTGGTCAAATTCTTCAAAGTCTTGCTCGGCCCCCACGAGGTCTGGCTTTACGAGCGCGAGGTCTGCTCGCCGATATAGCGAGCGAGGGGCATTTGAGCGCCTTGGCACTGTTGGGCTGGCGGTTGAAGCCATTTCACGCTCTCCTCTCATCACCAGAGGGCCCATGTTCTGAATATGGACACTTGATTGCCGAGCATCTGTCTCCATGTGAGAATAGTACTCCATGGCATCGGACGAAGATCCTCCACCAATAGGGGTAGAGGGCTGGTGCTGGTGGTGATGGTTGCGTCGGGCATTAAGGCTTTGTCTTCTCGTGTGCAAAATCTCCTCAGGGTCACCAATATGACACTCTGGTAGGGCGAGCTCAGATTGCTCGCTTGTTAACGAGGACTTCAAATGCTTCTCCACGTCTGCCATGAATGACTTCAAAGTGTAAAGCATTCGCCGAGCCTGAACGTCTTCGACAGCGCAGTAGTCCATAATATTGATCGCGCTCCTCATATACTCGGCGTAATGCTCGTTCGGGTATAAACCAGCAAACTCATTACTCAAGATAATCAGGGCTGCCGCAAAAAGGAAATATCTGCCAATTTGATTATTATCAGATGCTCTTAGACAATTCCAACCATGCACTTACAAGATAAACGGGTTGCGTCGGGGCAAATACTTTGCTTCAAATGCCGCTTGAATGAGCGTCACTGAATGAGTCGACGCCGCCACGCAAGCTTGAGAAAACTTCTCCGATCTCGTAAAAGTTCGATGGAAAGGCTCCATATCATTAGAGGTCGCTGGCCGCGTCTTCACTAAAAGATCAATGAAAAATGGCCTGCTTAGGAGCAGGATGGAATGGTAATGAAGCAACTGGACATGTAAGATGGGGATCCCCATTTCCAACGGTACCTTGCCGTGAAGGAGATCGTGCGCTGCCAAGGACGGATGGCCATGAAAAGCCCACAGCTGGCAGTCATCGACAATCTCCTGAGCTAACTTGGTTGAAACCTTTCGTTCCGAATACACCTTCTTTAGCACTGTGCCGATTGACTTGGAGATTCGCACAGACGCGTCAAGGTTAACAGTCCTAATAACTTCTTCTTGCTGGGATGCATCAAGCGACAGATCTGCCGGCAAATCCAATGCATCACTCGAGCAGTCTTCTTCGCATATAGCAGCAGGACGCCCGAGAACCGTAGCAAGAAACCTGTCCAGAACAAACAGGCTTCTCCAGAGGTTCCGCCTTGCGGTTTCATTGTTAAACTCTATCATTGTGTCCTTGATGCGATGCAAACCCAGGGAATACGCAGAGCGAACGGCCATTCCTAAGATCCACGTTAGGGTAAACGGTAAAACGTGAGATTAAAGGAGGAATTTACTGACCGCAATATGCGTATGCCGCGTTGCGCTTCGATACAATCAACGTGTAAAAAGCCATCAACGTCCAGGCTTGAATCATCCATAAATCTGCATGTTCAGCCACGTTAAGAGGATCACTTAGACACTTGGCAGCCCGGAAAAGGGCTTCTGCTCGGTCTTCGGGCCTTTCTGGGAAACTCTTCATCATCAGCTCCTCAGGGCTGTTCGGGGCCGGCGTTGCAACAACAAAACCAATTGCCAAAGTCAAATAAACCAAACATAGTGTCGACGAATTAGCCTCTAACGAGGTCGAATAACATGCGTCTAAATATTGATAAAAAGTTGCTCGATCAAACAGTTCTATCAGAGCATTGGTCTGTATCCAGGTTAGCCATTGGTCGTAATATGATGGGGAGTAGGTCGGTTTGTCAGCACATACATTAACAAAATAAGACTCAGCCAAGAAATTCGATAAATCTCTGCTGGGCAGCATATAGGGATTCATGGGGCTCGAAGTTGATGTTGTTGCGGGCTCCAAGATGTGGTGTCGGTTGGGGTCGTCTGTAAACGCAGACGACCCAGTCGTGTTATAAACAATCATACGGATTAACTGGAGATACGAAAGGGTGGAAGAATCTCCGATATAAACTGTCATTGATCAAGACCGGTCAGCGTGTGAAAATCAACCAAGAAAAAAAAAAGTCTACTTACGGAGCCGTTTCATGGGGTCCTGCAGCATGCTAATTTGACCAATAAGTTCGGCCTCCTCGTCCGATTCCGACGCCGTGCTTTGGCGGACGCTTTCATCGCCCTCGCTAACGGAAGAAACCTCATAGACACTGCGAGAATATTTTTCCTTGCCCTGGCTTCTCCTTTTCGCATGCCGCACAGCTTTGGCTTGTTTGGACGCTCTCTTCGGGGACGTTTCGAGCGTGGCCTCGCGGACGGGAGTTGCGCCGACGGCATCAACAGAATCAGAGGCATGGCTTTGTCCTGTGGGAGACGTCGTATGGACAACCATGAGTCTGGCAGGGCCCCGACCGTCTGTGTAGTCGCATATCAAGTTCCTCTTGATACACGTGTTGCACGGGTGAAGGCCATTACACTTGGAAACAAAAAGTCAGCTCATGCAGCGTACATAACCGAGATGGTGAGAGTAGCATGCGAGACTCTTAGCGACGGCAATTTCCATGCAGCTTGCTTTTGTATTGATACGTCGCGGACGGCTTGGTTGTCCAAAGGGGCAATGCGTCCGCTTGCCAACACACTTATGCCGGTCAAGCCATGTTATAGCCGGGCGCTGGTTGAAATGTAGAAGATCTGTCACATTGCACAGACATATACGAAATGTACATCTGCTGTGCAATCAAAAAACCACGGCTCACTCGCATATGTGTCGCCTCGCTCGGAATAGTTCGCTGCAGCTGAAGTAAGAAAATACCACTTTTTTCCCGCACGAACTGCCCATATTCCGGACGCCGAACGCATGTTGGGGGTGACATGCATATCGCGACATTCGATAGTCAGAAATTGAGGTGCGGGAATGTGTAATAGCGCAAATAAAGCGGCGAAGTCAAGGCTCCTTTTCCTTGTTTTTTTTTTTGCTCCTTGTCTTCTGTCTTTTTGAGAGACGCGTGCGTGCGTGTGCGAGAATGCGTGTGCAAGAGAGAGAGAGAAAAAGTGTGTGTGCGTGTGTATGTGTGCTTTGTCTTGGAGTGTACACAAAGGAAAGTGACGAAGCCCAAACCGCCCAAGCCTCCTCCTAGGGCCAACTGAAGGAAATATGACTGATGACTCGTAGACTCACCTTCTGCTTCCGGCGCTTGCAAGAATCACAGGCACGCGCAGTCCTTTGGCGCTTGTCGTCTGGAACTCTGGGTCGGGTCATGAGGGGCGAGAGGTGTGCTGTGCATCCGACAGATACCTTTTTGCGAAACCGGGTATCGTTCTTTTCTTGTAATAGTTACCAAAGGCGGAGGCACCAGCTACCGTAGAGCAATTCGTCAAGCCTCCACGACAGCTTGTCTACCGTCATGGTGCACTTATAAGCTCTGATCTTGCTACCCCCGCGTCTCGTGAGCCCTCTGCAAAAGAGTCGGGGAGAAGTAAGAAGTGCCCACGTGGCAGTAAGGCACAAACTCTCCCCCAATGCTATGATGGGAGGTTATCGCCCCGTCACTGCCTGTACTCAAGGGTCTTCCCGGCGTTGGTGTTATCCCGCTAGTGAGGGCAATGGTCGTAAGATTGGATCGGGAGTATGCAGATGAAGGACAACTGAGCAGGAGGACAAGACAGTCCTTATTCATGGGTGAGGAAGTTAACACGACCCCCCCTTGATGCAGAGCCAGCCCGACGACACGGCTTCGATTGAGTGGGTAGCTGGATGTAATGTCAGACTGACAAGTGCCAAACCTTTTGGAAGAATGGTGACACTTGGGGAAATATCAACCTAGTAAAGGGAACCGGTGTGCGATTTGCTTGACGTGTGGGTGGGACAGGAGCAAATACACACCCCCGAGCTGCTCGGATTCAAGCATATGCCGTTTGGTGGTCTGTGGCAAGTCCTCATTGGGCTATTGAGGAGATTAATGACTCCGAGTGATTGGTAAAGATGTACTAGGGCCAAACACCCGCCTGATGGTTCCAACGCTGTTTGCCTGTCCCAAACGCCCTCTTGGCGTCGGGCTTTGAATTCATGCCTGCTGCCCATCGGTGACGTAGCGGAGATCTCACATCTTGGAGTCTGACGGCGCAGAGTATCCGGCACGAATGAGGGCTGATCAAGGGTTCAGCAAAAGACATGAACATGGAAATTGTGGCGTCAAGGATCGGTTCAGCTCTGTAGTCCCCGGCATTCTCTGTCCGAGCCTCATCGCAAATAGCACAGAGCAACACGGCCTCGCTGGGAAGGCAGCTACCATCTCCGTCCGCGTTAGGAGCTTGAGGCCCAGTTGGGCTTGCACCGATCGCGCTTGAGGTGGTGGAGCCTTGGCTCCTTCACCATCTCAGACCGCTCTGCAGCTGTATAGCATCAGTTCGATGTATCCCCATTCAGCATGGGCCTATGAAACAGTGCGACTCTAGTACCGCGCATGTCATTTAAGCATCCCGGCCAAAGCAGCCTTTCGGGGAAGCTTTATTGGCAGCTGAAACATCGAGGATGATAAGGAGATTTGAGCTGCCGTCGGGGTATATGTTAGTGTTGGTCATATTCCGTAATACATACATATAAATACACACCTGGGATTGGCCGTGTCTTCCGTCCAGCCAAGATTATGGAGAGAAATCATGCACAAAGCCCGCTTATCGAAGGGCGTCGAATGTATCCCTCATCGTTTAAGCAAGAGGTGAACTACTGCGTCGTTCTTTGTGTGCTGTAGCGTGAAATTTACATTCCCCCACAGGAAAGCGTCATCAAGGATGTCAAAAGAAGGAAAGGTAATGGTTTGGCACTAGCTGATGATCATCAAAAGCAGCAAAGCCAACGCGTTGATACATTCAACCTGGATGGGGGCCAATGATCACGAAATCCTGTACGCCCCCTAAGAAGATAGGGAGAGAAATAAAGAGAAAGAGAGAGCTGAGAGACATAGAAACACTGTCTCTCTTGTCATGACCGCGGGACGGCACAGGTAATCTCTATGCAATCCACTCTGAAAACAACATGACCATCACAGTATACATCCAGAAACAATACTGGGAGGCCTCGTTTAAGCGCAATTGTGGACGGGCCATCAAGAAGTGGAGCGCTTGCTGTCAGTCTAATGAGGCCAAACGATTAAATGTGCATAGTTGGGCATCGCAGCCTTGTGCAATTTTTTTTCCACCGCGGAAGTGCGTGTTGGAACTGACGTGTGCGGCCGTTGGTTCCAAAAAGTGAGGAGAAATGATCTTTTTTTTTTTTTGGTGGATGAGACTCAGGGTACACAGCATACCGTTCATCCTCTCATAATTGGTTTGCAGTCACAAGTGAAATTACCAGGATATTCAAGTAAGACAAGATCCGCCCACGATTCGGGACGTGCCAGAGCGTCAGAATGACGAAAAGAAGTCATGGTCGAGAGACGAGCACCAGGTAGGTACTGGTTACTGCTCTCGGTACTCGCCCCCAATTTCAAACTGGCGGTAATGGTGCCGATATTGCCAGCTTGGTGTCTGAAAATAGCGAAGCGGCTTATCCCGTTAGTCCATTCAACGACATCTGAGCCTTCGCGTACGGAGTACAGCCAGGTCGATACACCCGAGTGCCGGAGAAGGTTCGCGCCACTTGGCAAGCATAAAATGACAACAGCTCATGCTCCATTGCATTTGTCCACAGCGGTCTGGCTCTTAACGCCGCGTTGATTGCGTAGGGGCTTCTGTGAGATAGTCACATGCTTCTCGTTGAGCCTGCGTAGACACGTCTGAATGCAAATGGCGCCCCCTCGCATACGTTTAGATAGCAGTAGTTTGCAAATTGATGGTCACCAAGCTGTCGAGAGTCCAAGATCGATGTCCGCACAAGTCTAGACCGAAGACTAGCGGCTGCATAAACGTTGAGAGCCTGATGGCTGCGAGCATCCCTTGCGCCACGTACTTCGTACCTGATGCATATCATCCATGCTACATTCACCGAGAGTACCCCGCTGGCCTCAACATACCCAATTACGGAGCAGTAAGCTACAGCCGGTGTAGAATGCTCGGGGTCTGGCTGCCGCGCTATGGGACGATTGGAAATGGACAACCAGGACTTGACGCGTGCTATTCGACGTTTCCAAGATGCGGCATCGCCGCGAGTGTCCACGTGCCTGATCACCCTTGCATTCGGCCAAAGAGTGGTGTGGTAAAGCTTCGAAGGGGGAAGTCCAACGTCGAGGCTTGCCGTGCTGCAACCATTTCGTGGTTAGTAGTGAGGCGCTAGGCCATGAAGAGCAATCCTACCTACAGCTGGGTTAGAAACTTCGAAATATTTCGGGCTGAACATCACCAGTCATCACTCCGTTGTGAAACATTGTCTGGGATCATGGGGCAAGGCAGTTGTTCTCAACCGCACTTGGGATAACAAGGCGGGCACTGATGTCTCAGACACGGGGATATTGGCAGAAGAAGGGAGGGATTTGGGGGCAGAAAAGGGTTGATGCATGAGACAAGTCATCCCTGTTCTGCAATTCCTCTGGCGTGTGACTTTCACTCCCGAAACCGAGCCAGTCGGACAAACGCCGCTCACACGTAGCACGAAGTAGTAGGTAGCAGCGGCAGCAGCAACAACAACAACTGCAGCAATAGTAACAGTATCCCTGCTCACCGAACATTGGCGAATATCCCCAATTCATACCACTCAGTATTAGCTTTCGACGCCAAGACGCAGCCACCTTCTCTCTGATTACGCCCAGCGTACCGTGTCTCGACACTGACCTGTGTCCAAGTGTCAGATGAGTCGCCGACAATGATATGGTACTCTCCCTGCCGAACACTGACAGAAAATTACCTTGCTCTCTCCACCAAAGACAAAGACCAATCTGCGAATGGGTTAGAGCCCGCCCCCTAAAACCTCAGCCGCATTCTGTTCCTACCCTCCCTCAAGTCAATCCGATTTCATGAAACAAGTAGAACGTGACAATGAAGATGGTGTTTAAGTATAATTGAAAAGTCTAGTTTTGGGGGGCATGATTATAATTACAATTCAGCTGACAAGAAGGAGTTCAAATTCATATCAATGTCTCAGGTATTTCCTCCAGGGCGAGCTTGCATCGCTCTAAGAACAGCTCGGCCCTGGCCTTCTCTTCCTTGGGGACCAGTAGACTGAAGGTGTGAATTCCATCGGCAGCAAGTCTAGCATCGAGCCTGGGGGCAACCCTCTGGGCTGGCGAAGAGCTGGACTTTTTGGTAGGGCCGGCCAAGATGTCAATGATATCAGATTTGGTGGCAGAGGTTCGTCGAGAGGGAGTGAATGAGTAATCGGGTATGCTGGGAACATAGGCTCCCTGAGAGAATTTGGTCGCTTTGGCCTTGCCTAGACCAAGAAGCTCGTCGAACAACTCATTCGTAGTTGGCGCGTGGGGTACGGCAGGTAGGCGGCTGTTTGCAAATGCGGTAGCCTTGGAGATGAAGGTGGCTACTGAGACGGACACGTCGGCGGAATCCTGGAGCCGTCTTTGCAGCTGCACAACATTTTCCAATGAGATGGGGAGTTCGACGAGGACCTTTTCTGACTTGGGCGCGGCCTTCGGGGCTTTGGAGGCAGCCTCGGACGCCTTGGGAGCAGGAGCAGCCTTCTTCTCAGCGACCTTGATATTGCTCAAGTCCAGATGAGCCAGCTTGCTCAGTTGTGAAGACACCTTGGCGGGGCGATCGGCGTTGATAGCACCAATAAAGGCCAATACGTCGCCCTTTAGCAGTCGTCCGCTAGGTCCCGTTCCCTTGATCTTGCTCAGATCCTCTTTGCTGATGCCGTGCTCGTGTACAAGAAGACCGACTGAGGGAAGCAGAGGGTAGTTGTGCTCGTAGGTTCCGTTAGCAGCGGCTTCTGGTCTTGCGGAAGGCTTCGCAGCAGCCTTGGGCTCTTCTTGCGACACGGGAGCTGCGGGTTGTGAAGTGCTCTGAGCTGATTGCTGGGGCTGCTCATCCGCAGGCAGTTCAAGAGCACTGATATCATCTCCGGCATCGGCTAAGACGGCGATTCGCGTGCCCACCTGGACGCCCTTGCTGCCATCCTGGGAAACAATCTTCATCATGATACCGTCATCCTGGGCCTCGACGTCCATGGTGGCCTTGTCGGTTTCGATCTCGAGCAGGACGTCGCCGGCGCTGAAGGAATCGCCTTCTTTAACCTTCCAGCTGGCAATGTTTCCTTCCGTCATTGTGGGGGAGAGGGCCGGCATGATGAAGTTCTGGGCTGCGAGGCATCGCGACGAGGTAGTGAAGCCTGTAGAAACGGCCATGCCATGTCAGCTGCGTGCTCTTGTCTGCATCTCTCCGTCCATCCCATCTCTGCATTTTATACTTTGGTGTGAGGGTTTGCGCGCAGCAGCACACGGGACACATACCGCGAGCAGCCCGGCCGCTTGCAAGGCGGGATGAAATGCGACACGCCGCCGCAAGTGAAGCCATTGGAGCCCAATTGACAAGAGGCAAAGGCGGGTTTTGGTGGTGATGCTCGAGCGAAGAGGCTCAAATGCTCGCAGATGAGAGCTTTCTTTGCTGTTGGGAATCGGCCCTGTTGAAAGGCGCGCACAGACCACGGGCCTTTTTTTGGTGGGGTGCAATATCTGTTGATCTGGTTAGTACTTGTGCAAGTACTGCCGGACCCGGAAGAATTCAAGCTTTACAGGGCAAAATTCAAGAGCTTCACAGTTCAAACAAACCATGAGGCGGCAATCAGATTGCTTTACGATAATAATAATAAAAACTTCAGTCTTCATGATGCAGCTGACATCATTCATGCCTCATTTAATGCTCTGCGTCAAAGCCTAAAAGACCAATTCATCAGGTACGAAGTACTGCAGCAGCTTTCCTGTCGAGCAAGTGGAGAATGCGCTGTTTTCTAGGGACATCCACGCTCGCACTAAACTTGCCCTTAAGCTAGGTACAGGTCTAACTTCTTATCTTAGCGCATCACCATAGATACGGCAGTTATTAGATCGGCTGATTATAAACATTTTCTACATGTAAGTGCCCGCGATAGCTTCACCACATCGGCCACTGCAAGTGATGGCACCCGTTTTATGACGCAAGAAGCCAATTGAGCCACCGAGAGCCATTTCTAGCCCGATTCGTCCATCAACTGATCTCAACTCATTGCCGTCGCTCGACCATGGCAAGCTTCGCGAGAGGCTTTCGCCTCTTGTCATGCCCTCGGGCGCCCTTGACCCCGCGAACTATTCTCCCAAATCTCTCCTCTGCCCAATCGCGATTCTTTACAGCGTCAATGCGGTTGCGCGCCTCTGCGACACCGAAGCCACAGCCTAAACTCCCTAAAGACATCAAGTCGAAATCACCGACAAGCCAAACGAATGCTCCCCCCGCGCCGCCGTCGGCTTCAGTAGCACCCAGCCGATATGCCTTTGTGAAGAGCTTGGCCTCTAAGCAGACACCAACCCTTCTGTACGAGGCACCTTCGCATTTCTGGTTTTATTTCGGATGCTGGTCAAGCGGTATATCTATAATAGCTTGGACGGTGTTGACAGGCCCAACGGCCATCCAACAGCCAGAAGGCATACCGCAGTGGGTTGGCTTCACCTTTGGAGCGTCTTATGCCCTACTCGGAGCCATGGGCTTTTATCTCATCTCAAAGACCCCCAATATCGTCAGCAGCATCCGAGTGCTGCCCCCTCTTCAAGCAGCCGGCCAAGCGGCCACCCGACCAGGAATCGCTGCCGGCGTGCCCCAACTCGAAGTGACAGTCAAGAGAATGGTCCCTTTGCTTCAGCCAAAGGTTATCAGGACGGATCTCGACAAAGTTGCACTCAAGACCCGCTTCTCGCTTCCGAGCGAATACGTGCCAGAGCTGAGACGCCTCGAGCTGCAGCTCGAAGAAGAGGCGCGGAAGAAGTCCTTGTGGAAATTCGACATGGAACATCTCTTCACGATGCCTTTTCGGAGGATTGGCCGTGCGTTTGTGAACATGTTTAAGGGCGTAAGAGCGGCATGGACAGATGTGGGGTATGGCATTATCAAAGTGGACGGAAAGCAGTACAAAGTAGACGTTACGAAAGGGTACGCTCACGACGGATTCCGAACGCTGGAGCGGGTTGTAACTGTAGGCTGGAAATAATCAGGGCTGAGAATACCTCGGCACTGAAATGTACATTATTAAAAGGCATAATCTAGACGAACTAATGTCTTCTTGGAACAAACAAGTCAACCAGTTTAGATTCCGAGCTCTTGCAGTACATCCTCCGAATTAAGGAAAGCACATCGCTCTCTGATCCGCTGCGAGGCCAAACCCCGATTAGCTTGTGGCCCCTCAATACTAGAAATACCTTCATCGGCCCCCCCAACAACAAAGACTTGGGTCTGCCCTGGCCTTTCAAAGGCTGGATTGAACCCCTGGAACGTATCACGGTTTGGTAGCCCCGGCTTACCAACACTAGTAAAAGTCGCAAAGGATCTTGAAGCCCTCGCCATGAGCTCAATATCAGAAGACGAAGGGTTGAGTGTAAAGCCGTCTGTATTGTAGTGTGAGAGATTTCCGAAGACGTATGCGAATTCGGCGGTGTGAATAGGGCCCATTCCAGCGGGATGACCAAGATGTTCCAAAATGGGGTCCAAAATGGTCTGATTCCAGTGATATAGATAAACTTTATTCATGTTCTGCTTGGAAACACCATCGCCAAGGTAAATAGCTGGGCATATCATGCAAATGTCTCGAAATATCCTAGCAGTACGATAGAACTCGCTCGACAGCTCCCCGTTCGCGGTGAATTCAGCCACGGGGTAGAGCGAGAGGAGCTCATCGACATTTCCACTTGACAGATTCGGCACATAATTGGTGATGAAATTTCGAGTATCATCGGCAGTCGAGATGCTCTCGTCAGTAAAGAGCGTGACATCGTCCTCAACCCAGCCCAACATCACATTGAGATTCTTGGCAAATTTCCCCTGTTGAATAAGAGCGGCGGGACACTCCGGGAGGAAATCATCGTCGACAGAAGGAAGCCAGATATCGCCAACATTGATATCGGTTCGATAAGTCTTCAGAGAGGCTTGGAGCAGAGAGTCCATACTCTGGTTGCGAAGACAAAGCAGGGTTTCGGTAGAATGAAAGTCGGTCTCGTTGCATCCGACATAGTCCACGACGGCTCTCATAGCATCTTCCGTTATACTTGAAACAACGCCAGGCTCCAATGAACCGCTCGAGGCGATTGCATTGTGGAAGGGAACAGGCTGTTTGCCACCAAATGATAGGATATGCATACCCACGGCCAGACCTATAACATCGTACATATACTCAGCAACGATGATACTTGTACATTCATAGCAGCGAATCACATACCTCCAGAGGATTGGCCAAAGATTGTTATTTTCGAGGGATCGCCGCCAAAATGCACGATGTTGTCTCGAACCCATGCCATGGCGAGTCGTTGATCCCTCAAGCCAGCATTATTAGACCGCTCTGCTTTCAGGGCATCGGACTGGGCGAACCCAAAGACTATCTCCCGTGTAAGCCATTACACCGTTAGCCCTAACTGTCTGTTGACATTTAAGTCAGCAAAACTTACACCCAAGACGATAGTTCATGCCAACATGTATGATTGGGAGCCCATTCTTGACAGATTCAAGAATTAAACCATCAGGAGTGGTGGTAATCTCGCTGTTCTGACCAGCCCAGAAGCTACCACCGTGGATGTATATCATGACAGGGAGCAAGTCATTTGGCTTCGTCCCTTTGGGTCTCACGATATTAAGATTTAAGCAGTCTTCCGAAATCTGAGTGACATTCGTCAAAGACAGGGGAGCTATCCAGCCTCCCAAGGCCTGGGGACAGGCTGGCCCATGCGAGTTCGCATAGACAGTACTTCCGGGGACTGGGACATGAAGTCGAGGCGGTTTGAAACGATGAATCCCGCCAGTGGACATACCATATGGTACATTCAAGAACGCTTCTATCCCATTGCGATGAATACCTTGGTAGGTTACATCAACCTCAGGAATAGTCGCGGATGGAGTCAAAGCGACAAGGCCGGTAGAGGCCAGTAGACCCCGGATAGCGTGCGCGTAAGCAGACCACATTGTGTGGCTGTCAAGGCGGATAATGCGATTCGTGGGCTTTTAGCTGACTGCCGAAATACTAATAAAAATAAAGTAAGGTTCTTACGAGGCGGTGGGAACCTATATAAGCAATTACTACATGTATGGACGAAGCGACGATAACATCCATAGGTTTTTCCTACATCAGTATATTCGTAGAAAGCTCAATATTGTCTGTGCTCGGACCATTGATCCCGAAGGAGTACAAATTTGAATCAGGGCGGCAAGGATCAACAAGGTAATAAAACACGGTTTCACAGCAATTACAGCTAGTAGTTGGGATTACATTTGCACGAGTACACATGGCTAGGAAGTCTTCCGGGAGTGTACTTCGTAATACGCTGTGAATGCGCGTAAGACTGTACTAATCTGAGACAGCCTCTGGAGTAGCATCATGTAATGCCTCTCTGGTTGTATGACAGCATCTACTAGCAAATCCTGGTGCAACCTGGCGCGGCCCACGCATAAAATACGAGCGACCAGGCACTCTCCGCATCTATACCATTTACGAGGATGATATAGAGACCAACACCATAAGTTTATATGTGTATGTTCATCGATGACATGCGCGTGGAGTCTCCCCGCTTGCACGTAGTATTCGCCAAGTATTACCAATTGAAGAGCAATAAAAGCCCTAAATCAGTGTAGAGCAGTTTAAGACGGTTGATTTCTTTGCAGAGTGGCTTCACCTGAAATCCGCTTTCTACTTCTTTCTCCTCTAGTTAATATACACATATATATAACAAGCCTCAACCTGACACCCAGCTCTTTTGACGATTGAAAATTTTCACACTCGGTGAGATTCCTCTCTAAGGCGGAGCACCAGGGATTATCTGGTAGGGCTGCTATCAGATCCGCCCCCTCCCCGACTTTGCAGCATTAATGCCAGTAGCAGATGACCGGATCGCCTCAGCCCCCCGCTCGCACCTGTTATCTTTGAGCCCCCCTGGTATAAGCCTTACTACATACATTTTAAGGATGGGTCTGTGATCTTGGCAGAAATCGTCTGATGTACGGTCTCTGCTGAAGCTAAGCTGGGTATTGACCAGACCAGTTGGGATTCCCTGGACCTGTTACCGCGGAAGTTGTCCTTGTTCCGAGGGATGACACCTATAGCACTGATAGATGCAAACCGGCGTAGTCTTGAGCTCTGGATAGTCTTACTAGCACTATAATTTGTGATGAGGTTTTAGTTTTAAATCCACAGGGCCTGAAGTCATACGCCGAAGAGTACTGGGGGTCTGGCATGCCCACATCCCGCGGGTTGAGGGGATATCCCTAGGTTTTTAAGTCTGTGTAGTTGACACCGAGAGTGAATAATCGGTGTCTCAAGTCCATAGGAAGCTAGGCATATGAATTCAAAGATATATATTCGCTCAAGTCCTAGTACTGGGTAGGGCTGTATATATATGAATATCTCTGTTAATGGATGCGAGAACTTAAAATAACTCGTACGAAAATTGACTCTGGGTATTCAGGGCTCATACCAGCAAAGGTTATCTTACAGACACAGGATCCTTTATTCGGCGAGAATTAAGGAAAAAAAACCTCTGCGAGTCTCGTGCTATTCGATAATACCATCTACCCTGGTCATCTTGTCGGCCAAGCTAGCAAAATCACAACCGCCAAGTGAAACACGCCATAGTAAAATGCTACCGAGGAGGGAGAGCTCAAAAGAAGGTCAGATTATAGAGCCAGAAAAATCAAATAGATCGCCCTTGCTCCTCCCTAACCCTCCAACGTCTGCTCCGTAAATGTGTGTGCCCTGTATTGGTGGAGATGGTACTAGGGGCTGATGCTATGTGAACAACTGCCGGACTCGGCTCTTCGCTGACACTTGACAAGGATTTGGCTTCCTTTCGTCTTAGTATAACTCATGCAAGGGACATTTGCTCATGTTCAAATGATGGACTCGCTGAGATGCTCATCACCAATGCTCGTCTCTTTTGTCAACCGCAGGGTGAATCCTCTGGTGACGTGGCTGAGCGTAGGATCCGACATTGAGATTGACGCAGTGCGTCACTAGAGTTGCAGTCGCTTATTGTGTCCAGGCTGTTCATACATGGCGGCATGCACTTTTGCGGCCCCCAAGACCAGGCCTCTTTGCTTCGTACATGTGCATATGTAGGTGTATGCACATGCATTGATACGTGGATGTGAGCCTGTGCCTTTCTGAGTGCATGTATGTAATGTATATGTATGTAGGTGGGATGTAGAGCAGCCCAACTGATCTGCACAGCATCGTAACAGCTTTGTTGAGTCCGTCCAATCTTTCGTCGAGCTTTGCTTAAGCCGATTCCCGACTCGACTTGCTTCGATTTGCTTCGATCTGCGGCCTCCCTCCAGACGGTTTCCTCCAGTGAGGCGAATACACGCACACAGTGCAGCGCAAACAATTAACATTCTGCTAGCCCATATCCGGAGCTTTCGATTCCCAGCTGAACAAACGCCATCAAGCCTCCAGCGAGTTTTATCTTTTTTTTTTCTGTCAATTTTATCCTCTTTCTCTCTCTCTCTCTCTCTCTCTCTCTCTCTCTCATTGTCAATCTCCGCCATATTGCCATCTTGTCATCTTGTCTTGATCAGAGATTCGCGATGCCGACAACGCTGGAATGGCTCAAATTACACATCACCCAAATACGACAGCTACAACAAAGCGACGGCTACCATGAAGATGAAGACACTTTTATGTACCTAGGCGACTATTTCGATGGGAATTTGACTACCAATGAGACGGCGATCTTAATAGCTGCACCAGTGCTAGACGATCCCAGCCCTCCCACCAAACTGTACCGCCTCATGGGATTACTATGCGAAGCCCTGGTAGAGTTAAGCGATGAGCGCGAGAAGCTGCTAAGTCTCCTCGAATCCATCCAGGAGCTCCCTCCAGCCGCAATTAACTGGGCAGTTCTCCCAGGGCTTCGCAATATGTGGAGTGATTTGTATCGGCCTCATATGCGCGGATTGAATGGCTGGGAGATAGTAGGAGAGCCAATACCCGAGAACAGACAAACTAAAATGCGTCAACATTATACCGCAATTGGCACAGTTGAAGCCGAGCTATATGATCGAGGCCTCGGCGGTGTAACAGAAAATTGGGGATATGAGCTATTGAACCTAGCCTGCTTGAGGCGTCCTGGGCTAGAAGTTATCATGGGCGAGATACATGCTTGGCTTACCGTAGCTGGGACAAAACTACTTAAGGATCTGAACCCAGATGAGGTGAGGAATTGGTCAAGGCCGGTGCTCGGCGGGCAACCTGGACAGCAGCATGCTGTTCAAGGCACGATGGCACAGCATTGGGAAACTTGGCGACGCACGTTGTTGCAGTTGAGTGAGGAGAAGGATTTTTTATCTGCAGAGGCGAGGAGGCTTGCAAGAGAGTGCCATTTGATGATGCAGGGACATATATAGATAGACTATGAGCAATCAGTACCATGTATTAGGACTCGGAAGAATTAATTCACATTTATCAACGATAACGTTGCCTAAGGAGAGAAGATCAATGTTGTCGCCAGCTATAACTATATCTACTAAAAATTGCATCTACCGTGACTTGGTATTCGTGGCATAAACCACCGTCGCATGGCCCAGGGCTAGTCGATTACCCTCAATGTACTTTGGGGTTTCTTAGCATTCCCGTGAGCCGTCCCACCAGTACTCGGAGGCTCTTTCGAATGACACCAGTTTCTTGGTCCCTCTGTTGAACCAGGAGAAAGCTCGCAGTAGTATTGGCGGGAAGCGTGTTGTATGGACATTCACGCACAGAGTTATGTATATTACTCCGTTTCTCCAGTAGAGTCCGCTCAATTATTTTACACAATGGAGAGCGCGACGTTACCGTGACTTGATCATGAACAGTCATCAGTACAGGTGTTTCTCGATCACGGCTCTAGGTATACGCTACAAGTAAAAGAATCGTACAGCTTCATAGATGTGAGCCATCTGCTGAATCGACCATCAGCATTCGATTGTGCATGTTTACTTGCCAAAAGAGGAAATATGCGCCCAGAACACATGTATCACGCGAGCTATTACTCTTTCCTCTCACTCTCCACAAGGGAAGGCGTATCTATATCCAAGGATAGCACAGTTTGTGGATCTTACCAAACGCGGTCTATACAATCCAATATAGTCCACGCTACGGAGTACATCAAGCAGGGCTATGTGCCTACCAGGTAGTGCATTAAGGGAAAAATTCTATCAGGTACTAATGGACTGCGGGTACGGAGTAAACTAGGTTCATACATAAGTACCTACCTATCCATATTCGGATAGACGAGGCCATATGTTACAACGCCAACTTCCGATTATATGTAACATGGCAGCGTATTGATTGCCAGCACGTTACATCAGTCGGAATATTTCTTTGAGATCGACTTTCATGTGCATTCGCCAGTCGGAGCGGTAAGAAAACGAGAGGACATGAGTGGCAAAAGCACAAAGCACACATGCGTACAGGCTATAGTTGTATGTCAACATCATCGTATCTTTCGTATTAAAATACACGCTCATATCACGCAGAGATGCCAATTGCCTTGGATTTCATCTTCCACACGCTTTTAATTCATCGTATTCATTCGCCAATCACCATATAGCCGGGACCATGTCTGTGGAGTGGATGCTAGTGCCTGGATGCCATCTCAGGGTCCACCATCTCCAACTCCCCACGTTAGCTGCAAAATCATTAATCATTATATCCAAAACTTGGTAAGACGACTTATATCCGTCATCCCCAAACCCTTTTCATCCTAGCAAGAATAGCTATGGCAGATCAGGTACCGAAAGCAAACCCTCACGCCACTTTAAACCCCGAGCTAACTGTCCGTGCCTGGAACGTTGCTGACATCTCCTATCTCATTGGACCTACACCTTAGGCAGAACAATGCTCCGTATTTGGACGTATTTGAACCTGTCAAACTACCCCATTCATGTTGAGATTGGCTATTCTGAATGTTGATAAGATGGTCATTCTTGTACAAAAGTGCCGGTGTCGGTGGATTTGTCTCGGTCCCTGGGCGCCGAAACAGCGAGATACGAGCATGTAAGCATCAGTCGCTGTCAAGCATCAAAGTCATCCCTCAGCTTTATCTCGTTGAATTAAGCTCTGGTATGAGATCGATCGAGGCGCCAAACTTTTTCTTTCTTTTCCTTTTTTGAATTCTCCTTTAAGCTCTCGTGTCACCGACAATCAATACTGACAAGCTCCGAACCCACGGTCAAATGCCGGACTGTCTCCCCAGCAACCCTTGCCGGCTTTCCTCAACCCTTGTCTAGTTGAGAACTTCACGATCCCACGTGGTTGTCACTTCAACGCCCCAATCTTAGAAAATGCCACAACCCCCACACGCAAGCTAGCTTCATACGGCGATGACATCCATGTTCGCGCGAGATTCTTATAAGAGCTCGGTCCCTAAAGCGTCCAGAATATGTCTTGAACTTTCCTCTCCAGGAGAGCATATCGACTCCGTTGCATCACCAGCAACTCGCTCGCCCCCAATGCGCGCCTTCAAGTCCTGCGTCTGGCTGCTCTCAGCCATTGGCGCTGCTGCGTCCAGCAGCTGTAACCCAACTGCCGGCGTTGAGTCTCTTGTCAAGCGCCGTCTCCCACAACATGTAAACTCGTTTGAGTTTGTCTTGGAGCCTACACAAGGCTCTGGCCTTACCAATGATAGCTATACCGTCTCCTCGACAAAAGATGGAAAGGTTCGAATTGAGGGTACAACGACCAGTGCTCTGATCTCTGGGTGAGTTTCTTTGTAGATATCCCCATTTGCGCCGGCGCTGATGAGTTATTCTAATGTGATATTGCAGCCTTCACAAATATCTGTCGAGCGAGGCTAATGTTGACATCTGGTGGTACTTGGGGAGCCAGTTGGATCAAGCTCCGAAAAATCTTCCCAAGCTCAAATCTCCCTTGAAGGGTTCTAGTGTCGTTCCTTACCGCTACCACTGGAACACTGGTAGGCCCAATTCCCCGTGAAATGAATACTCGGTTGCATTGGAGACTGACAGCATCTGGCAGTCACAACCTCTTATACCAGCGCCTTCTGGTCATGGGAGGACTGGGAGACGCAGCTGGACTGGATGGCCCTTCGTGGTGTCAATTTGGCCCTTGCTTGGATCGGTGTTGAGAAAATCTTCATCGATGTCTTTACTGAAATTGGCTTGAATGATGCGGAAATCGACTCTTTCATCAGTGGACCTGCTTTCCTGGCATGGAATCACTTTGGCAATATTCAAGGTTCGTGGGGCGGATCTATGCCTCGATCTTGGGTCGACAGCCAGTTCGATCTCCAGCTCAAGATCTTGGATCGTATGGAGGAGCTCGGCATCACCCCCATCCTGCCAGCCTTCCCAGGATTCGTCCCCCGCAACATCTCTCGCGTGTTCCCGGACATTTCTTTGTCAACGAGCCCTATCTGGTCAAACTTTGGTACGGAATTGAGCGCCGACATCTACATCAACCCATTTGACCCGCGCTTTGCTCAGTTGCAAAAGCTCTTCATCAGCAAGCAGCAAGAGCTATATGGAAATGTCACAAATTTCTGGACTCTAGATCAGTTCAATGAAAACCAGCCGCTGTCTGGTGATCTAGGATACCTTCAAAACGTCAGCCACAACACCTGGAGTGCCCTCAAGGCTGCCGACCCCGAGGCCGTCTGGGTTATGCAAGCCTGGCTGTTCTCGAGCGACAGCGCCTTCTGGACAAACGACCGTATTGAGTCTTTCTTGGGTGGTATTCCTGTAAACTCAGATATGTTGCTCCTCGATCTGTTTGCCGAATCCGCTCCTCAGTGGCTCCGGACCAACTCTTTCTATGGCAAGCCTTGGATCTGGTGCGAGCTTCACGATTATGGTGGCAACATGGGCTTGTATGGCCAGATCGAGAATGTCACCATCAACTCAATGGATGCGGTGCGCAACTCGGGTTCCCTCGTTGGGTTCGGTTTGACAATGGAAGGCCAAGAAGGCAACGAAATCATGTATGACCTGTTGTTGGACCAGGCTTGGAGTCCTAAGCCTATCGACACCGAGACGTATTTCCATGACTGGGTGTCGACCAGATACGGCACCAAGAATGTGAAGAGCCTGTACACTGGATGGGAGCTTCTGAGGCCCACCGTGTTCAATAACACCAATTTGACGATGAATGCCGTGCAAAAGTCGATTTTGGAGCTGGTTCCCAGCACCACCGGTCTCTTGGGTCGTGTCGGCCACCATGGAACCACCATCACCTACAACCCAGCGGTCATGGTTGAGGCTTGGACCGAGCTCTTCAAAGCCGGGCTGCAGGATATCAAACTATTTACCAACCCGGCGTACCAGTACGATCTTGTTGACTGGACTCGCCAGGTTCTCGTCAATAGCTTTGAAGGCCTCTATAAGGATCTCGTCGCGGCATACAACAGCGCCGCAAGCTCCAGCGTTATCAAGTCTCGGGGTGCCAAGCTCATTGCTCTTTTGAGGACTCTCGATGCTGTGCTCGCTACCAACGAGCACTTCCAACTCACCCCCTGGATCAACGAGGCTCGTGCAAGTAGCCCATCGACAGCCGACTTCCTTGAGTACAACGCCCGCAATCAAATCACTTTGTGGGGTCCTCAAGGCAATATCGAAGACTACGCCTCGAAGCAGTGGGCTGGGTTGGTTGGCACTTACTACGTCGAAAGATGGCAGCAGTTTATCGACTACCTTGCAACTACCAAGCCCTCAAACTACAACCAGACCGCCTTTCACCAGAAGCTGCTGGCATGGGAGACGCAATGGGGACAGCAGAAATCTACCAAAAAGACTGCAAGCACGGGATCTACCGATATTCGGTCCGTTCTGGACACAACCATCAAGACGTGGGGCAGCCTTTTCAAGCTTTAGAAGCTCCATAACCTTAGAGTAAGATAATCTGAGTTGTTTCTGAAGCCATTCATCTATTGTTAGTAGCCCTTGGCATGCGTCAGCTTGTAAACTTCACTATAGGCCCAGCGTGACGTTTACCCCTTCTCGGTTTTCGCGGGACTTGGTTTCGGCAACTACTTCATTTGGCATTGCATGCTTAGAACGTAGTGCTTACTAGTACTGGCAAACTCCCCTCTCTTGTTGCAGCATCTTACAACAAGTAACGTAACTGCATAGGATATAGTACAGTCCTTTGAGTCTATGCCGCAATAAGTTGACTAGAGCAATCGTGGCTCGCAAAATAATTCTATATTTAATCAGCATATCCTTTGGAGCAGCGGACGTCTTCATTATTTTTGATATATCCACGATTGCATGGGCCACATGTATCGTGGCAGAGGTGGTAACTGACCTGCCCCATGGTCTCAAAGTCGTTTGCGCGTATTTTTACGGCATTTAGTCTCACTAGCCCTACTTTCTTATTCTAAACCCGGCAATACTAGTTGATATTTTAGCAGTCCTAGCTGCTGTACGAAGTTTTCCGTATTGAATCAATAGATATCCGTTACTTAGGTTGAAATACCCACTATAGGGCAGAGAGTGTTTTCTCGTCTTTGAGGAGTTGGCCGAGTTGCAATTTATATGTGATCAGACTGCCTATGTATATTTTGTGACAAATTATGGGTATGAACTGAAAAATGCAATGGAAAGGAATGTAGACTATATCCGGGTCAGTTATGGCAACACCCAAGGCCGCTACGGAAAAAGAGCTCTCTGACAGACAACTCACAACTGTCAGCAAGGATTACTACATGAGATCTTTACCCATTGTATGATGACGTCTCCGAGAAAACACCGCAGTTAATAGTTGGCCGACTTGCACAACAAGTTGCCGTGCATTGACAAGAGGCTTGATGCTGTCAGAACTAGGCGGATGAAGCGGATATCCTAGGATTGTTACAACCAGCAACGCGAATCCTTGACTAGGTTCTTGCCTATTCGCCTATCCGCCTATCGCTTTTGAGGAGCCCCTCATAACCGTATAGATGCTACTCTGCAAAAAAAAAAAAAAAGAAAAAAGAGTCACCAGACACTCTACGTGATGCAAAAGCTCCCCTGTCCCAGCAAACTACTAGCTCCATGCAGCTATGCGCGCAAAACTTGATCACGCCAGTTTAGGCAACCTCTTGGGCCCCCAAACTCACAGACACCGAAGATGAAACCTATTTTTGCTTCCCATGAGCTTTAGTCTGATCCTTGTGGAACCCGTCAAGCAGTCGTACGCCTTACTTACACGTACATATCCGTACATACAGGTACAATCAATCCATCAACCCAACTCTGACACAGCCACACTCACTCACACTCACACTCACACTCACACTCACACTCACACTCACACTCACACAAACATGCTACCAACATCATATCCGTGAGGCCGGGTCAATTGACCTCGATCCTCTTTGCGACGGCGCGTCTAGTTCCTCCGCGGCATCTCCGCCGATGCAATTGACTGTAAGCCCGTAAATGCAGGCGGCCGGCGGCTGGTCGCAGCAACAATGAGCCCATTGTGCTGAAACCGCGGAATGCAGCTTTCATCTCCTGCGTCTCCGCACCTGAGGATTTAAGCATGGGTGAAACAAGGGTCTGGGGTGTTCTGAGCTCACCCAACGGCACGGAAACCCTTGCGCCCTCTCCACAGAGCTGTAACAACGTGTTGGTTCCGCTGTGCTTTTCCGCTATCGTTCTATATTTGCAACCCTCCAAATGCAGTCCTAGTCTGGAACAAGAACAACGCACAGATTTCTCTAACCGAGGCCGGGCTGACCTGCACAAGAGCCGCATTTGCGGTCGCAGCCTTGTCTCGCGCAATTGCGAAGCGCTCTTGGCGCGAGGAGACGGGGCATTGAGTTGTTTCGGGCGTGGTAATGGCTGGTTTCCTTAAGAATCGGGATGGCGCCGCGTATGTTAGTGCCGGCTCGACACGTTTTCTAGATGAGATGTAATAGATTGCCTTCCGAATAAGCGCCGTCATCACATTTAATCCACAATGGCATGGAAATCGCTTCTTTTGCTCAGCTGGCTGTGCGTATTGCTGCCTTGTGTCGCAGCTTCGGATCTCGTTGTGAGAAACCTGCCTGGGAAGACGTCTGATGAGACCGTCTATGAGGTCCGACGGCGGCTTGCCCACAGGGTGAAGAGAGCCGGCACAAATGTCTTGTTTGATAACTCGACTTCTTTTTCCCTAGGCCTCGACGGCGTAACGATCTTCAAGTAGTAAGTGTTGCTGGCTACTCAATTCTGCGCTAGAATCGCCGTTTTAACAATACAACTTGGTAGCCCATTTCTCAGTGACGGCCCAGCAAGCATCACCATCGTATGCACAAAATGCTATGTCAAAGGCCAAGCCAGCGCAAAGCTCACTGCGGACGGCTCGTTCAATATCAGCAAGGCCATTGATCAAGCTGAAACCAGCTTTGAGAACACGTTTCACAACCTCACAGACTACGCCGATGACCTCGTAAAGGGATGGATACATAATTTCTCAATCACAGATATCGAGGGGACACTTGATAAGGTCAAGGATGTCAAGCCTCCGACTATCGACCTGGACCTTGACATCAAGCTTCCAGAGTACAACGTGGCTGTGAACTTGACAGACGTGGAGATATACATGGAGATTGACACCATTCTCTCAGCCGGCATCACGTACACATTCAACATCTATCAATCCGAAACGATTGTAGGTGTAGCTCTTGGGGACGACTTGCTCCTAGGCGCCGTCTTCTCAATTGATCTTATTTTCAGCGTGGACAGCCAGATTGATATCCGCAGCGGGTTTCACGTCCGCTTCGACAACATAATAACACAGATTGTCCTCTTTGGCAAAGAAGCCTCAAAACTAGACTTGTAAGTCCATGGTTGATTCCCCCTTCCACCTCATGGTAGACACATTATCAAGTAAGCATGTGTTAACAAAAGGCGGTGCAGTGACGGCGGCAAGATTGCATTCCTCCCCGTAACAATCCAATACGGCCAAGTCATACTCAAGGCAATCCTTCGTGTCGAAGCCCGCATCGGCATCGCCTTCGAAACCTTCGTAGGCCCCCTTGACATCCCGTCAAACTTTCTCGGGCCCCTCAAGATCGGCGCCGGAGTGGAAGCTCGCATCTACGCCAATGTTGCCGAGTTCATCACAAACATCACTCTCAACGAAGTCGACTCTCTTGTCAAGAGAGATGATGACAACGACGATGACAACTGTCAGTTAACCATTGCTCAGGGCTTCACCTTTGGCATCGGTGCCGCAGCTGGTGCCTCTGTCGAAATCCTTGGCAACACCTGGGGCCCTTCGCCAGAGACTGAGATTCCCATCTTCTACACCACATTGGCGTCGGCTTGTATAACTAGCAAGTCCTCGCCACCAGCAACTACAGCCACAACCACAGCCAAAACAGCTTCTTCATCTTCATCAGCTCCCGGGAAGCGTGCCGAGAGCCAGTCAGTGACAAGCACAGTCACCACCACGACCCAAGTCGCTACCGTCTGCCTCTCATCCGGTCTGGTCAACTGCCCTGCCTCCCTGCAAAGCGTGACAAGAAGCGTCGTCACACAGACGCTCACGTCCACCATCATGCCCGGTGTGTCTGTTGTGTGGTCCACAGGCCCCGTGTCTACCTTCCAGACCGTCGACTTTCAGGACGACGCCGTGACCATGACGAGCTCATCCGGAAAGCCAAAGTCCTACACGCCACCTCCCCCTCCCCCTCCGCCAACAAGCACATCATCATCCACATCGTCAGCCACAGACGATCCATCATCTCAAGAAAAGTCCGGAAAGCACCGCGTGAGCAACGCCGTCATCATCGGCGTCAGCGTTGGCCTCGGCGTTCCTGTCCTCCTCGCCGCCATTGGAGCATTCATGTAAGTCATTTTTTCCCCTTGGGCTTTTCGTCCATCATTCCCTACTTTCGTCTCGGTACTAACAGAGAATACGTCTAGTTATTTCTTCCGGCGACACCGCAAAGCGTCCATGTTGGTGCCAGCATCGGCTACTACTTCTGTGGGCAAGGCTCAACCAGTCGTGGCTACTTATGCCCCAGTCCGCCCAGAAGACGATTGATTATCTTTGTTATATACCCCTGTTTCTGTCTTTCAATCATGTTCTAGTGGTTTCTTTATCTGATATCATGTGATGGCGGTGCTATCCCCATCACCGTTGCCACGGTGGGTCTCAAAGCTTGGAGCTTGTCTTGCATCCCACAAGTGGGCTCCAGCTCGGCAGAGGCCGAAAAGATCGGCAGAGATCAACCTTGTACGATAGTGGATTAGTCCTGACATCAAGTTACACGTATACGAGTGGAACTACAGGAATATTTCCTGGCTACTACTAGGTAGTTGAGCACTATTAGTTGGTAGTTAAATCACCATCTCAGAGCAAAAGAAAAGCTGAAGAAAAAGTCTATCATTAAGGTATTATGTGTAATATGCTGTCTATACCCCATACCATCTCCCATATATGCAGATCATCCAGGTATATATCCATTCAATTTTCAAACGCCGCCCAAATGCTAAATCAATATATCTATCGTAGTGGATATCATTCTAAAAAAAAAATCGTTTCTATCATGTTGTATGATTGCATGATTGGTTTAGGCTGGTTTCGGTTGGTTTGTTCGTGCAGTCTGTGTGTTTGGGTGTTTGAGTGCTTGTATTGTTGTTTGCTTATGGGTTGCTGACGTAGCTTCTCGCCCTCCTCAGGTCAAGATCAGTGTCTGAATTGTCTCGAACAGCGGTACCATTGGTGGGAACTCTCTGGGCCTTTTCGAGGTCATCGGGATTCGCGCTTGTTTCCGCCTCGTCATCACCGCCATAGGCATACTTGCTGCGAGCACGGATTCTAGCGCCCCAAATCCAGAAGCAGTAGGGAATCGCGCAACAAGCCAAACTAATGAATGCCAAAAGCGAAGAGGCCCACTGGTCGCCGAGTCGGTTGTACATCTGCTCAGTGAACAAGACTACACCAGCTCCCCAGAAGCTTCGGATACATGTTTTGGCGGCAAGGGCAGAAGCGGCTTGGTGCTGGTAGGAATCGACCAGATAATTGTTTGCAGAGTTGTAAAGGAAGATGAAGCCGAAGCCAACGGGGAAGCCGCCCAGAGCGGGACCGACCCAGACGAGGTCCTTGTACGAGGTCCATGCGAAGATGAACAATCCAATGGGAATGCACCAGCAAGAGACCATCATGGGAATCAAGCGAACCTCTGCAGGTGGCTTTCCGTTATACTTGTGAACCATCTTGAGGTAGTGCTTATTGACAAGTGGAGAGCAGGCCGCAGAGCAAAGGACACCGACAGCCATGGGGATGAACATCAAACCAGTGCTACCGGCATTCCAGCCTTTGCCCTCCTGGAAGACAATTGGGAAAGCAATGAAGAACATGTAAAGTAAACCGTAGAGAACGCTCATGTACAGCGAAATAAGCAGGACGATGAGCTCCTGGAAGAGCAGCTGGAAGGGTCGAACCATGAAAACAGTGAGTCGCTCGCCCATGGACCTCTCATCAATGTCTTGTTCAGTAACGTAGGTCTCATCACCAGTGCTCTGGCGAAGCTTCTTGGCACGGCGAGCAAGAATCGTAGGCGCGTATGTTTCGGGGACGGTGAATGTGATGAGAATCCAGACAACGCCAGCAAGGATGATTTGAATATAGTAAAGCCAGCGCCAGCCAGCAGCATCAGAAAGGAAGCCACCAACAAGAGGACCAACTGTATTGCAATTTGGTTAGATGGTTCAATTACGAGACTAGGTTCGATAGGTACTCACTAGCAGGTCCAATAAAAGGAGCGGCAGAAAAGGCAGCCATGGGAACACCACGCTCCTCGTTCCTCCACAGATCCGCAAGCGTGCCGCCGACCAGGGTCATTGGGGCCGAAAAAGCAATGCCATCGATGGCTCGGCAGACGATCAAGGTTCCAATGTTCTTTGAGACGGCGCAGGGAATGATGAAAATGACGGCAAGGAAGAGTGTCGATCCGCTACATTGTGTGTTAGTATTCAAATCCATGCATCTTCAATCTAATGGCGCGCGCAGTGATAATACTCACTAAATGACTCGTCGTCCAAATACCTCAGACAGTGGCGCAAAGGCCATGGGCCCAACACCAAAGCCAATGACAAATACCGAAACCGCGATATCAGAAACCTCCATGCTGACATGAAATTCCTTGGCTGGTCCGATGAGATCCGCAGTGATGACAGCCGAGCAAAATGCCACAACAAAGCATGTAAGAGCAACAACCATGGTGCAGTACCACTTGTATGCCTTGGACCAGTTCTTGGGGTTCTCGGGATCGTCAGGGGTAAACGTTACCAGCTGGTAACGCTTTTCGCCTCCTGAACCAGTAACAGTTGGGTGCTCAACCGGGCCCGGGATGGTGCCCGTGTGGGATTCCACGCGGTATTCGTCAAAGTTTGCATCGCGGCTAAGGGTGCGATAGGGGAGGTTGATGTCGAGGTTGGGATCGAAGACCTCCTTGTGAGATCTTGCCGAAGACGAACCGCGTCTTACAGCCGCCGACCTGGAAGCTCGGCGGATGGGCTCAAGCTCAGGAACATGCTCTTTATCCACATCCGTAGCTGCTCCCTCCAAAGTTGAGGAGGAGTCTGTTGATTGTAATGCCGCCATGGCGGATTGAATATTTGTAATTAATATATAGATATGCAGAGATGGCTCGATAATAGAAGAGAGGGTAATGCTGCAAGTGGATGCCAGATGCCGAGTGTGTGTGTGTGTGTGTGTGTGTGTGAGTGTGAGAGTGCAAAAGTGTGTGTGCGAATGCAGAGTGTGTGTGCTCGAATCAGGCCATCATGATCCTGCCGTGGCGTGCCCCTGGATATATATACTCGCCATATAGAAGCTGCAGAAGCTCAAGATCTGATATCAGACAGAGAGCTGCTTGTAACCTCGGTCCATTCGTCCGACCATCGCAAAGCCGACGCCGGACGTCATCGATTGTCGACAGGGGAAGCAGAAGCCACGAGGCGTGGCTGCCGCACGCAAGAGCTGGGCGCGCCCCACTGCGGCCTGCTGTGGAAAAAAAAAAGTTTCAGGCCGTGCAAGTGCCGCAATTGGCCAGCACGGATGAAGCCGAAGAAGAAGGCACGCAGCTGCCCAAAAACAACCATAAACAGACGCTGGCCCCACTCGGTCCATCAGGATCCAGAAGCTTGAGCGGCTTATCGCCAGCCCTGCGGCATATTCTCCTTCACGATTGGACGATAAGCGATGGTTATGTGGGCCGCGAAGGGGAAATAAATCTCTTAGTGTGAAAAGTTATTCCCAGCTCCACCGGCCAGGGGAGGTTTAGCGGCAGAGCTGACGCAGATTCTTTCTCTACGACAATGCCGCGATACAGAGCCGTGACTTGAACATGACACGCCGCAGCGCTGGCCGCGGGGATAAACCAGAAAAACCTGGCAAAATGACCTGCGGGATCCTTAGAAATCTTTCTCCAGACAAGCGTCTCCTCTTTTCGCAGCTAGAAACGGTCAATTTTCCATGGAATCCGACCTCGACCGGCAGCTAAGTTCGGTACCAAAAATGTGTGCCCGGAAAAGCGGGCCTCCGGCTATGGGTTCCGGAATAACGGAATCGGTTGTCGTCTCGCAGCCATAGATAGTAGCTATATTTATTTGGCATCGTGGAAAATGCAAGCCCTCGCATCTTGCTTATGCGCTACTGAGCAACTCGTGACGACATGCTGCATGAATATTCTGCCTAAAGCTTGTTGGCGATGATGAAAGTAAGCGACAAAGGACTTCACATACATTAACAAGCCGAAAAGGAAGAAAGAAAAAACACATTACAGACGGATTGAACGGAATCAGAGGGAGCCATGACATCAGAAAGCAAAAAAAGCCCGCGGGAAGAAAAGGTCTAGAAGCTTTTGCTGCTTTAAATTATTTTCTTCTCTCCCTCATTTAGTTACAGTTTCCTAATTGGGCATGTCTCACGGCGCTAAAGTTTGTTCTTTTAACACACTGCTTCCATCGAACTTTGTGTACCACCTGGGTCAACTTTACTAAGCGTATTGAACCGTTATTCCCACCGAGTATGCTTAACGGGATTAAAAGCGGATATAATGGATCAGCAACTGCAGGTTTAGGGCTATTCACCTTGGTTTGCATGCATATATGGCGTCTCTTGGTGCGCAATTCCCGGAATCCCAAGTTCCAGGGAACGGATTGGACTAATTCACGCAAGACTCATAAGTCCCACCATCTAGAATTGAGTCGTGTCTAGCCCTGTAATGAAGCCGTTTTTTGAGCAGATAAGAACACTAGTTTTACGCGGCCAGACCCATATTTCTCTTCGTAATAATGAGCCGCATTATCACTGTGCTCCACATTTCCCTGTACCTGGCTCGTACGAGATGGGCACAAACATCTTACGCCTCTGATTCATTGTAAGGATTGCCCATCTATTTGCCCCTGAACGACGGCAGTGAGAGCTCCGATGACGGACACGAATAGCCGATCTACTTGAAGAAGAGAATATATCCACAAGATCGTTGAGTTGAATCTGTATCATGAGTCACGAAGGTTGACAACGGGCAGCATCTGCTCGCCACTTCGAGATTGTATAATACACCATGATTCCAGGCGACGATCAAGCTTGGCATCCTTCTTTTCTCCTTCTCGTTCATTTGCCTAGGCGCTCATCAGCTTAACGCCGGTTCTCATAGATGCCACCCTCCGTCATGTATAATCCGGAATCGCGTATACTTCGATTCCAGCAGATTCCAGCCCGTCTTACTACTAGCCGTTCGGCTTCCATGGAATCTGCTCAAAACTCCATGGAGAGTCAATAAAATGCGATTCTCACGCCCTCCATGGTATCAAATGCAACGTTCGAGTGGTTGAGTGATTCCGTATTGAATCCGTCAAACAGCTCGCGCAGCGAGACCCCCTGTCACCTACCTATCCAGCTGGACGACCACATCGGATCTCACAATCACATCAACCGCCGCCCCTTTTCATTTTAAGAGGCATTCACGTGGTAGTCTTTCTTCACTCTAACAAAAGTTTCACCGAGAGTCTTCCCGCCAGAGGGGATCAGGTCGTAAACAACCGCCTGAGCTACCAACGAGCTACCCACGATCCTCCTGATACCAAAAAAGCCGCATTTACAAACACTAAACATTGCTCCTCGAGATAAGTAGCTGGTATTAATTACTAGCAAGCTAACTTTGGGAAACGGAAAGAATAAATAAGCGGTTCGATACCAACCCAGAACGATCGAGCTCATCTCACAGCAACCATCAACGATCCAGCACTGCCTTCACAAGTACAACAATAATTTATTCCATTTACTCGAAACAGAAAATTGTTTTATTCATCTCTGACATTTTCACTTTTCATCCTTCATCATATTAAATTCGGTAATGTTCGGTTAACGAGTCATGGAGCTGAGGGTGGAGATGACACCACAGCTTCAATCCAAGATACGAGTACTAGGTGAAACAATAACCAAATCAACATCTCCCATGCTACAATTTATTCACGCAAATGTTCAACAAAAAGTTTATGCCAAGTTTTATGATTGATATGGTAGTCAGGGAAATATGCAGACGGGGATTTCTGACGATTGCCACATCATTCTTCCTCGACAGTTCCAACCAAAGAAGTTCATATCGTCGTTGCTCCTCCGAGAAATGCAATAACGTGTTCTGCAAATGGATAGAAAATTCTCGCACTCAATTTCACAGACGGAATACTACTACTCTACACCATGCGCAACGGTTCCTCCGACCCCTTCTAGGAGAAGGATTTCGGCCGCATATTACAAAATCTCTAATAAGGAGAACGACTATGATATCACATGCTACGGTATAACCAATCCTCATTGACAATTTTGGATGGCAAAAAATACCTTGAGAAGTTTCTACAAAAAGAGAGAGAAAAAAAGGGCGCAGCAAATAATAAGTCAGGCCCTACGCCTCCAGAAGCAGTAGCAACAGTATGCCCAGAAATGGTCATCGCATCTCATGCAGATGTGATGATGCAGTACGCGAGATACGATTCTTTGTAATCAGACCTGAACTTGCCACCAAGAGGAAGGTGACATTTACCAAGAGAGCCTCAAGGGCGAAAAAATAATCCAGTCCGTAGTCCAGACTCCAATCTCAGTCCAAAAACACCCATGATCAACCGTAGAATTCCAGATGCCGACTACTAGTCAATGCCGATTACGAGCCATACCAAATGTGAAGAAGAGAAAAAGTCTTCAGCATCACGCTTCACTGAGTAGGTGGGGGTTCTCTTTTTTAGCCCAAGAGCTAAATTGTGTTATCAGAGGCTCACAAAAGAAGAGAACAGCGAAGCATATATCGCAGCCCAAAAAAAAATGGTGGCAGCACATGGATCGTGTATCCAGACGCAGAGACGCCATGCTGGTCTCGCTCCCGATTCTGGGCCGCGGCCAGCTCCCAAAATTTCTCACTGCTTGTCATCGGTGGGGAAGGCATCTCGTAGCTACACCACCAGAGGCAAAAAAAAATAAGAAGGGAAAAAAGGCATTTGCCTCGTGGAACGCAAATGGACTCTTCACCGCTGTTATGACTGACTGTCAGCTGTCACAAAAAACTGGCCGATGCAGATCGCAACATTTCACAGCTGAATCACACGCCCGTGGTAACCTCTGCAGGTCCTTCGTTTGCTAACCATCACAGTCAACATTCTCCTCCCCTCGTTCTGAGACCATGGCCCAAAAAAAAAAAAAGAGAGAGAGAGAGAAGATCCTTCTCGCCAAGTGGCGTATTTACCTTGCTGTGCGCTCTGGCCCATGGCGCAGGTGGCGACGATCCCCCGCAGCAAGGATGGCAATTGATAAGAGAATGCTGGTGTTCTCTGCTGGACGTGATTAGCCAACCAAGGGTCTACCATTCCACCACGATGGCGGCGTTCGTGCATTAGCAGCAGCAGCATGAAGACGAGACGGGCAGGTATGACGCACCGGGCTTGGAAGAGGGGGGGGGAGTCCAAGACGTGCAGCTATTCCCAGCTTGCAGAGGCCCTTATCCGCAGCTCTTTGCTGGCAGACGACCTCTGCCGCCATCGTTGATATGCTGGCACATACACGTATACTCTGTACAGCATCTTTGGCCGCAGCGGTGTGCTGGGTCTGACTGGCCTTGGGAGCAGCAGAATGCCGGAGACATGGCAAACCGTAAAATCCCGTTGACTCGATGTTGGAATGCCCACTTTGGAGTCATGTGTCGCCTGGATCCGCTGGTGATATTTATGGAACAGCCGCTCGTACCGCGCCAAGCTAGATCCTGGAAAGCAAACACTGCGATTTGCCTCGTTAGAATAAAAGGGAAGAGGGAGAGAAAAAAAAAAAAAAGCTGGGAGATTTCCGCAATGCCATCGTCCAAAGCCGTCGTCAATGTACCTTGAGTGAGCTGGCTCATGTCGTCAAAGCCAAGCGACGTGGCTGGGGCGTGACGATCTCCAAAGTCGTTTCATGCCTTGTGTTTCGTAACGAAATAAGTCATCCATAGTATTCTTTAGACAGACGTATCATGTAGGATCAGCTTAGTTTGTCATGGCTGGGGAAACTAGTTCAGTGGGGCGCGTTGATCATCTCGTCCACACAAAAATCGGAGGGGCAGACTAACAACGCAT